GGGGGGGGGGGGGAGGGGGAGAGGAGGGGGGGGAATGGGGGGTAGGGGGGGGAGGGGGGCACGAAATCCGAATCTGCAACGACCCCGATTGAGCGCATATTTAGTGCTATAATGCCTTGATGTTATAGCTTCGGAGACAAAATTTTTCTATATAACTGGTTTATTATATGTAAGAAATGTGATCTCCCGCTTCTTTCTACTTTCCTTTTTCTGTTTCTTTTCTTTTTCTTCCTCTTTTGGACCAAGCTCCTCGAACGAGTCAGGCGTGCATGAAGAAGGGCCGCCGGATAACTAGTTGGCGACGGCTGCATGATAGTTGGCGTTGATGGGAGGGTAGTACCCGCGGTGGGCCAGGCCGGACCCCACCCGCTACCCGCTCCAGACAAAACAGCTCGACAGGTATCAAAAAGCTCGAACGGGGGAGGAACCTGTGGGAGGTGATAGATCGAATAGTCTAGATGATCGTTTCCGGGCAACGAATGGGAAAATTTGCCCCCTCTCAAAAAAAAAAGCAAAAGGAGAAGAGAAACTAGCATCCTATAGTCCCTGGAGTCGTATCTATTCTTGCAAACATGACTGTCGAGAACGAGGTGCGACGCCGTATTCTGGCGAATAATCGAATAATAATGGGCGCGGCGGGCCCCCCTTCCCCTGAGACGCGCGGGCACCATCGTCGGGCTTGGGGAGAGAGAGAGTGTGTGGGTATTCGCTAGTGCCGCAAACCTGGGTTATAGAACGCTCGGCATATAGCGTGGGAGCCCGTCGCGGGCACTACTAACTACATACTACCACTGTGGCTCGTGGGCTGCAGGAGAAGCGTCGATAGGGCCTCGTATCCAGCGAGTGTGAACGCATAGTTACATAACTACGGAGTATTACCTTCGTGTACGGAGTACTGTACATAGACACACTACATAGATCGGTATGGTATGTGGCTTGTCTGACGCTGGCCGGCCGGTTCCATGCGACACGTCCCACGCGCGCGCGGGAGGGCAGGGGAGAAGGAGAGAAGCGCTTACACCGGGCGTTGGCGCAGGGGCGGCCAAGGACCCGCGATTAGGCGTGGAGAGAAATGCTACTTCGGTCGGGACGCTGTGCCGTCCTTCTCGTAGTATTTATGGCTGCGGTATACGGTATATGTATGTACATGGCTGGCGTGACCTGCACCCTTGCCGTTATGTATGCATGCACTGCCACTGGGGCGCCATGCCCGGGCTCAGCAGTGCTGCTTGCCAGCCAGCCTGCCTGCCTTAATAATAATGATAATGATAACGATGACCGGGGCGTAGAACCCTGAAGCTGCTGCTGCGTCCACGGCGGGCCACGTGCCGGGGCCGGACAACAGCTCAGCTCTGGCGGGCGCAGGTACAGTAAGTAAGTACCGCCTGGGAGAGATCGCGGTCTCGGGCTCCGCGGGCGCCCCCCTCCCCTCCCGCCCGTCCCCGGAGGCGGTCCCGACCCGGCGGGCAGGGAGCGCTCGCCTGACGAAAAAAAAAAAAAAAAGAGTAAGGAAGCCCAGGCTCATCGGTCTGCACGCCAGGGGGCCCTTCGACTGGGACGATGGACCTGGCGCGTCGTGGATAAAATCTAGTTTTTTGTTTTCTTTTGTGTGCACAACGCGCGCAGCGTTGCAGTCTGCAAGATCAGCAGATGGCCCTGAAGTAAAATATTAATGCACGACAAAACCGGCTTGGCCTGAGTTGTACCTAAAACACCAAGCAGCAACAATGAAAAAAAAAATATATAGAATAATATAAAAAAATTGAAGGGTTGCGTTTGCTTGCTGATAAATAAGACTACCAAGCTTTCATTCCAGCCCGCGACACTCAAACAGACCCGTTTCGCGTGCCGCTGGCCACGACGCGCGCGCCCGCGCGCAGGCGGGCAGCGGGGAGCTGTGTCCGAAATGAAAAAAAAAAGGCGTCGGTCACGTCATCACCTCTGAGGTAGCATGGAAGCAATCTCGTTCGACGGCAGAAGAAAAAAAAAAAAAAAAAAAAAAAACCCCAGGTCATATCTTTTTTTTTCCCTTTTTCTGTTTTCCGGCAGGGTTTTTGATGTTCGTTGCCCGTTGGGCCAACAACGCGATATGGTAGATATCTAACTACACCCCAACGACAAAGCTTGTAAGGGTTTATGACACAACTCCAGACGGGGCCTCGACAGCGCACTGACGTCTGTCTGTTGCAACAAAAGACAGCGGTGCCTGACCGAAGCTGGTCAGGGCCCGGTGGTGATCTTTCTCGCTTCGACCGGGAAAGACGGCCTCCGGATCGCGGGACAGCGAGCATGGGAAAGTTTCCAGCCGGTGGGAGGTGACTAGGACCTCAGGAAACAAAAGCGCTGCTTGGAGAGCAGCAGGAGCAGACTCGGCAAGAAAGAAAATAAAAAGAGGCCAGCAGTTAAGAGTTGATGGACAACAAGGGCTGCCCGGGGGGGAACATCAATGCGCAGTGGAGAGTGGGGATGAGTAATATATAAGTAACGGTGAGTGTGGCTTGGGGGAACATCTGGGGACAGACGATCTGAGCGCCGGCTTTGAGTTCAATAATAAAATCACGATGGGGGGGGAATAATAATGAAGGGGGCCTTGACGGGGGGCGGGGGCGATCAGATGCGGCCGGTCGTGTGGCACGCCGTAGCCGCCGTGCTGGGGCTGTGACGGGCGCGGGCCAAGCCGTGCAGGCGCCGTATGGGCGGTGTACGGCGGACCGGGGAAGGGCCCGCGGCAGCCCGCCGGGCCCTCGTGGATGTGGGGCCAGGAGTGCGCAGAGCGAGGCGGGCGGGGCGACGCTAGACCGCGATAACGCTAGCGTGCTGCCCAGCTCCGGCCAGAAAGGGTTGAGGCCTTCCCAAGGGGAGTGAGAGAGTTTTTTAGTTTTTCACACGCTAGCCCCGATGCGTTGGCCCTCCCCTTTTTCCAGCCTAGCGCGTTGTCACGCTTGTGTTGCTTTTTTGGCTAGAAGCGCAGAACGAACATTCTTTTTCTCCCGCGCGCGCTTTCTGCTTTGGGCAGGCCCCCCCCGGAAGAGGAATACGACCCGGGGGGCGCGCGCGATGCGTCCAAAAGGTAAAAATGTTGAAAGGAATGGTTTTGAGGGGGGAAAAAAAAAGGGGGGCTCTCTCAGACGAAGACCCAGACGACAGGATTCAAGAGTCTGGCCTCCTTCCTGCTGGCATGTACATCCTGGGCGAGTTTGGCCGCGCGCGCGCACCAGCTACCGTCCCCTGCGGCCGTACGGGGCAGGGCTGTTGCGGGTGGGCAATCCTTTTCCGTGGGCTTTCCAGCCTTGGCGGCTATCGCCCAAGAGCGAAAGCCCGGGCAGGCAAATGATAATAAGAATTTCCGCAAATCCCACGAATCGGGCGCGATAGAAATTTTAATTTTTTTTGTTGGCGATGCTGCTGTTGCTTTCTCACTTACCTACTAGCTACTAGTGTGAAGCTGCTAAGCCGGACACGTGTGGTTTCAGGACGGAAAACGAAATGGGGCCCGGCAGCTCCACTAAACATGTGTTGGGGCACACCCAGCAGCCATGGAATGTTGGAACGGCCGCCGCTCTTGAGTGTGGTGCCGGCGGGCGCAGCGCACCTCGTCGCGCATGCTGTCTCTGTTTTTGTTTCTGGACCTGTATCTGTATCCGTATGCCCCGTACTGGCCCCAGTGCACCGCGCCTGTGGCCCATGGCTGGCTGGCGGTGCCTGTCTGCCGGGGCGTGGGAGCGGTACCGGGCGGTACGGCGGGCGGCCAGTAGCAGGCAGCGGGTAGCAAATACCGTACGGCGGGCGTACGGTACGCATACGGTGGCGGTACGATCAACGGGGCACGTGAAAAGCCACCGGCCTTCGCTGCGGCCGGCGTCTTGCGGGCTTGACAGACAGACAGACGAACCCGCCGGGCGAGCTCTCAGCCGGCCGGGGCACGGAGCCACCGGGCCAAGCGGGCGGCGACGGCGCGGTCGTGGGCGTCGTAGGAGCAGGTCGCAGCGGTGTCAGCTAGGTAGCTATGTAGGCAGCTGGGCTAGCTAGCTGAGCTCCACCGCCGACGAGAGCTGCCCGTTGGGCGAGTAGGAGTGGTCTGCGTGGTGGTGCCGTGACAGAACCGATACCCGCCGGGCCCGCGCGCACGTTACGCCCAGCCCGCGGCGGTACGGTACGCGGCCGTCACGCCCCGTACGTACGTGCGTGCGTGCGTGCGGTCTTCACGGGTCGCACCATCGCCTGCCTGCCTGCCTGCCTGCCTGCCTGCCCGGCTGTCGCTGCGCTGCGCTGCCCTGCGCTGCTTGCTTGTTTGCTTGCTTGCTCTCTGCTCTGCTCGCCTACTCTCTCTGCCGCGCCCTGCCCTGCCCTGTCCTGCCCTGCCCTGCGCCCAGGCAAGCTTCCCCCTTCGCTGCTCCTGGGCACCGCTCCGTCACTTGTGTTTTGAAACCCTTCGCTCGCTCACTTAGTCTTCTTCCTCTCTTTCTTCTTCTTCTTCTTCTTCTTCTTCTTCTCCTTCTCTTTCGTCTTCTTCCTCCCTCCGCTCCGCCCTGCCCTCGCTCTCGCCATGACCGCCATGGAGCTCTCCAACCCCCCGCTCCGCCCGTGGGAGACCTCGCGCCCCGTCCACCAGTCCCCGCCTGCGCCCGCGCCCGCGCCGCCCAGCCAGCTGCTGCCGTCCATCTCGACGCTGACCGCGAGCATGTCGCTGGGCGCTGTCGCTGTCGCCGCCGAAAAGTCCCCAGCCCAGCCGCCGCTGGAGAGAGACTCGGGCAATTGGTCCGTCGCTCAGAGCGCCCGTACGTCCTCTCCTCCCGTGCTGCCAGAGCTCCCCTAGCAAGCAGCAGCAGCAGCAGTAGCATCAACAACGAACTAACCCGCCCCCAGGCTCCTCGACCTACTCCAACAACACCACCGGCGCCGCCAATGGCTTCCACCACGCCGCCGGCTACATCCCGGCCTCGCAGCCCGCCCACATGCCCTCCGAGCCGCCGCACACGCCCGTCTCGAGCCAGCCCACCACCGGCTTCCCGTCGCACCACCAGCAACAGCAGCAGCCCTTGCCGTCCATCAATCCCGCCTTTGACACCACCGGCCAGCGCCCCGACTACCCCGAGTCCCGCCGCAGCAGCCTTGACAGCCGAGTCAACCAAGGCCTGAGCTCCCTGGCCCTCAGCCAGGCCTCGCCGTACCACAGCACCAACGTGTCGCAGACCTCCATCGTCTCCAGCCTACAGCGCGAGCGCGGCATCTCCGGCGAGTACGGCAAGCTGTCCTCCGCCCACCGCGGGCCGCGTTACGCCGGCGGCCAGCCCTTGTCGCCGCTGGGCCCGCGCGCCGGCGAGCATCGCGCCTTTCCCCCCGGCCGCACCGCCCCGGCCATCAGCTCCAATCCGGAGGCCAAGATCTACAATGCAGAAACCCCCATCCCGGGCATGCCCTATGCCTTCCCGGATCCCTATGTCGCCCGCCCGTCGGAGAAAAACGCCCGTGTGTCGGACCAGATCTCGCGACGCGACAGCGGCACCGAATCGCTGGCGAGCAGCAGATTTACCAGTGATAGCAGGCTGCCGCAGGGCCAGCAAGGTTTGTTTGGAAATTATCTACCATTTGGTTTTTTTTTTTCTTTTTCTAACGGTGAAGTAGAATTGCCGCAGAGCGTTCATCACCATTCTTTACACCACAAGCAAGTCCGGACCTTGATGGGAGAGAGTGAGCCTATCAACGGTGCCACGCCTTATAGTCGAACGCCGGAATTGAGGGTATCGCACAAACTCGCCGAGCGGAAACGCCGGAGTGAGATGAAGGAATGTTTCGAAACCTTGCGTACCCGCCTGCCTTCCGCTCAGAATAACAAATCTAGCAAGTGGGAGACACTAAACAGAGGTATGTCAACCACTTCTGAGAAGCAATACCTCCGTTATGGTATTTCTACAGCTACCTCCCGACCACTGCATCCCCCTGATTTTTCTAAGTTTATTTTTCGCTGACGTTTTCCCGCCCAGCCATGGATTACATCACCCAGCTCGAAAAGAATCTCTCGCAGTCCCAGCAGGAACGGGACCAATTACGTGCAGAAATCGACGAACTCCGGCGCTATGCCGCATCGCAGCCCAGCCTTTCCAGACAGACATCTGCCTTTGACTTACCGCATCACCCAGCCCCAGCATTGCATCCCAACGGCATGGCCAGCGCATCGCAAATGCAGTCTCCGCTATACAGTTCGCCCTTCTCGCCCGCATCTACTACGTCGCTCGTAGGCCATCCCTCCTCAGACCCGTCGCGCACTCTTCCGCCACTACTGAACTCCTCACTTGCGCCGATGCAGGGAGTGCAGTATACTGAAGAAAGGAGGTAATTGGTCCGGTCGCACTATCTACTCCGGGAACATTTGCACAACGCCATTTTATTTGGGAGGGAAAAAATGAAATATTTTGTTCTTGATGCCTTTTTTTCCCTTATAATTTATCTACATATTGCCCGACGTTTGAGGCACCCATTTACCCACTCATTTTTTTTTTCATTTTCATTTTCTCTTTATTTTCTTTTCTGACATCTGGGCCTTGGATTATATTCCTTGGCGGGCAATGTCGCTCCCTTGTTCATCGCTCGCATTTTTCATTTGTCTCAAAAAATTATATATCCATATATCCTTCGCGATGTGGTTTCTCCATTGCATCTTACAATACCACCCCTTTTGCTAGATTGCACAGAATCTGCGAGCCTTTGAAAACTCGTTCTCTCAGCATTCGACAGCACTTTTTTTTCTTTTTTTTTTGTCTTTTATCTTTTGACACCCAACCCTTTCCTATCTATCTACTTCGTCATGTTTTTGTGTTGTATGCTTGGCTTATTAGTGGCTATACCTCGCGGCCCTCACCCCCTTTTTTTTCTTCTCTGTACTTTTTTTTTTCTCGCTGCTGTTCAACCTTCTAATCACGCGCTTTTCGGACACTGGATTCAGGGTTTTTTTTTTTTTTTTCTGGCAACGTAATGGATGGGGTTCCTTACTGTTAACCTTCCTTCAAATCACACACCTGTTCGAATGGATATGGCATTTGGGTTTTTAGCGGGGTAGGCTCTGTTTTTTCTTTGTTATTGTTTGTCTTGTTGTTTTACCGGATATCTTGGGATATCATGCGTGTTGTGTGCGGCGTGAATAGGATTGAGTGAAAGTGATTTGGTGGGGTGAATTCGTTGCTCCCTTTTTTTCCCCCACCTTTTCTTTCCTCCCCCCCCTTTTTTTTTTTGTTCTTTTCTTCTGCTCAAAGGAGAAATAAAAAAACTTTTGTCAAATATTCCCCCATACTATTTCTCCTAGTTATAGTATTCTTATCTTTTTTTTTTTTGTTGGTTTATGGAACTGATAGTTTTCTGAATTTTCGTGTATCAACTCAGCAATTTTTTTACACGGCCCCGGTGGCTCTGAAACGAAAATTCTATGGCGCCCTTGGCTGGTAGGGTCATTCGCAAAAACCATACGGCGTATAGAACTTAATAAGCCTGCGTAGTAACAGGCATAATGCTACCCGCTCAGCCAAAAGGATACATAACCATCCTTAGAGGATGCAGCAAACATAACAAAAGGGTACAGGCCTGAGAGGGGTTTGTAGGACTTTCTAGTCTCCATGCTTAGCCTATCCCGCCACCTGAGACCGGAATACGCGGGGGTTCATGTTGAAGGTATTGATGTTGTGAACTGAAGAGAGTGATCCCTTTTATATTGGAAGGGAGATCATTTTTGAAAACAGTGTTAAAGAAGGTTTTACACAATTTCAATGAGATATACAGAGTTTCCTAGAGCCAAAGCTTGTGGGGAAAGGTAGATTTAGTTAACCACCTAGTTAGCTACGGTTTTCGGTTCCGTATGGAGGGAGTACTCCCGTTTAACTACCCACCCAATAGTCGAGGCTCATGTGCCCTGTAACCTGAGCGGCACGGCCACGGCCGGTTCGGGATCATGATCCTTCTGATGGTTACACTCTCTCCAAATTCCTCCATTCCAAGAAATGGCGGCTGATTCCAAGGAGCCCGAGATCGATTACTTCACCTACGTGGAAGGCAATGAGACAGGGTTGGAATGCCCCCAGAACTACTGTCCCGGAGGACTTCATCCCGTTCACCTGGGCGATTGTCTAGGGGAAGATGGTCGCTATCGCGTTCTGCATAAGCTTGGAAGCGGTGGCTTTGCTGTTGTCTGGCTATGTCGGGATTTACAGCATGATACCCCCCGCTACGTTGCGGTAAAGATCGTGATGGCCATGGAATCAACCGATAAATGTCCAGAACTACATGCAATGAAATTGAAGCAACTCGGCGTTGACCAAGAGATCGGTGGGAGCTCCCTCTGCCTACCCTCCAACTATTTTTGGATTCAGGGACCAAATGGGGGGCATCTTTGCCTTGTCTACCCTGTTGCTGGACCGAGTGTTTCTAAGATTGCTCGCGATGCAAGCTCCTCGCGTGCTATTTCTCGTCAAGTTGTCGAGGGATTAGCAGCTCTGCATCGGCATGGGTTTTGCCATGGAGGTAGGACTCCCCTTTCATATAGGAGGTAATGGTGGTTTTAACTATTGTCCCAGATTTCACTACATCGAATATCTTGTATCAGCTCACGAGCTTGGATGGATTTACTGAGAATCAGGTCATGAAAACCTTTGGTCAGCCAGTATCAACAAGACTTTTGACGGAGTCTATGACACCACCAATCTTGCCAAATACGCCGAAGTACCTCGTGTATCCGATCGATTTCACCAAAGTTGAATCAAGCCTGATAATGGATAAAGTCTACATCATTGATTTTGGGCAATGCTATGAAGCTTTAAACCCTCCTAAATCTCTCGGTACTCCAGCAAGATATTGTCCCCTTGAACTATTGCTGGACAACAAAATTTCTGGCACCCCCTGTGACCTCTGGGCACTTGGCTGCACTCTATTCCAGATATGCACCACATGGAAGCTATTCGACACGTTTGAAGATAATCTTGACGATCGGCTGTACGAAATTGTTCTTCTCCGCGGCAAGCTCCCAGAGCCATGGTGGACATCATGGAAGTCTCGCAGTCAACATTTCACGGATGAGGTGGATTCGAGTGGTTGTCCGGAGCGCGCGAATAAAATGACAAGAAGGAAGCGGTTTAGGTCTCTTCAGGAACAGCTTCTGTATGGAGGGAATGGAGCTCACCCGGTTCCTGTGGATGAAGTAGAGGCTTTGGCAGATTTGGTTGGAAGACTGCTGGCCTACAATCCTTGGGATCGCCCATCGGCTGAGACCATACAAAAGCACAAGTGGTTCAAGATGGATTGTATTTCTAATAATTGATACTTGCAACGGCAGTTCGAGCTTTTGTATCGTTGTCGGAGTATAATCTTGGGTAGGTAGCTGCCTCCCTAGCGCGCTGTATGGAATAATTTAAGCCCTAGCCCTGCCTTCCTAATCGAATGCCGTATCGTATCAACACTCTGTTATGGTGATTGGTCAAAAACATTAAACCTTATTAGCCAATCCTTATATAATCAGCGCTTGTGACAAATAAAGCAGCGCTTACTAATATAGCTGGCCAACGTCACTCTTACCATAATTCTTGTGAAGCAAAAGACGACGTTGCGATTGATCAGGCCACGATGTCTGTCTCCCGTCTATGGACTGCGTCCCTTCAAGATAATACATAAGCCAGACTATACGGTCTGTAGAAATCTCTTGTTTACGCCAATATTTCCTGCCACGATGGACTCAAGCGAGAATACTCCCGGAATCCATACTCCGGGAACGCCGCCTCGCCCTCCATATTCGCCAGTCACACCTGTGATGATGCATGCGAACCTACGGCCCATCCCGGAGCTTGAAAAGCTGACACCGCCGCCCGCAACAGCAGCTGCTGGAAAGCCCCTTTTCCTACCCCCTTCCGATGATACACCTCAACTCCCCGCAACCATGAAGACTACAGCTGCCAATGACCCCATGGCTTCACCGCCTACCACATTCGCACCTGAACCGTCGCCTGTGCCGATATCGGAGTCCGATAACCCGGATGCGATCGCACTCCGCTCTGCTATCGCTATATTACAGATTCAGAAACAGCAAGCGCTTCGTGATATTAGGAGTCTGGAGAAAATGAAGAAGGTCGCTGCCGAGAGCCCAGAAGCCTTTGCCCGTGAACTGATAAACGCAGCGCCAAATCAGACGGCTGATATGGGGCTGTTTAACCCTCGTCCTTTGCAGAGCCGGCAATGCCAAGGTGAAGACGGGAACACTACGTTTGGGGATATTCCTAAACCTCAAAATATCGTGAGGATGCCCCCCATAAATTGGTCAAAATATCATATCGTTGGCGAACCGCTGGACAAGCTCCATGAAGAGCAAAGACGGAGACCATTCTCTGGAGAACCACGCAGAGATGCTCTTCCTCCAATTCACAGATCTCCCGAGCATTTTATTGCGGCTCCATATCGACCATTCACGGAAAGTTTGGACTCTCCGATGAGGACGCGAAGCTCAAACAAGAAGAAAAACGAACCGAATTAAATTGGGAATCCTACAATACAATACTTTGGCTAGCAATAGGAAGCTTTGTCTGGTTACCAACCGATTGCATTATTTGAATTCTGCATGTCTCCCTTCCTATTTCCTATCATTTTGCGTTCCCAACGAAGCCCTTTCCACTCTATGAGAAGAGTGCGCGCTGCAAGGCGTTATGCGCCTGGGTGACATTGGACCATTTTCCTTCCGCCGTGCATTCTGGGCAAGCCACATTCTTAAACTCAAAATCCGAATGGTGTCTCCCGTAGATTGGGCTACAGGTTTTTGCCATTCCACAGGCCTTTCTCCTGGCCCACCATCGCGGATTTATCGGATAGTACTTCATACAAACATAGCACAACTTGAAACTCGCTGGGAAGTTGGGGGCAAGGCGCCAACACAAAAGCTGCTCTCTCTCAATGCCGCTGTAGAAAATCGTTCCTTCATGATTGGCGCAAAGGAGGGCTTGACCGAGGGATTTTGCTGTCAGTGCCAAGGCGACCTGGGATGCACCATCAAGTTTCTTGAATATTTTATCCAGAATTTCAAGCGGCAAAGCGTCAATGGTAATTTTTTTGTTGACGGGTAGCTGGTGTTCTTCTGTTGGCTCTTGAAAGAAGATCTACATTCAAACAAACAAAAACTGCGTTAGCAAGTGTATCTTCTAAATTCTGCCCCAGTGACCACTGGGGCTCTTTCTTTCTGTCCACTTATACACTGAAGCCTCAGTGAATGACTTACCGCCGGGTTTGCAACAAAGGCAAATGTCTGTTCACGCATGATACTCCGGGGTGATCTATGTCCCCTCTGCACCTGATCCCTCTGAAACATGGCTGGAAGGAGACTCGGTGCGTTGCGAGTATTCTTAATTTTCGGATATTCCATTCCCGGTAGAATACCCTGTGCTGTGGGGTCTGCCACATTGCCATTTCTATCGTCAAAGTCCCTCATCACGGTATCTCTTGGAGTTTCTCTGGGTGCCATCTCTATCGGTGGTTGAAGCCGCCTCGCGTAGTAGCTTTGAAAATTGTTACTGCCGTATCATATTAGCTTTCCTATCTCTTCTATATTATGGGCTTTCTATCTTTCTCTCTTGATGCATGGCGATGGGGAATACCAGCTTTGTGCTGGTATGGTCGCGATATTGCAGCGTGATGCCAGCTCTATCTTGTGGTATTATTGCTCCGAGGGAACTCCATGACTTACCTGCCACTTGCATTCAAAAACCTCGCGTCCTCCTCACTCAGAATTAGGGAAGGGTCTATCTGTCCTGCCCTGTATATATTGAAAAGAGAAGGTAAGCTTAATCGTCATCAAGATATGGAAAGCAAAAAGCACGAATTATTTTGAGATAGGGCAGGGAATAAAGAATTCAGACCTAGTCAGATATGGTCAAGCAGGGCAAATGTCCTCTTGTGCTCATATCAACATGGTCTAAAGGATCTTTGTCTCCCTTTGAAAGGGGACTTCCGATATCTCACGTGAGGGGATAAACAGAGTGTGTTGTTCTCCTTTCTAAATCTCACACCATTTCTTGACATAGCATGCATACGCCCCTTGAGGCTGGAACAAATAGTCAACCATAATGGAAGCGGCTTTTTCACTCACAGATCAGAAGGACCAGGGAAGCCGAAATCGACCAATGAAAGAGAATTCTGACTATACCCATCCCCGCCACTCTCATTGAAGGCTGCAACTTGCTTGTCAATCCATGAAAAATCGTCATTTGATATTTGAAACTTCGGGTATTCTAATGTGCCCATGCCCCCCGTGGGAACCGCATAGCTATCTCCTTCAAGCCCGCTAGGTTTTGACGCGTTGTCTGCCACCAAGTTCGTTTGGTCTACCCAAGACAAGTCCGGATATACAACCCCACCTTGGTTGTAATGGTTGATGTAGGCATCGTGAGGCCGTTTTGGAGGATCCATGTTACCGGGAATGGTACTGAGGGAAAGGATAACCTGAAAAAGCCCTGGCTGCGTATTTGATGAGAAAAAGTTGTTCTATCCTGCAGTTCAGGGCCTAGCCAGAACATGGAGGCAAGTTGTCTGTAGGGAGGATGATGAGAGTGTCAATAAGTCTGTGCATGGCATGGGTTTTTATGGGCGTCATTGGAGGTCACAGTCATGAGAGAGGTTCGTGTATATTCACTGCCCGGTGCTAACTTGTTATTGCGTCTGCTGGTGGGACGATTTGTCGTCAAGCAAGGAATACTCTTGCATTGGACACATGCTTGTGTGGCAGCATCGCTTCCTAAGCGCAGAAGAGCCCGTTAACCACCCCAGCTTTTCAATGTCCTTTGGCTACCAAGACAAGGACCATAGCGATGGATGGCATGTTGCTTCTTTAAGGAGGTCTCAGTTATACAAAGCTACCTTATCATGCCATCGATCGATAGCCCGTTTATATTACAAGGGCCGATCAAGGGTTCGTCGAGTACAAGGCAAAGAAGGAAATCATATTATCCAAACGGGGTTCATTTTAATAGTCGAACTTGAACTGTAGAGTATATGGGAATTAATTTCTACACTAGGGTCAAGACTGCTTTAGTAACATGATGAGAACATCAATCATCCGTATTCCCTTCTCCAATGGAGACCCTTTTGAGTTCTAGTTCCTGTTTCAAGCTCTGTACTCGCCTTCCAAGCTTCGCCTTTAAGATAGGATTCATCATCTGCTCCCACTTGAGGGTCTCCGAGCGTACTAAGGCGTCAAGCTCCGCAATCTCTTCCCTTTGCTGTTGCATTTGACGTTGTTGCTCGAGAGCATCATCATCTAGGTCTTCGTGTGCGTCTTCAGGGGACGAATCCTCGCTTTCGTCATCATCGCCAGAGGTTTCTCCGGCCGTGCCAGGTTTGGGAGTGCCGATTTCGGGCTCAGTCTCAAGCTCTCCTTCTGTAGCGACGCCAATAACTTGGATATCGTCAGCAATAGCAGATGTGGGCATAGAGCTAGCTTCTGCATGTGCTGCCAGTGCAGCTTCCATCTCTGCAGCGAGGTCTTCCTCAAATAGGTCTGCCATGTCTTCCTGTGTTTCAGGTTCCATGTATGTAGTTTCATCAACTTCACCCTCAGCATCCTGTTCATCGTCGTAGTCATGATATCCTGACTCTTCGCGGGCATATTGACCATGATCTAGAATCTCAAACTCCGGCGGTGCAATAGCTTCAGCATCTTCTTTCAGTAACCTGGCAACTTCTAATTCGACAGCCTCAATTGTACGATTACTGATACGTTCTCTAAAGCGCCTTTTTCGCACCCAGTGCATAGGGGGCGTCAAGCCATGTGCATATTGATATGTAGATTGTTCCACATCTTTCGGTAGAGGATATTGTCTAGCCTCTTCTTCTGACTTGACTTGCCCGAGAACAAGTAACATTTGGCAAATATCGGCTGTTTTGTACCAGGATCGCTTGTCCCAACTCTTCATTCCCTCAATAATGCAGGGTAAATCCACCAGTGAAGCGGCATATATCTTGCCTCTAACGGTGACAGTCGCTCTCCGTCCATCTCGAGTTAATGCCTTGAAACTTATATCCGCGCCACCTTGGCTTCGAGGCCCGAAACGCTTTTCCTCAACGGCCTGCCTAACATAGTCGCAGTCTTCACCTGGCGGCATGCGCAGAATGAATTCTTCTTCTAGTGCAGGATCAATTTCGGCATCTGAAGCTTCAGAGTCATATCCAACACCTCTTGGCCTGCGAGGGGGTTCGCCTTTGCTCTTGAGTCGAATCGAAGGAAGGGGTTTTTTACTAAATTTAATCCGTTTTACCGCAGGAGTGGGTGCTGTTGAAGCAGCGGCCGGTTCAGTGGAATCGCGTACCCTTTTTTTGGTTGAACGGGGAGTAGGCTTAGATGATGCCTGCTTTGGTGCTTTTTTAGGCTTTGGTGTAGGTGCAGTCTCGGTGGCAGGCTGAGAAGGTTGTTTCGGGCCAATTTTGAGCTTCAATTTTGGCACCGCAGGGCTAGGTGTAGCAGCTGGTGAAGGGCTCGCTGGAGGATGTGTCGGGATCTGGGGTACTTTCGGTTTGCTGAAGGTCAGCTTCAGCGAAGGTTTCCCTGGAGGTTTGCCGGACATTTTGCTCATCCAAAGGGGCTGATTGCAGGTGGGTTTGTAAATAAATATACCCGAGCACTAAAATGGCACATCCAATAAGGGAGATGGGATAATAGAGCAACAAGGCCTACAACAACGAGGCGCGGGCGGCATCGCGACGAACAAACGAGATGTGACTTCATTCTTGGCACTGTCTCTGATTATTACATAAGCATTATTAGCCTAATTGGAAAAGTAAAGAGCTAATCCTAATAAAGGCTAGCTTTTCGAGGCTGATTGGTGACTAATCGTATAGCTTCGCAGAAGCCGCCTTCGAGCGCGAACTTTCATTCATTACCTTGGATGGGATGAAGCATGACGGTCAGCGATAAGGTATGAAGGATGATTTTTACCTCTGCCTCCTATTGAAAAGAAGGCAGAGGAATGTGTTCCCACAATCGCCAGAGGTCACCGCAAGGAGTAGCCGATCGCAGCATCTTCCAAGCTTCTCTTCTCGGACCCTCATGACCTTGATTGCGAACGATGTCTGCCCCCGATTTACATAACTCTCTATTGCGACCGCCGATCCTCCAAATCCTCCGTGCTGCCGGCTTTCATTCCGCTCGCCCTGCGGTCATCGATACTCTTACCGACATAGCGGCTCGATACCTGTTTCTCCTCTCCTCATCGACCGTTGATCATGCGCTCAACAACCATAGCGAAGAGCCGGTACCAAATTTTGATGACATCCTGATGGCCCTGGATGATGCCGGCGCCCTACGACCGCAAAAGACCCGGCTGGAAGAAAACCTGGATGGCATTGAAGATATGAGGGGCTTGGAGTCGTTCCTGCGCTGGTTTAATGGCCCGGTCAATACCCAAATCAGGCGGATCGCTGGGTTTGTTCCCAGCGAAGGTGATGTTGTTGAGGCAGAGACCGAAGATTATTTGACCGGTGAGTTTCTTTTATATTTTGCAGTTTGGATCTTGAGATCAAGTGGCCTACAACTAACACCCACGGCGTTTCCATTTAGCACTAAAAAAGAGACACAGCAAGACTGGCGAAGAGTCCAGATTTCAAGGCACCCTGTTGGGAAAGGATGTAGACGATAGACCAGTCGTTATTGCAGGGGGTGTGGAGTCCATAAAGGCGTGGCGAAGTAAGGTCAAGTCTAGGGAGGCCAGTATGGTGCCAACATCTACAACAATCAGCAGTATTTCTTCAAGTATGTCGCCACCAGAAGATATGGATATTTAAAAAAGCAGGATTTTGAAAGCGCGGCGCTGTCTTATCGGCCATCTTGGGGTGCTTACGTTCACATTTGATATGAATATTGTCATCTTCATACCCCACTTTGTATTTAGTCAAGCCATTTTGCATGTAAACTGAAATAGAAATCAATATAATGCTACTAATTCCTTAAATTGTTCGTACGGGTTGATTCCTTTTAGGATTGAAAACGCTGGTGACACCACCAGACTTGGTCTTGGGACACGCGAGGTCTTCGAGCCGTTGAGTAAGTATCGATGAAGACGTTGACCTCGCACGCAGCTGACAGACAATTGATTCTAGTCTTGCTTACGGTTTCTGCCAGCGATGGTGTTCTGCTTCTCGCTTCCTACCACCTCGCATCTGTCATTTCAGTCTTACCTCACATCTGCATCCCACCCCTCTTTGCCCTCCTGCTCCTCCACGGCTCGCCACGCACTACGTGTTGCATTGAAGACGTACAAGGCCCTTCCGCCTCCACAACGTACGGCACATCTCTCGCTCATTCTTGCCGCGCTGAATGAATACCTTCCGTACCTGTTTGCACTCTCTCGCGGCATATCTTCCAGCCCTGCGGCCGATGATGAGGTCATCGACGTTGCCCTGCAGGCGGAGATTGAAGTGGAATGGCGCGGGACGATAAGCTCTGCCGCGTCGGCGCTACGTCTGCTGCATCGGGGAGGACGAGACCAGCGTATAAAGGGCTATGGTTTGGATTTTGAAATTGCATTCGTCCTCACGACGCTGGGCTATGTTCTATCAGATATGGCAAGAACCAGGATCCTTAGCACGCTCTATGCGAATACTACCCCAACGGTAGACCAGAAGACTGCGGCTGTAAATGCTGCGACAAAGCATTTACTTGCGGCAAGCAGTGTGCATTCATATCTCGCCTCGTCTGGCTCATCGTCCCAGGGGCATGATTCCAATATGGCGCCGGACTTGGACTCTTCAACGCAGTCTGCTCTGTCGTCATTAGCTATGGCCGAAGCGACGTTGCTCGCTGTGTTGAAAGATGATGCGTATTTGTCTGCCTGTATCCAGGCGCGCAATCGAAATGACACCGAGTGGATGATCAAAGCTCCGGATTTGCCAAAGGTTCGGACTCTTTTGTTCGCCCGACTTTGTGTTCGAGCAGCAGAATATGCGGAACAGGCCGCTGCCAGTGCTGGGGCTGTGAAAAGTGGGGGGAAGGCTACGGACTCGACGAGTCTAGATAACAGGTATTTGGATGAACATCTCATCGATTACATGAGCGTTCTGGCCAAGGTGGCTAGGGCGAAGGCGTGCCGGTTCTTTGGAATAGATGCAGAAATGAGCGGCAAGACAGGCGAAGGGATTGCATGGTTAAGGGCCGGCAAGTCAGCATTGGGAGTTAGGGGCTCCTTAGAGGGGGATGAGGGGGGCTCTGGGTCAAAGAGCAGGGGCAGTCTGGGATTTTCCAAATTGAAAAGACAATGGAGTGAAAGAAGGGAGGAGAAAAAGCTTGAAGAGACAGCTACAGCGAAAAAGGGGGAGCAAGCTTCCGGTCTTGACTGGGGTGATGACGCTGGAAGAGAAGAGGAAATCAAAGTTCTTGAAATGTTAGAGGCCAGGTGGATGAAAATGAACGACACTGTAAGAAAATCCTTCTCAACTTCTTACATTGTCCTTTGGTTGACAATCATAGGTGAACACACAATTCATACCATCTTCAACATCTTACTTGTCCAGCCTACCATCCGGGAGAGACATCCACACCCCTCCCAGCCCTTACGTTCCTCCAAAGCTAGATTCAGATCAAATTATGAGATTACGTGGCCCTCCTGATAGCCCAGAGCCCACAAATGAGGATGAAAGTAGCGATTCAGAAAAGGAAACGCCTCATGATACCTTTTTGGGCCAACGTCGTGGGTATTTTTAGGCGCTTTTATACTTTTTTTTTTTGAAAAATAAAAAAAAATTCAGTGATAGCATTTGTTAATCTGAAGGTTTAGCGCCTGGCCTTAGCTCAAATCATGTTGGCGGAGATACACTTCTTGATGCCCATGTGAGAGATATATATTATTTGCACTACTTTGTACAGAGTATACCTTGATCAATCGAATTCAAGGGCTCATCAGTCATTGGATTTTTTTTTAAATTCAAGCAAAATCACCGCTAAATCTTATTTGTAAAAGGGCTCAGAGACATATTCACCTCAGACCAAAAGCACGCCTGATTTCAACCCCGTCTTCCCAGATGGCTGCAAATACTCCAGTTGCTATTTGGGTGTAACGATGGGTGGCGAGCGTCGACACTAATTTCATGTGTGGCCATCAATGCACCAATCCAGCTCTTCTAATAATACACACGGACATTACCGTAGCCATGTCAAGGGTAATAAAACTGAAGATCATGACGACTTTTCTCCCTCCGTTGTAAAGTAGTTCTTCTCCTGGAACAGATAGCCCTTAACCTTTCGTTCCCCGAGCAGCTCGAAATATTTGTCTGCAGTCGAATGACATTGTCAGCCGTTCAAAGTTATCATGTATTATGACCTCTGATTGGGATATGTATTACCTCTTAACTTGCCGCATTTCTCCAGATGATTCACGCCTTCTCTTCGATAGCACTTGCCCAATTCTTGGCCGACCAGTCGCGACATCATGCTGCGCACCCATTGCTCGCGGATGATCGCATCGCGGGCGTTGTGGAGGGCCTCTGTGTCTTCAAAGTTCACGCCATCGTATGTCGGCGGTACTGTGGGTTTTTTGGCGAGGAAAGCGGCGGATTCTGGAGTAGGCATTGCTATTAATGGTGTTTGCGCAACGGGCGGGGAACTGTCTGGCGCGAACGCTGTATCGAGACGTCAAGCGGCTGGGAGGAGGGCAGAGAGCGCTTTTGATGCCAAATGCCGTGAGGCTGTTTGGTCGGTTCGTCAATGGAGGCCGACGCGCTGACTAACTAGGTTTCGCGGCCCGATTCGCTGCGGCTTGGCGAGTTTGGCTCTTTTACAGGATCGGATTTACTTTGCGGGATGCGGGCGATACTTTGCGTTTGTTGCCTGGACTGCTTAATTTTTTTTTTAGAAAGTTATTGCGTACTAAGAATGCTTAACTATATGGAAGAGAATTGAAATGAACCTTTTTGCTATTTTTGTGGTTGGTGTTGAGTTCCGAGAGACATTCATGCTGAGCCAAATACCTTCCAACCAGGTTCATGTGGCTACGAGCCTCCCAAAAAACGAGAAGATGAATGTACGGAGTATGATCCGAACGTATTGCTTGGGTCAAGTGGAGGGCTTAATTTAACTGCTGGGCTATAGTAGTTTCAAAAAAGGCCAGCATTTGGGGGACCGGACTCATGCCCAGCCTGGGCAGCTCTGGCGTTTGCAAGAACAACCAACGTCGTTCGTTTCTACTATAACTAGCTACGTTTAATGTCCCTTTTAACGCAAGCGTTGAAGGTTCTTCAACGAAATAGACCTACGGTTTGTTGAGCTTTCTCTAGTCGCTGCTGATGATTTTGGTCGGCTATGATCAGTTCCATATTCGTCATCACAGCCTGTTTGGACAGTGGTTGGCGGCTCTGTTTTGCTATTGGAGTGTTTGTCTTTGGCTAAGAAGGGTCATGATTAGTATTGTCTGCTTGCCGGTTTTTTGGGGTCAAGCCGGTATATGTGCTTCCGTCAGGAGGCCAAAGTATTTGGCAGAACTCCGTATTGATCACGAAATCTACGGATATGTTTGGAGAATGCGACGGCTCTGATGATTTGGATAAGCGGTAGGAGCTAGGCGATTTGAGTAGGATACAGTGCTCCTGCGCATACACAGTTTTGGAGCAAAGAACGACTGAAGCCAAGGCTGATACGTGACATTCAGCACCGCCGAGCCAGCAGCGGGTCTCTTTTGCGTTAAGGGACCCTCTAATTTCGGCCGGCGAGCCGATACCGTCAAAGTGGGCCAGTTGTTTCCATGCTCTCACAGGCGCAGCGCTGGGGACGCAGGACCTGACTCGAGATTTGCCGCGCGCGGACAGGCATGCAATAAGAGACGACGGCCCCTTGCATCGAGAGGAGCGCGCCCTTGCCATCATGTGGCATCTCGTCAGTGGCTCGCGGACAAGCACAGATCCGTCAAGAGAGGCTTGAGAGCATTGGCAGGCAGGCTCCTCAGCGAATCAAAAATAGATTTTGGGTTTTTGCCTCTGGCGAAGTTCCACTGCATCGAAAGCGGTTCTTGGGCTTCATTGGCGGCGAGTCTTTGATTAAACACATTGCAGAGAAGGCAAAAATGGCGCGTGCGATGAATATTATTATTCTTCTTCCCATTATTATTAGGTGTGCGTCTCATGGTCTCTCTGCCAGCCGCGAAAGAGGCTTTTTTGGGGCCCAAAGCTGAAGCGGCACACTCTCCACCCGAGCCAGATTACTTCATGAGCTGCACCGGCTGGAGGGAGCCAGGCGGATCGGCAGCGTGGCCGTGGACGCCGTGCGTGGGCGTAGGGTGTGGTGGCTGTCGACGGGCGTTGCGCGCGAAATCTGATGAGTCCGCACGGCACCCCTGGCACCAAGGCAGGTAAGATGAGGTGATAGTTGGCGGGCAGCAGCAGGAAGTAGAGTAGTAAAAGGGATAGGTAGTTAATAATAATAATAATAAGTTAAAGCCAAAACACGCTCGACGCCAGGCTGTGCTGCGATCGGGCTTGGGGCCAGCCGAGACGAGGCCGCAATCTCAGCACAGGCGATCGAGCCCACCGGCCGAAGGTTTGGCGGAAAAGGAGACTCGCGGGCGCTGACACGCTAGACAACTCAAAAGTCAAAGCGAGAATTATCTGCGCGCGACTTTTTGCTGGCTCTCCTGACCCGACCGTGTCTGTCTGTCTGTGTGTCTGCCGCTCCGCCTGCCCGCCTGCCGTGCTGCCCACCGTCGTCGTTCGTTCGTTCGAGTGCTTGCTTGTCTGGTAAGTGATCCTGCTCGTGCTGTTGCTGTTGTTGCTGCTGCTGCTGCTGCTGCTCGCCCGGCCCTGGCTCCCCTGCGACCTCTGGGCAGGCTGCCCTGGGCTCGCCAGGCCGACCGATGCTGCTCGCCGGCTGCTGCTGGAAGGACGGCAGGATGCAAGGCTGACCACGTGTGCCTGTGTAGCTGAACGTCGTCTCACTCCCTCACTCACTCTCTCTCTCTCTCGCTCGCTCGCTTCCGATCTGGACTGCCTGCCCGCCGCTGCCTCTGAGCCGGCGTGAGCAACCACACCTCACGGCATTGAACCCTCCATTGCGCCAGGCCGCCGTCGTCCCACGCCTGGTCGTCCTCCCTGAGGCCTCTTCATCCTTCTCCTGCCCAGATCCTGCCCATCCTTCACGCTGGCGACCTCATCGTCCACCGACCACAGTGCTCCGGCCTCGCATCGCCGACGCTCCTCGTCCCTCGTCTCCCCGCTCAATCTCCACCCTGCCAGCGCGGCCAGCACAGCTCGCGGCCATTCCACCGCTCAACCCCCCCTTCCTCCCATCCCGGGCACGCCGGCCGCGACAGGGCCCTTGCCTATGTCCCTATCGCGATCGCCCTCGCCCAGACCCGGGGGAGGATGGTCTAGTCCGGGCCTAACCACCGGCTCCAGGAACAGCGGCGCGTCCACTCCGCGCAAGGGCTATGAGGACGCTCATGGCGTGCATATGAACGGCTTTGGCCCCGCTGGACCCCATGCTGCGTCGTGGGCGGCCGCCAAGGCAAAGAGTGACCACGTCCGTAAATATCCTTCGTTTTCGACCAGAAACAATGGCTTTTTTTCGAGGCAGCGTCGAAGAATCTCAGCCAGTCTGCCCCGATTTCGAATGAACGGCATGTACGGAGAGAAGGAGAAGCTGGGTCGCGGACGATGGAGCCCTGGTGGTGCGTCAATGTTGAGCCGGATCAAAACACTTGCAGGAAACCTTCTACGACGCAAACGAACACAACTACTACTGCTTTTAATATTAATGTTTGTTTTCTGGCTCTTTCTTTCACAGCGTGAGTACCCCTTGCCTCGATTTTGAGCTTGCTTGGCATATCTGAGCTAATTCATCTCTATCTAGCCATCTATGAGGCATATCGTAGATCTTCCCTGGGGGGAGGTAAAAAAATTGTGCTAATTGTCGCATCGAATCTTGGTGGAGGCGTCATGGAATGGAAAGGAGCGCGAGAATGGGCCATTGAGCGAGACAGTTTGCGCAACAAGAGAAGATATGTCCAACGCCATGGGTATGAGCTGGAAATCGTGAACATGGTGACGAAAAAGCGCTATGCCCACGAGTGGCGTGAAAGCTGGGAGAAAGTTGACACAATTCGCTCAGCACTCCGGAAATACCCCAAAGCAGAATGGTATGGGCTCAAACACTGGTTGAACTGGAATTGACGCGCATTTTGTTCCCATTGCTAATAGAAGTACAGGTTCTGGTGGCTAGATCTTCATACCTTCATTATGGAGCCCTCGTTATCCGTGGAGAATCATATTCTGAAAGATCTGGTAAAGAAGACGTATCGCGACATCAATAATTACAACCCTCTAAACATCACCCACCCGCCTGCCATGCCCTACCTTGATTCAACTTCGCTCTCTGTCGATGGCGATGGCAAAGAATCCTCTATCAACATGATTGTTCCTCAGGATTGTTCTGGTTTCAACCTTGGTTCCTTCATGCTGCGCCGCAGCGCTTGGTCGGACCGCCTGCTCGATATCTGGTGGGACCCGGTTCTCTACGAACAAAAACACATGGAATGGGAGCACAAGGAACAGGACAGTTTGGAACACCTCTACACCCACCAGCCATGGGTCCGGTCGCACGTCGCCTTCGTCCCACAGCGTCGCATGAACTCGTTTCCTCCGGGCGCGTGTGGCGACGGGAGCAACTTGGGCATCCACTACCAGGAAAAGGACCGAGATTTCCTTGTGAATATGGCTGGCTGTGAATGGGGAAGAGACTGTTGGGGGGAGATGTATCAGTACCGGCAGCTCAGCAACCGACTGAACAGGAACCCATGGGAGAAATTCAAGGATGGAATCTCGGAAAAGTGGAAGAAAACCTTTGGTAAAAAGGAGAAAAAGGAAAAAGAAAAGGAGAAATCGAAAAAGTCATGATATAGAAGACGTCAAAATGATGCCGGTGTACTAAATTTTCACTTCTTAAGTTGTTACATGGAGGATCTCGTCCCGCGACTTGACTTCTTTTTTTCTTCTTTTCTTTTCTCTTATATTTTCTTTGGTCATTTCTTTGATCGAGTATGACACTATTAGAATGTTCGGCGTTATTTTCTACTTTTCGTTGTTTCTTTTATTGTGTTTGGATGGGTACAGTATCCAGTGCTCGACTGCATATGCTCATGTTGATGGCTGGCGTTTCTGGCGTTTGACATTGAACACCTCCACCTGAGGGCCTCTTATGCCTATTTCTTCGTATGTTTTGTAGGCTATCCGCCTGCGGTAGGGATGTTTCGAAACGGATCCTTCAGGGAAACATATGGCTTTGAATCAATAAACATTAATGCCTATTTTATACCTGCTCTCGTGTCCAATTCCAGTAATCCAAGGCGATCAAATTAATTCAACCCTTCCGGAGAGAATTTGCCCGCTGGGGTTGTTGCATTGTTGTTCCCGGATTTCTTACCGGCAAACATAATTCTATATTCTGGACGGAGTAAGCCCGCGGCAATATATAACCAATTCAGCGGAACTCAGTGATCCTGGCCGAAGGATCGTCCCTCCTCCGAGCTTCCCGTGAGTGGACGCGAAGATCCGCGACAGGGAAGCGTTCGCTTGGTCAACCAACCATCGCCAGTGAGTTTTGCTTACAAACAAGGGTCCCTCCCCTTCGCGAGCTTCTTGTTTGCGGCCGCCCAGCAGAGACGTCTTCCCAGACCGGTTGCATCCTGTGATATCCAATCCTTCAAATCAATTACTTGCAGAGTGTTTTCTTATCTGTTTTCTGTTGTTGGCAACCCACGGCCCACCGCCAATCCGGATTTTCTTTTACGCTGGACGGGTTACCGTTGATGATATTTCGGTTTACGGGGTGTAGCCTACCCTAAGCGGCGATATTTTCCTTTCCACACATAGCCCTGGCCAGACAGACATTTGATCGGGGCGAATATACCGTCCTGGCTCCAAGGCTTGTTCTCGCCATTCAGTCTGTCCATGTTTCTTCTCCTGGCCCCGAGCGGGTTTTTGATACGAATTTTTCCGTCCACCATAATGGTCATACGACGGACTGCTTGGCCATTGCAACTTCGTGGCATTATTCAGAGCGCTGTCCCTGCTGGTCTTCTTTTTTTTTCAGGCTGAGCGAGGCAAGGCATGCTATTCAAAAGTCCTCTATGATATACGTCGCCTTGATATGTATGCCATGCTCTGGTAGTCACTCAGCCAAGACTTTCACTTGGCCCCTATCTTTGCAACTCATGATGGAGCTGGCAGGTTCGGGCTCGGAGAGCGACCCCGCCTGCTCCTGATACAGTTCTATACGGGATGTAAAGAGTAAACGTTGTCTGATGCTGAACTGCCAAGCGATAGTCCCAACTGCAACTGTGTTTTTATCAGAAACTCCGCGGGAATCATCCCTAATTATCCAAGCTAGCTACGGAACACTATGGAGTGGAACTTTCTACGAAGGTGCCAGAGAAGACGCGGCTAGTTAGTCAACTTAAGCTGTCCGTGCACGTCGATCATTTGGCGTTGCTTGCAGCAGCAGAATAACATTTGAATGAAGGCCATTGCCCAAGGTTGCTGTAGGCCGTGGAAAGTGGAAGAATTCTGTTTAGTCTTCTAACATTATCTTGCTGTTACAGCTGCTATGTATTGAATGAGTCCTTTTCTTCAGACTGGAATTATCTCGAGAAAATGAAATGTGGGCATGTATGCCTTTCAAACCCGCCTGCATACATAGTCCGCAAAAAGCCAAGCACATGAAAGGCTTCCCAAGATGTAACATTTCTCAAGACTGCTTGTGCCGGTAAATTTTAGCGGCAATCTACCATATATCCAGGCTGTTTTCCCTCACCCTTCCATGGTGCTTCACACTCGGCCAATACACTGGCAGTTACCATCAAAATGGCAGATCAGAAGATAGCTCCCGTGATGTGAGTATTATTCGATCCTATCCGCAGTCTCTATGCTCTAGCTTTTAGCTGACTATATATTTCTTTCCAGTCCAGAGTCCCAGCCTTCAAACATTGTTGAGAAAGTGGAGGTCGTTGCTGCAAGAGAATCGGACCTAGATGAGGATCAGGACGAAAAGCTGAATACGCCTGACAGGGAAGAGCCAAATGAACTGGAAAAGGCTACACTTAGGCATGTCAGCGATAAACTGAGCTTGTCCGTTTGGCTGGTTGCTATCATCGAGTTTTGTGAACGATTTGCCTATTATGGGTTGAGTGCTCTGCTGCAGAATTACGTCCAAAGGCCCTTAGATGGAAGCCTGGGACGTGGAGCCCTGGGTAATTATGAACTTATTAGCCCACTCTTTTTTTTTATTCGCTAAATATGCTTAAGGTCTCGGTCACAGAGGCGCCACTGCGTTAACGACGTTTTTCCAGTTCTGGTGCTACAGTCAGTAGTGGAAGATTGTTGTTTATCTAACAGCTGAAACTAACAGAGAAGTAGTCACTCCTGTTCTTGGGGCCATTATTGCGGATCAATATTTGGGAAAGTACAAGACACTCATTTTATTTTGCGGCATCTATCTCCTAGGTCTGGTGATCCTACTTTTGACTTCGTTGCCCATCGCCTTGCAAAATGGGGCCGGTCTTGGTGGCTTTATTGCTGCAGTAATTGCAATTGGACTTGGAACTGGTGGTATCAAGTCCAACGTGTCTCCTTTGATTGCAGACCAGTATACCCGAAGAAAAATGGCAGTATCTACCACAGAAAAAGGTGAACGTGTGATTTTGGACCCTGCTGTCACGATTCAGCGCATCTACATGATATTTTATTGCTGTATCAACTTAGGATGCCTTTCCATGCTTGCTACTCCTTTCATGGAGAGAGACGTTGGATTTTGGTCAGCATATCTCATGTGCACAATTGTTTTCTGCCTTGGAATTGCGATTTTGGTCGCTGGCAGGAAGATATATGTCATCAAGCCACCACATGGTACCATTATTACAGACGCTTTCAAGGCCATCTGGATGATGATTAAGGCTCGAAACATGGATGCTGCTAAACCAACTTATCAGGCTAGCCTCAGTGCTGGTGGGAGTTCTGTGACGTGGGATGACCACTTTGTTGAGGAATTGAAACGTGCCCTCGTTGCCTGCAAAGTCTTCACTTTCTTCCCTATTTTTTGGGTGGTGTACGGCCAATTCGCTTCCAATTTTGTCAGTCAAGGTATGACGATTAGCAATTATTGTTTCCTTGATGAAACTCATTTTTGGCTTCTTACCACACAGAAACTAACTGCATTTTTCCTTAGCGGGTCAAATGGCGGGTCACGGCATCCCAAACAACTTTATGCAAACCTTTGATCCCATTGCAATCATCATCGCTATCCCGGTTCTCGACAGAGTGGTGTACCCTATTTTGCGAAAATACCACATCGAGTTCCGACCAATTACCCGGATTACTCTTGGTTTCCTTGTCGTTTCCCTTGCCATGATGTATGCGGCTATTGTTCAGCACATGATCTACTCAGCCGGGCCATGCTATGAAAGACCTCTGTGTGAACTTTCCATTGTCAATGGCGTCAAACACGGTAACGATGTACACATTGCTATTCAAGCGCCAGCATATATGTTCATTGGTATTGGTGAAGTCTTCCTTAGCGTGACTGGTTTGGAGTATGCTTATACGAAAGCACCAGAGAGGTTGAAGAGTTTTGTTTCTAGCTTGTTTCTCCTCACAAGCGCATTCGGTGCTGCACTTGGATTGGCACTTAGCCCAGTGGCGTATGACCCGGCCATCAAATGGATGTTTGTCGGGCTGTGCATTACTAGTGTGGTTACTGCGGGCATTTTCTGGCTCTTGTTCCGTGGGCTCAATAAGGAAGAAGACAAGATGAATTCGTTGGATAAAAATTATACTGGGGAGGATAGTTCATGAAGAAATGGCATTAAATCTGAAGAAGTGCCGTAGACCCCTACAATACGAACTTAAAGCTGCCTGGTAATCAAGCAAAGCAGATGTAGCAGTGAAATGCTAATCAAATTTAGGTTATCTGAATATAGGATAATCTAATCTTTTCTATTTTAGATGGCAAAAACTCCTTTAAAAATCCTTTGTACCAAGGGTTAGTATTCTAGCAGCCGTGAAAATACCATTGCTGGTCTTTTCCACCCATTCTTGTGCCAGTTTTTGCTTCTGGCCGAATTGGACTGCCTCTGTGATCCCAGGGAAAGTTGTTGCAGCATAACTATTTCGAAGTTAGACCGTATTCCTTTACCTTTGGAATGAGTAAACAGGAGGTGGAAACATACCCCGTGTCTACACCTGGGGCATAAATGACATGCTTATAAAATGCTCTGTCTGGTAAGCCACCTTGTGTCACAAAAGCTCGTTCGAAGTCCCTCATTTTATGGTTTACCGTATCCAATAGCTCATTGTCTTTTGTAATATTAGCTAGTTGCTTCGTTGCCGTGAACAACTTCACGGCTTCTGTAAAGGTTTTAATAGATAGCTCCAGTTTAGACAGATCGAGTTTCACATTTGATTTTGCTAGAAGCTCCTTGAGTTTGGCGAGATACTTGTTCAATTCTGTCGGGTAGTTAGCAACGTCAAAGGGAATTATCTTTTCAGTAGCCATGTTATATGCCATCAGACCAAGAACCTTGCCTATGGCAGCATGTGTTTTGTAGCCAGGGTCACCGAAGTTTTTCATCCAGTGGTATGAGTCGTAGTTTGAGTGGTAATGATAAATAGGATCGGTACGGCCACCGTAGCTGCCTAAGTCAACCTATATGTATTATTAATATAATCCTTTTTGTGTTTTGGCGGACCGACATACCGATGGGATGCCGTTGTGCACAAAAGGAACATAGTCGGAACTGGCACCAAGAACGCCAATGTAGGAGCCTCCCGCTCTCCATATGTCATAGACAGTCGTGTTCTGTGAACCCTTGACAGAATATACAACCTTTTTCATGGACTCAGTTACAAGCTCATGCATCTGTGGCGACGATTCAAATGTTGGGTTTGGCCCACCAACTGCAATATCGACATTAAGATATGCTACTGCAGCTGCTTTTAGCCATGGAAGCTATATTTACGATAAGCTTAATCCGAACTCGTGAGGCTAGGAGGGAAATTATCGCTCACATATTCTTCAACCCATTCTACAGAGCCTACAAGGCCATATTCCTCTCCATCCCAAGAGCACATAACACTGAATGGTTAGAAAATACTGGGTTTTCAAAGTACAGCAGGCAGACTTACATAGTACGTTTGGGTTTCCAACCGGCCTTTTGCAACGCCCCAAAAGCCTTCGCCAGTTCAACCATAACAGACGATCCAGAATTTGCATCTGCGGCACCTCCTATAATCCATGCATCGCGATGGTTCCCAAGGACAACAACCTCGTCCTGGCTTGTGCCATTTATTATTCCAACCGCGTTCCAAATCGGAGTATAGACATCACGCATACTATTCTTCAAGGTGAGTTTAGCTCCTGGAGCGGGCCCCGTTGAGTAAGAAGCATTTAAACGGCCAACCCATCCACTAGTGTTAACCTGTTTGCCTGTAATACCATGGCCATCGAGAGCCGCGAGAATTGGCTGAGCATCTATCCAGGAGATTGGCAGGGAGGGAATCTTTGGAACAAAATTACTCTTGTCCTGGCGGACAGAGCCTGGTTTTGAGGGGTATCCTGGAGTAGTGGGGTCACCGGGGTTGATAGAAAGATACTGAACAGATCCCCTCTGGATATATGTTGGATTTCGTGCTGGACCGTGAGGATATGCTGCATAGCCATTTGCTTCAGTCAGATTTCCATCATCGGCAATGTCGTTAAACATGACACAGCCAGCCATTCCGTTTTCTTGGGCATTCTTTACTTTGAGTCCCCTAGGTACCTATTTAGTAGGAGGCGAGTTAGGAAGGAGATCTCCTACCTGAAAAGACCACCATAACGAGCGAGGGCAATTTTTCCTTTGAGATCAACCCCAAGTTCCCGGAGTCGATCAAAGTCGGTTTTCCGCCCATAGCCAACATATACATACTCTGCCGTCACGGAACCACTGGCTGAATATCCATGAAAAGTTGGAATTCTATTTGGATAGCTTGTTGTTTCATCCTCGGGCAGCACCGCTTCCTTCAAATTTGCTTCATGTCTAGTCCCGTTGGCCAGTGAGAGTGACAGTGACTGTGATTCCGGATAATTCAAGTAAACAGTATACGGAACAACAGACGATTTCAACCCGAATTCAGACCATTTATCGGCGGTCCACTGGGCCATGCTGCGGTTTTGACCAGCCACATGAGCTCCATGGGTATAGTAGTATGACCAGTCATTGATCGAAGCGCCGTCAAAGCTGTTGACCAAGATAGATTCCTCCTTGGTTAGACGGGGTGGGAATTGAGATCGGTCCCGGCTTGTCAGGTATGGGTGACTGGGGTCAAAAGCTTGTCTTTGGCTGTGATCGATTCCACATCCATCCACAGCGAATGGAAGCAGAAGCGCGAGCAACGGAAACGCCGTGGAATGCATACCGGGCTAAATCTTTGAGTATCGACGCATGCTGGGGAAGGAAGGCAATTGGAGACTCGTATCCCCTTATATAGCCTTAGCAATAGACGGCACAAGTCCAAAGATACCACGATGAGCCACTAACGGCGTGTTCAGCCGGCGGTTGATCATCGAAATCGTTGCTTCATTTGGCATAAATGCTACATGCGGGTCCTTTCACAATTTCACATTCCCCGCATCTCGTTTCCAGGCCAGAAGCCCGAGGAAATACGGAAAACTTGGAGATTTGAGGGTATAGAAAAGGTTTTCGCTCGTGCGATACTTCTGCCAGCTGGCCCTTTGTATGCAAGGAGCATGCTGTTTGTCCAGGATCAACTGGCCGACGATGCAACCTAAACGGAGTTTCCATGTCTCTTTTGCGGAGGGTGACCCATGTCGAACCCATGTTGAAGTTACAAGGGTTAAGGGCGGCATATTTATGCACCAGACTTTCTGCTGAGCTGCGAATAATATTTGGTAGACAAAAAGCTTTGGTAGCTAAGCTCGCAAACTCGGAGGTTTTGCTGTTCATGAGTTGACTAGTTATGTAGTTAGTTAACTGATTCGTCAGTCAGCGCGTTGTCAATGAGGGGCAACTAAACCAGACAATATATATAACGAAATAGAATAAAAGCCCTCCTTTTAATTGATAAACTGTCTGTTGAGTGTTATGCGCATATGTACCCCGTACATACCTATGGAATGGGCAAATAGTTTTTTGCTAGCAAGCTAAAGCAACAAAAGTATGGAAAGCCTTTGATGCCGAGAGAACCAACTACAGAGTGCTGCTTTAGCAAAAGTCTTAAAAGCTATTTACACTGGAAGCCATGATCAAGGATATGTCAGACACGATCGCAACTGAGATGCTTTCCTTCAACCTTGATTCAGCCTTAGTTTTAGCATATTTTCTGCATATGAGCATTTCTCCGATAAGATGGATTCTGGATTTGAAAATTGCCGTCATTATATACTACAAGCGTTCCTTGAACATGGAAAATAGGCAGATCAATTTTAACAGAATAATCAATGCATTTTTGTTCATAGGTCACATCACTATAGTTGGGTCAAAGGCAGAGTCCACAACTCCGACATCACAGACAAGGAAAGGTCATGATAGATCGAGAATAATTAGGGTGTTCCAAAATCAGTGTCCAGAAACCCAAGAAGAAATAAAATCGTAGAACTCTGAACAGAGATATCTTCCAACTCTGCTATCGCATGTCTATTCGAAAAATCTGTAGCCGCCAAACAGGCCCTGCTTTTGTCTTGAAAAGAATCTTTATTTGAAGAAAGGAAAAAAAATCAAATACGTAAAATAAGCATAAACAAGAACAAGAAGGGCTCAAGGAGAGGGAGATCAGGGGACATAATTTTATTTGCTCTGCATCAATATTCTATCCCAAATATACCAAAGCCATTGGAGACGCAACTAGAAGGTTATGACAGCGCCATTAGGAAATATATGGAGTGGAGCTTTGACGGGATAGGGAGTTTAATCCTTTTGATCAAGCATTGTGGTCGCTGAAGACGCCGTTTTCTATGTTTTTTCCGGTAGCTGTGGATGCTGTCACACTTGCAGCACCTTTCGAGGCAGTATCGCTGCGAGCCTTCTTCGTCGTTTGAATAATGAACCCGTCTTCCTCTTTGGGTCGCGATTGGGTACTGTCCCCGTAGAAAAATTCACATTTATACTTTAGGAACTCCTCGTGATTGCCATAGACAGTGATAATATCGCCAGTATAGACTCTTCCAAAGAGGTATGACATTCTATCTGGAGTCTCGCTCTGCAGCTCTATGTCATTGACCCAGATGCGTTTGCTCGTTTTGGTAGACACAAGCGTGACTACATCTGGGACCGTTAGCCAGTCTTCCCCCGAATCAATTCGCGCCTCGATAGCAGGCGCCCAGAAGGTCAATTCGAGAGCATATGCTGGAATACGGACATCCATTCGGTCGGGGTATCGAATCGTATTGCCTGACCCGCGGCCCCAGGAGGTCATTCGAGAACGGAGGTGAATAACCTGGTCAGTAATTGAGCCGGGTATCGGAGTTAATTTTCCTAAAATGGTGGGAGGCTTTGCTGATGTAGCGGTGACTTGGCTGTCTGTTCCTGGTTTTGTCGTTGACTGGGAATAGCGGTCAACAGTAGCTGAGGAATGCGGTTCATGATGAGAGTCGGACTCTGCCGACTGACGGACACTTTGGCCCGTCCGCTCGTCAATAGTACAGGCGAGCTCTTCCCAAGATGCTTCATATGATTCGTCCCCCGGGTGGTCATTTTGGAGGGATAGATTACGGGATAATCGTGCTCTCAAGCTTGCACTGGAGGAGCTTCTTTGGCCGGGGGTCAATACTCGGCGCACTGGGCTAGGTCTGGCATGCTTCTCACCATAGTCTAAATTATCTTCCACGTCAGCGTAGCTTTTATCTCCTACATCATCCCCGCTGTAGTATGAGACTTCATTTTTTTCTTCCTTGTCACTATTTGGAGAGGTAGATACACCGCCAAAAGAGCCCATGTTCACATTCCCAGCAAGTGATTCGGCACTTTGTAAACTTGAAGTCGATCTACCGAATTTTGGCGGTATTTCAGAGAGTAGATATTTGGATGGAGCCGCATTGTGTAGTCTGTCCTCAAGTGGTTCCGATTTACTGTTGGAGGACTGGCTCTCATGTACACTCTCGAAATCCCGCTGAAATTGGGGCCCATCCATGCGTACTTGAAGATCACCGAGAACACCAGAGCTTTGCAGAGCTGAGCGAGGTATTTCGCCAAAAAGACGTTTTGCTGTAGGTGTAGACCCCAAAACGGCACTGGACCCAAAATTATAGCTTGAAATATCTGGGAGAGACGGATACGGAATGTTTTCAGGAAGAGGGATGGCGATTAGATCACCGTCTTGTTCCTCTTTCACTCTTGGCCTTTTAATATTCGTAAAGTCCGAAATAGACGGGTCGTTAAGATCACTTTCTTCTGCGAAAGGGTCATCTGTGATATCGTGTAAATCGATTCCAGAGGCACTTAGCTGTTCATATTCACTGGAATCAGGCTCACTGGCCTCTGCTATGGCCTTCAGGTCAGTGTTCACCTGTTCTTCTTCTACGTCGTCAATCTCCATGTAATCAAATTCATCTGGAATATTAACGAGCCAGGGATGTTTGAAACAACGTGATTCTTTGGGCCTAGATTGTGGATCTCGGTTCAAAAGACTGGATATAAAGTCTATTCCAGCTTCTGAGACGCCAACTCTGCGCAGTTTGTTGTAATTTGCATCAGTCGTCATTATGTTCTGTAGCATTTGTGCGCCTCTGTCATCCGCACGGCCCATATAAGGAGGAGCCCCGCAAAGAATATGAAACAAAACAGCACCGAACGACCACATATCTACTGATTGGTTATATGGGGAGGTCTTGGGTAAGCTAGTATCAAGAGACAAGTTAGTACACGCAGCAAAAATAGCCGGGAAGAAACCTACGGATCACCAACTCGCCGTCGCTTTCGAGCCTCCTTTTTTTTATAATCTTCGTATTCCGGATAAACCTCCGGCGCACAATAGAGTAAAGTTCCACAAAAGGTTTTCAGAAAAGTCTCCTCTTGTACAACTTTCGACAAACCAAAGTCCGATAATTTGACTCTGACAGGATCAAGGGACGATATAAGAATGTTGTCCGGTTTGATGTCACGATGTGTGATTCTTTTGCTGTGGAGATAGTGTAGCGCGTGCAAGATCTGTCGCGCAATGGTTTGAACCATGCTTTCCGGTAGCTTTCCCATTTGAGACATGAGCGAAGAAAGCTCTCCACCACCAACATACTCCATGATAATATAAATCCAGCGATTTTCGTGGTCATGATAGTCATGGAATTGGACAATGTTAGGCTTTTGCTTGTTAGATTGTAAATATCCAGAAGATCGTCGGGCAGAATACTTACGTGCTCCAAATCCCTCATGATCCTCATCTCGCTATCGACTTTGTGATCTAGCATAGTATTTTTCATAAGACGACGTTTGTCGAGTTCTTTGCAAGCAAAAAGAGTGCCATCGTTTTTCGTTGCCAGTTTGTATACAGTGGCAAAGGCACCTTTGCCTATTTGTCCAGTGACATTGTATTTTGAGCCACCATTCCATCGCATACCATGAGAATTGAAGTTTTGCTGAGGAATAATAAATTCGGATACCTCCCGGCCGTTCTCCCCCCCAACATTTTTCGTGACATTACGGATCTTGTTGAGGTACTGGACGAAATTTCTATGGTATAGCCCCTGATATTCGTCTCGCGGAGGAATGCGAACAATAAACTTGATCTCCGAATTCACTTCGCTACCTAGAACCTGGATAATGGAGCCAGACATAAGCATCTGAGTAGTAGGAGTGTTGTCCTTGCGATCCTTCCGAATTAGTATATCATCAACGACTGTGCCATTTGTTGAGGTATCTTCGAGCATTATAATGCCGTCGGTCTTGATGTATATTCGAAAGTGCATATTCGAGATCTTTTTTTCGTTTTCATCCGCAGTGATAAGTATATCACAACGAGAAGAGTTCCGCCCAAAATAGAACCCGGCACCAAGGTCTTTTACGTATGATGAAAACCTAAGAGCAATGTCATGATTTTGCTCAATAGGAAAATTAGGATCTGGTTCATATTCAAGATCATGGTGCTGTTTCAATATGTGCTGAGGAGCCCGCCTGGCAGTGGCAGCAACTGCTCTGTGGGCGTGGATAGAGCTAGGGTGCAAAATACAGATGATGTCTGCGACATCTTGCTGGTCTAGGCCTGAGTTGTGAACCCCACTTCGTCTAGGATCTGCGTACGGCTGAGTCGAAGGCTGCGTTGCGTCGTCCATTGTGGGGGTACTAGATCCGGCCACAGACAGTTAAGGCCAGTGAGTTAGAAATCACAACGGTTGATCTATCGCCCGAATCAAAAAGCGATTGACGCTTTGAAAATGCCAGAGAGAGATGAGTGTGTTGAGAAAGGCTTCTTTTTGGGCCTTGATCTGAAAATTGTAACAAAAAAAAAAAAAAAGTCAGAAGATTGTCGATCAAACCTGATTTCAACAAGGCTAAGGTCTCTAGAGATGGTATATAAAAAAGCCGACAATCTGTAGGGTGGTAAGAGTCATATTAACAGAAGCCAAAAGAGAGCACCAGATCTAGTGAAAACAGGTCGTCAGGTGGGATGCAGTTGCTTCAGCAACGCAGGGCTTGGTCTGAAATTGAGACGACAAGCAAATGTGCAGGCACAGGCGTTTAGCGGCAATGCACTACACTGTGAAAAGCAGAATGACTCTTTGAAAGGTAAAAAACAAAAAAAAAAAAAAAAAAACTGGGACTTGACAGTCTTTATATCGACATACCTTTTGGTAAGCAAGCTAGGATTTCTGCACAAATCCACACAACTAAGCCTCGCCAAGACAAGCACAGTGCCGACAGTTCTAACACTTCATTTGACTCAATTGGAGGTTTGAATGGTCTATTCAGATTTGCACCCGAGAAGTAGTGGGGCAGGTGCCCAAAGATCCTCTTTAACCAGGGCGCAGTCGAGCCCAAATTTGCGGCACAGTCGTTTTAGCCCTGGCCGAGCAGCTCATCCCATCCCACCCCCGGCGGCGGCGCGTTGTCAGTGGTCGGTGCGTGGAGACAGCGCTACAGTGGTTTGCAGGTCAGATCGACACCGTAACTACCTCACACGCAAGTCGCTGGGTAACGGGGTGGGACGAGATAAGACAGGCGAGCCAGAGGCGGATTGAGGAAACCAGGGTCGGCAGCGGCGCTATTCAGTCTGCAGGGACTATACGGGGCGAGCCGGAGAAGAGTTAGCAAACGCGAGGTTCCTTCAGCTGGCAATGGGGCAGCAACGGGAGCGCGCCGGTTGGGCCACACCCAGGGTTGGTTAGTTCTGGGACGCACCTGGAGCCTAGAGGCGGGGGAGCCTGAGAGCCGCACGCTGTTGCCACGGGTGAACTGGCCGTCGACAGCAGCACCAGGGCGGGGTTGGACGGAAGGGAGCGAGGCTGGAGCGTCGTCGCACAGCAGCGGGTGAAGAACGGACAGACTCGACAGGCGCAGCACCCGCTCGCCGTTCTGTTTGGTGGTCGCCGAACCTTCCCCGGACGGGCGCCCGGCCTGGCCCGTGCCCGCGCTACGCCACTCCCGGCTAGCCCAGTGCTTGGCTGCCCGTTGTGGCGGGACGGAGGGCTTTCTACTACAAAAACTCGCGAAGCAGCACGAATATATGAGAGATGCAGGTCTATTCGGTACGCCAGCGAGCAGAATACGCCCGTTGACTCGCGCCTATGGAACATCACCGCTGGCCATAGCGTTTGGCGTTGTCCTCGCTGCCGGGAGTTGGTGCCTGCCCGCTGAGCGCCGCCTCCATCACGCGTTCCAGCCTCTCGATCGCCTCGTTTCCAATTTCTATTGCGCAGTCAGCAACTAAAGATCACCACGCATGGCCAGCAGACTTACGGTAATGGACGACCAATCTGTTTCCCATCAGCCGCAGCCCTTCCTGGCGCCCAAGCTCTTCCCACTGACTGCTGGAAACATTCGCAGCATCTAGATTAATCCAAACCATGTTCGTTTCCGTGACATTCTCCAGCTTACCGCCCTTGCTAACCCACATCTCTGAAATTCTCCTAGCATTTTCATGGCTTATCTGGAGTTTTCCCCCCTCGCCGTGCGCGCCCTTCCCAAACGTGTCTTCAACCGCCACCCGAGCGGCGGCGGCGATAATGCCGGCTTGTCTGGTTCCACCGCCAATGGATTTCCGGAACCAACGCGCCTTCTTGATGAATTCGCTAGAGCCCACCAACATGCTTCCAATAGGTGCTCCGAGGCCCTTGGAGAAACACAAGCTCACGCTATCAAATAACCCTGCATACTCCGTGATACTTCCGGCTCCTGCGGCCGTTGCATTCCACAGTCTGGCACCATCGAGGTGGACCTTCAAGCCATGGCTACGCGCCCATTCACAGATCCTTTGTGCTTCGCTCAGCGGCATAATTGTCCCGTCCAAAGTATTCTCCAAGCTGATCACGCGTGTCGGACAGCCGTGAAAATCATCGGATAGGATGGCATGCTGTTGGATATCTTCAAGCACGAGATAGTGTCCATTGCTTGGTATGATACCTTTTAGATACGCCCCAGTCCAGGTAGTTACACCACCGCCCTCGTAGTGGATGATGTGCGCACGGTGGTCACAGAGGATTCCATACGGAGGCTGCGTAAGATGTGTCCGGAGTGCCACCTGGTTGCCCATTGTGCCAGACATGACCAACAAACCTTCTTCTTGGCCGCTAAGCTTTGCCATGAAATCTTGTAGAGCGTTTGTGGTGGGATCTTCCATGAAATCATCATCAAGAAGCGAAGCGTTCGCAATAGCCTCCAGCATTGCGGTCGTTGGTTTTGTCACCACATCGCCTATTCAGCCATCAGAACGTGCATACATCAACTCCACAGAGAGAAAGTGGCCCGTATGTATATACATACTTCGAAAGTCAAACGCTGCTGTTCCTGGTGCCTGCCAGGAACTTCCAGCCTGAACGTACAGTCCTTGTTGTGCTTCATTCATACTTCTTGGAAATTTTGCCCGTGCGTCAAGCGACGGAATGTACGTGGCACGGCTTGGTCTCAAGAATAATGCAGCAACTCGTCGCACGGGTGCTAGGCCATGTCTCATCTTGGACGTCTTCTTGGGATGCTAATGAATTCCAGTGCATGCGGCCTGGCAATATTTGGGGTGCCCCGCCCATCCTCGGCTAGTCCGTCGGTAGTTTGCCAGTTGAACTTAAATGGCAATGGTCATAACGGCGAACTTTTCTAGACGACAGCTTCTATTATATGCTAAACGATCATTTTGTCCAGGCAAAAGACGCTTTTCACTGGGAGTTCCGGGCGGTGCCGGAACAAGCTTTGCTCACGAATCATATCATTCGCACCGTTTTGTGGCTTGACTAGGTCCTCTCTATTTCAAAAAACGATGGGACCAAAAGCTGAGAAGCTATTCTCATATGGTAGATATCTAGACATGGAGTCATAGCTCGCTGGTTAAGCTAGTTTGATGATTACTTCTACTCGATAATCAAAGCACTGCCTGATCAACTGAGTCAAAATGATACTACTCGAAATTCATATACTCATTTTTCCTCTTTGTGGTGAATCTTTAATGTTTCATCTCACCTTGTTGGGAATTCTTTACACGGGGGCCTATAACAATATTAACCGCAAAGACACCGAGACCTCTCAAAGCCATGGATTTGCTTTTGTTGATGCAGCTGTCTTGCGTAGTCTAGGTACTCAAGGCCCTCGTAGTTCTAACATATCAAGATAAGAAGCAACTGTATTATCTACCTACTATAAATATACATTACTTTACAGTGAGAAATCCACATCCATCACGGGCGAACTGCAACGCCTTCTTCAGCGCCTGTTCTTCGGTATCTGTCCATTTCACGGTCAATTGGTCCCAAGGTTTTCGGCTCCGAAATTCTTCCAGGTATGTCTTGTGCATAGCTTGCAATCGAACAACTTCCCGCGGGTCACCGGTTCCTGAGTAAACCATAAAGAGGGTGCATGGCGGTAAGCTGTCGTAGATACGTTTAATGTAGGATACTGTCTTTGCCACGGTACTACCAAGTGTATCTGGGTCCACTGCTGATGGTGACGGTTGCACAGCGACGGAGCTTGAATCATATGAATTGGATGTACCGGGTACGCGGTTGCACCAACCTCGAAAGACTTCGAGTTCTCGTAGCCTCGCCCACGTGAAGTCTACTCCTCCGGGAGGAACAGGCAGGCCATCAGTGTCTCCGTTAACCGCTTTGCTTAACGCAGCGACCACTTCTTCGTCGTTTTGACAGCCCAAGGCTACTGAAGCCTGGGCACCAAAACCGCGGTCGGGGTTGCCCCAGTCAACAACAGCACCAGTTCGGCCTTCGCCTTCTGCTGCACGGCCAGCCCGATGATCTTTCGAGGCTCGCGAAAGTCGGCGAAAAATGCTCTCATTGGAACAATCACTGGTGCCCCAGCGTTCGCCTTTTTCGCACTTTTGTTTCAGAAGGTCCAAGACTGCTCTGGCATCTTCGATTGAGTCGTGGCCAGCTTGGCCCTTTTGGATTTCCCGTCCAAGATATTTTTGAACTAACCATTTGAGACTTGACCTCAGCGGGGGTCCGCGAGGATGCGGATAAAGTAGTGCGGTGTCGATGATAAACGGGTGTGTTAACTTCAGAGCATTTAGATCCGAGTTCAAAGAATGGCCAACAAGTATGCAATTGGGAGTCAGGATATTCAGTAATCTCTTTTGAATATCGTCCAGCGTCGTTGTAACTGGATCCAAAATCTCTTTCGTTACGCCGGAATATTGAGTCAGGTAATCAATCACTGGGCGTTCGGGCTTGACAAACTCATCGAGAATGACTTCGCCATCCCACCCAACCATACTTATCCGTGTAAGCTCAGATTTCCCACCTTCAGTTATGCACATCTCACAGTCAAGGGCGAGTACCCGACGGCCAACCGTAATGCTGCCAGTCTGGATTTCACTTTCTGGAACAATTGCATCCTTAACATGGCTGATATTTGTGTCAACCCAGCCATGTTCTGCAGACTGCTCTGTTCGACGGCGAATATTTGCATAGGCATTTTTTTCGTTTACTGTATCAAACAATGCTGGATGCAGAACATAATCGCCTTCTTTTAAATCTTGGGGGGAAGTAATAAATGTTGTAACAGAAGCCTGTTTGGATGCCCATGATTGGTTTCGTGGCGGCCTCGGCCCTGGCCCATTATTGCCGTCTTTGCCTGATTTTTGAAGTGCGGACATGAGGAAAGCCTGGAGTGGCGAATGGAGCTTGTTATATTTCGTATCTCCAGGGGATCTGACAGGCCAAATATGCGGGAAGATCTCAGATAGCGGCTGCAAAGCGTCAGGGAGTTCTTCATTAAGAAGTGATTTCGGGTTTGAGCGGTTCAAAGTCCGATCTAGAGGTACGCCTTTCTTCCACATTTCAAATTCGGTAGGCTGTTCCACGCTCTCGGGGGATTCAACGTCTGTGTTTGCTGAGGGGGCCTCTGGCCCGGTCAGTTTTACCGATCCGTCAAACATTCCAGTTTCTAAACCAGGGACCATAACCACAACTGCTTTTCTTATATGGCCCGAATGTTTCACCGATATCCACTGGGGAGAAAGACCATCTGCAAAACAGTAAAGTAATAGCCCCTGCAAGTCTGATATCTTGATTGGATTTTGCATTTGCCCATTAATATACGTTAGGCTGGGGTACTTGACTTTCTCCTTCCCTGTCTTTTTCTTTTTCTTTTTCCCAAGCTCCGAGTCCGGGCAATTTTCTGCAATATCGCTCTCTGCACCTCCCTGGTGGGGCTTTGCAACGCGTGGAGCCGCAGGGGGCTCACGAAGGAGAGAAAGAGTGTTACCTATGCCAAAGGCATTGCTAAGCTGGGAGCTTTCCATCGCATCCCGGGAAGAATCTCCGCGCTTACGCTTCTTGCCCATTATTCTGCAGGCAGCAAATTCGATTGAGGTGCAACAAGAGATACCTGACGTCTGTCTAAACGTCCACTATGAGTATAGTATGTGAATACTACCAAAATAAATAATTTCGCAGAAAATATGAATGCATGCCTTGGATTCTACGATTAGTAGAAACCAAATCAAAAGGTCGTTAAAATTGATGCTCGCACCTCGATGGACAGGCGAAAAGCGTAAATTATGGCCTCTATGCCAAGCATCTTCATTGAGTTAACTTAGTTACCTAATCAGTAGTTAGTGTGGCGTGTAACTAGATAGTTATTCCGTCCCGCCGCTGCCAACCTTGTGCAGGTTCTATCATGAAGCACAGCACAAGGTTTCGACACAAGGACCTTCGACATGATAGCTACATCTATATATGCATATCCTTCAATAGGCTTCCTGCTTACATTTTATTCGCTTCACCGTGTTCAAAAACCGTCCCGAGGACGTTTTCTCCGAATTCTCTTTTTCAAACACCATCAATTCTTCTTTCAATGACTAAACAACCCGACCCTTGACTTGCTTGAAGTCCTTTACCTTTATATCTCTCCAGATAGCCACAGACACTATGCCCAGACTCAAGATGGCTGTCGCCCCAATGAGCATATATTTCTGAGCTTCTCCATACGCCTTATTGATGGCAATTCTGGTCGGGCTTCCAACGGGATACGACGTCTGTACTTTGAGGTCGGAATAGATTGAAGTAAGGTTTCCCTGTGCCTCAGATGGGAGATACTCAGCAAGCTTCTTTGGAAAAGTGCCAGTCCAAACGGCTGCCGCAACGGTACTTCCGATAGCTCCACCGATACTCGCAAACATCGACTCGACTGCAAGAATAACGGCAACGTATTGGTGAGAGGTAGCGGCCATTACCGCCATTTGTTCACAGATAACACACGCGCCACCGGCAAATGCGATAAAGACCTGGCACATGACAATGTAGCCAACGTTCACATCTGGCTGTCGGAATTTTATCATAAGGCCAACTCCCAAGATTGTAACAGGGACGCCAAAATACAAGGCGATCCATTTGAAACGTCCACTCCAACGGATTAAAACGCCAACTATCAATCCTGAGATGCAAGAACCGATACTATAGACGTTGCCAATGTATGTCGAGTATGTGATGCTTAAATTTGGGACGACTTGGAGGAACGAAAAGAAATAGCTGTTCCAGATGTACCAGCTGACGAAAAGCACAGCGGAGAGGATACAGGCTCCAACGACAGTAGGATCTGTTAAGAGTTCAAATGGAATAAAGGTGACTGGCGCCCAATAACGTTCATATAAAGCGAATGAAACAAGTAGGACACAGCCAACAATGATCAAGCCTATGATTATTGGTGATTTCCATCCATCTGGCTGGTAAGAATAAAGGCTGAATGGTAGAAGGAATAAAGCGAGTCCGCCGGTAATAAGAATTAAACCAATCACGTCGAACTCGATAAAGTAATATTTCAAGGATTCGAGTTTCGTTCTGTTGCTTTCCCGTTTCGGTACCAGGCCCGCCTTTTTGGCTTTATTATAGTTATACATGAACAATCCAAAAAGAGGGAAAGTGATGACTGGAGTGATGATGGCGAAAACGCCAAACCCCCATCTAAATCCAGCGCCGTTCAGGAAAGCGGTGGCAACGGGTCCACTGGTCCAAGTTGTAATAATATAAGGAGAGGCCGCAAACGCAAACATCAGACCTCGATTTTTAAGCGCCGACGTGTCAGCGATAAAGATGGACATGCTGTATGTGATGCCATTGTAACTAACAGAAGGATTTAGAGTCTTGGTATCAGAAGCTTGAATTGCAGAGCAGTGGAGAACCTACCCAACCCAGTAAAAGACCTGAGCAGCCGCGAAAGTCTGAACATTGTTACATGCTGCCATCATAACGAGGCCGATGATCATTACGACAACCATAATGGCAAAACCTTGTGGACGACCCCAGATATCAAGAATTTTCGCCAAGGGAAGCTTGAAAAGGCCGCCTATGAGGCTCGCCATGATGCCTGTAGCAGCAGTCAACGAATGCTGGTTGAAGTTGCTTGTTACATAAGGCGTCAAGGCGAATGACATCCCCTGCTGCAGAGAGTCCAAAAATGTAATAAGCCAGATTCTGCCGTGCTACGTTAGCTTGGTCAAACGGGGCCTGAGGTGGATGGCCAACTCACAAAACGTAAGCCGCAACGAGGTGGGACGTGCTCCAGACCGTCGTCGTGGCCTCCATCTTCTGTACGCCGGCCTGGGCATCCTTGGAAATCGTATCACTGTCTGCATCGGAGATGAATTCACTCTCTTTGACCATTTCAGCGTCTGGAGCTTGTGGGTGCAGCTTCTCGGCGAGCGGCGCTGCGGGGCCGACGTTGGGAAAATGCGACTTCATCCCGGTACAGTGGTGGAAACGCTCAGGATCAATCGCGGATACTGCGTGCAGAGGTAAAATCCGCTCACAAATATTGCCTAAGGTATCGAGATATTGTAGCTCGCCCCAGCGATGGAGTGATCAATCGGAGGGAACGTCAGACGACTGCAGGAAAAAGCTGATTATGTAGTATCGAGGGCAAAGTGCGAGTCTCCGCCACAAACTGCAGCACTGAATTTTCCGTCAAATCATTTTGAGGGAGGCCCAATCCCATTCCAGGCACGTTTCCAGTCCAATATTCGCTGGTTTAGGGAATTGAGCCCATCTCTACCAATAGGATTCGCATGTTCCTTATCTAAAATCATTTCTTGGATTGGCTTTTGATTCTTTCTTTCAAAACAAAAGAAAAAATAACATTATCTGATAACCCGATAGTTACGCTATGTAGTTATACTCAACAAAGCCGGCTAGAAGCCTCGCGCTTGGGCCTATCCGTTTAAGCGAACCAGGCAAAAAGGTTTCGCCGGCGTGGGCTTGCCAATATCCTGCCATGAATGTCTGACAATGAGCCTACTCTCTATTTAAAGAAGTTGCCGCTTTCCATGATATTTTCCCCTCATTTTCCTTTGTTTTTCATGGGCATCCAGTATTGGTGGGGACTGTGAAGCGAAGCACGGAAAAACTTAATCTGTCCCTGCATCTAATCAGATCAATCTTATCAGATTTTCGCTTTGTTCCTGCAACTATGGAGCTAAAGGGTTCAGTTTTGGGTGAACAAAGAAGGCGAAAGAATGGCATATTTAAATCCTTCCTTGGCCGCGCGGGGCTCTTGGAGCCCATGACTTACATACGGGAGTTCATCCCGGCAGACCACCCCTGTGCGCCCATACTGCCGAGGATTTCGGCCGTTTTACGATACACCGTACTTCGTACATACGATTGAAACAGCCACCGTTTTATTACAGATCCTTACAGTACATACGCATACGTCAATTATATCATACTATGCTCCGTACGGGGTAAAGAGTACTCCGCACATATCTCAATTCTTACAGGAACCGTCAAGGCACTAAGGGGCAATTTCCGTATGTTATTATGGGTCACCCAAGATGACAACCGACCCGATGAAAAAATTCCTCGTTCAGAATGATGCTGTGGGCGACCGGCAAATACATGAGCCTTGGGTGGTATGCGATTACCTAGGCGATTGTTGCAACCCACGCTAACGAAGACAACAGAATTCCGAAGCCAATCACTGAAAAAAAGTCATCGAAGTAAATAGGACGGCAAGTGATCTTGTTTAACCAACTTGCATTCTCCTCTACCAGTTACATATACACGGCATAATATGTCAGCGACCACCAAATCTTCGGATCTGCCGCTTGTGCGGTTGCCAGAGCCTTACAAGACCAAATACGAGTTTTGGCAGAATGCGGCCAGTTCAAATGGTCGAATATTCCAGCTTCGTTTGTCGAACGACCAAGAGGGAGTTTTGCAGAGTCCTCCAGCACCGCTTCACAACGCAACGCTCCTGTTCAGCGAATTAATCTCGAGCCCCCAGTCCCGTTTGCCGTCTGAAGGAGACAATACTCCCTGGGGCAGAGCCTGTCGACATTTGGTATCGTACGTCACATGGGATGGGCCAACTGCTCCCACCGTGGGTCAGATTTGGCTGATAACGTACGCGATATTTTCTGTCTGGCCGGCTGAGGAACACTTTCGTCTTTCCTTTTCTGGTTCTAAGAAAGCCCGTCTTTGCGAGGAACTTGTTGCCACCGGACTTTGCAGGCCCTTCCCAAATAAAAATGGCACAGCGCAAGTCGACGACATTCTCACGTCTAGGGCAGCGTTTTGGCAAGGGGCGGCGTCGCCGTTTGGAACGCGTCCTATATGGGTTTTACCGCCACGAGAGGACTCTGAACGGCAAGTTAGCGATTATCCGGCATTTCCCCTCCAGTATACCATTACAACCGAATTGTCCAATCGACCTGTGCACACACAGCACCCCGTACGCCCAGCAAAACCGGCCCGTGGTGCTCGGATTTATAGCAGATATATTCCTCACCTCGACGAATTTTTCTCTATGGTGCATCTTGACTACCAGAACGAAACTCACCTCGGTCTTTTCCACAAATGGCAAAACGACCCAAGAGTTGCAGTGAACTGGAAAGAAACAGGAACCTTGGAGCAACATCGTGAATATCTGCGTAAAATTGATGTGGATCCTCATCAAATAGCGGTACTTGCCAAATTTAATGACTCTTATTTTGCATACTTTGAGATATATTGGGCAAAGGTAATACCAACCTATCTTTACCTTCAACATGCTGCGTACCTAACTAATAATGTACTTGAATAGGAGGACCATATGGGGACATATTACCCTGCTCTGGACTGGGATCGTGGCCGGCATGCGCTAGTAGGGGACATCAGGTTCCGAGGCCCGCACAGGGCGATGGCCTGGTGGTCAAGTTTGGTCCATTTTATCTTCCTAGATGAGCCGCGGACGACATGCGCTGTTGGCGAGCCAAAAGCCACTAACGAGCCGGTAATGGCATATGATGCCGCGAATGGGTTCCATGTCTATAAATGGGGCGATTTACCACATAAAAGATCTGCTATGGTAAGGTGCGAGCGGGTGCGGTTCTTCGAGGTAGTGAACTTTGGGTTTTTGACAAGCGATGGAACTGCAAAGTCCGCAAAGCCTAAAATGTAGTTAACTAGTCGATCTCCTGGGATGACAAGGAACAGTTCCACTCTATTTGAGAACGTATTAATTGGCTGCCTGAAACTGTCTATCAATGCACAGGACATGCTGACTAATCACCGCCTAAACTTGACTCCAAAGGAATCATCTTGCAGCCCAACAACAACCACGCAACAACCACACTTTTGTACATCATACGTTGCAAGCAAAAACGCTAACAATACAATAATCAAATCTAGTCTAAGCTTTTGTTAATAAATTACTACCCAACTCCCGTAGGACCTGCTTTTGAACCTTGCCACTACCAGTCAGAGGCATGATGGGAGGAAGGCGGGGATCCAACCCGAGCATGAAGATATGCTTGGGAGCCTTATGCCTGCCCAGCGTTTTTCTTGTCCAGTCCCTGAGTTCTTCGACGGTGGGGCGCGTCTGTCCTTCCTCTATTGATAAAAATGCACCGACCACTTCGCCATAATGGCTGTCTGGTATTCCCACCACTGCGGCTTTGGAGATTGACGGATGAGCGGCAAGACGTTCCTCAATTTCGAGGGGATAAATATTTTCACCCCCTCGAATAATGATATCCTTGAAGCGCCCGGTGATGCTGCAGTATCCTTCCTCGTCAAACACGGCTTCGTCACCTGTCCTCAGCCACATTGTTCCATCGTCATCACGGAGAAGTGTCTCGGCAGTTTTGCTTGGATTATTCCAATATCCCTGGAATATTTGATACCCTGCCATGCATAGTTCCCCTCTTTCTCCAACTTTCACCGTCTTTCCGGTTCTTGGATTAATGATTTTTGCGCTTGCATGAGGCATCACTTTGCCCACTGTGGTTAGCCTGCGACTGATAGAATCGCTTGTGAGTGCATTGAAGCATGTTGGCGACGCTTCAGTTAACCCATAGCTACTGGTGAACTCCGTCATGTTCAACTCATTTAACAACCGTTGCATTAATGGCCGGGGGACTGGAGCCCCGGCGATAATCCCGGTTCTCAGATATGTGCAATCAAACCCTTCCGGTCGTGGTTGCAATAGTATAGACTCAAACATTGTCGGAACTCCATGAAGTGCTGTGCACTTTTCGTCCGAGATCGCTTTCAAGACTAATGTCGCGTCGAAGGTTTCTGCTGGGTATACAATCTTAGCCCCATGCGTAATGCAGGCAAGGAGACCAAGAACTAGGCCGAAGCAATGAAATAGTGGTGGCGGGCAACAGAGCACGTCGGACGGAGTGAAATCCATCCGATCTCCAATGAACCGCGAATTATTAATCAGATTGCTGTGACAGAATCAGCGTCTACCCGATCCAGGTCGTTATACATTCAGAGGCACTCACTGATGAGTCAACATCGCGGCTTTCGGTGCGCCTGTCGAGCCACTTGTGAATTGCAAATTGCAAATATCGAATGGCGAGAGACCGTCTTGCCGCCGCTGAACTACATTCATAGGAACGGGATTTCCAGAATTAATGACGTCTTCATATGTCTCAAAATTTTCGTACTTTCCGCGAAGGATTATTGTCTGCTGCAGGTGAGGAAGCTTCGATGAAAGCCCTGACGAAGGTAAGTCCTTCAATGCCTCCTGAAGGTCATGACGCCCAATTTTCGGCACAATGAAAAACAGTTTACACCCTTTGCACCTATCAGCTCTCTGCCTGGTATCACGGTGTGTCTTGATACATACCGATATGTTTCAAAGCGAATATTAGCTCTGCATGGGTATAGGTATTATTAATGACCACCAGAATCGCTCCGACCCGAGCTGCCGCAAAGAACAGCGAAACATATTGTTCACAATTGCCTGCCATTACAGCGACCCGATCCCCGTGCTGGATACCTTTGGCTATCAAACCACGGGCAACCCCATTGCTCTCATCTTCTAGATTTCCGTATGTCCATCTCGCGCCTGTCCACGGACAAACGAGACACTCTGAGTTGCGGTATCGAAGGCATTGAAAGGTAAGTAGTTCGCCCACGGTCATTTCCCAGAGAGCAGGTTGACTTGGCCCATGCACAATCGCAAGCTTTTGGGTATTTTTGCGATGTGACGGTGCCTGAATGTGGTCCAATGTCTGCTGCAATCGCAGCAAAGGTATCTGATATATTGTCGATGTTGTCGCCATCTTAGAGCTTCCCAGATATTTCACAGACTTGTGTGTACTCCTTGATGTGCACGTCTGAAGCGTCTAGGGCATATATGAGAACGTTGAAGCTTTTAGCGATGTCTTCGTTGCGAAGGCTTGGTCAAATTGCTGGGACATGCCAAGTACGGAGTATCCGTAGAGCTGGGTTTAAAGGCCCCCCAAAGAGACACTCAACGGAGTTAACTAATTGAGAGTTCACCGGCAAAATATTCACACCGTGCAGGCCCGGTATCAACCCGGCCGCCACCGACTCTTCAACCCAGTCCTATATTCCCGTATCGATATATCTGCATGCCGTTTCGCCGTTATGTATTATTATTTCGTATGTATTGCTACATACTTACAGGCGGGACCTTTCACGGCATCCCACGTCCACAAGCTATTCTTTCTCGTGACCCGCGGAAGAGTGCCGCGGTAACTGCCTAGTTTGTTGGTCTGGACTCCTTGGGACTTGAGTGCGAAACAGATTTTCTACGGAGAAATTCCTATACCCCTACTCCATATACAGAGACTACTTTGTATATCTTCCGTTCGCAACAACAGGAAACATGGAGACACTTCGGATGCAAGGAGAATGAATGTCCTAGGCTATTTATTCTAATGGCTGGAGGCTTGTACAATATCGGCCGTCACAACTCCAGATCCAGCACGGGCTGTTGAGCGCGGATACAGACCCGGTAACGTGATGCTTGTGCCGCTAGTTATATGTGCTTGGCTCAACATTACCTTCGTCGCCACAGTTTATGGGTCATTGTTGGCCCACAAAAAGACCATCCCGTCGAGCCCTTATTATCTGATTGCATTATTTCTTAGTAGAATCCAACTTATCTGATCCTCGCCGAAAGCCTATGGGTCATTCGACACGGCGCCAATAATATTACACTCCCGAAACGTAATGGCTGGCAGTATTACGCGTACCAAATAAATGGCTAAGTGCCAGTCGGATTCGCAGGACCCTGTTTGTATTTTCGCCACCCTTGTCTAGAATCAAGCACTAGTACTCGATATGCATGGGGAGAACAAGACGGCCGTGCTCTCGGCTATACACTGGGCTTTGCTGTCCACATCGACAATTCCCGGTTATTTACACCCCACTTGCTTAGGGCCCCATACACACGCCGCGAAACACGAGAGACCCATCGAGCATCCCGCCGAGCGGTTTGCCATGCATCAACTACTAACTGCTCGTATGCGGCACGAAGACTGCGGCTTTTTAAGGCGGTTTGTGCGGGATAGATCAGAATTTTCGATAACCACTAAAGTCTGTTTCCCTGGAATTGCTGACGTATCTAACCTTGACGTAAAATCGACCTAGCGGTCGTTACAGAATGCAAAACGGGCTACTCCGTACAGAAATCCTTGCTCAGAATCGAGAGCCAATGATGCCGGGATTAACGAAGTGGGCTCATTTTCTGGATGACGGTGCATCCCGATCACTCGCGAGAAATTTAATCAGAATTGGCCGCTCATCTCTGGCACTTTGTGTGAATGTTGTACATCCATTACCACATACATCCTTACATCTGACGCCCCTGAAAGATATCTGAGCAGATAAACGAATTGCCCGCCGAATTTCTTTCAGTACTTCTACCAAGTCTTCAAGTACTTCTATATACCTCCCTCACTTGTATTTACCTCCATGGAGTTCACCGTCAAACCAAACTCCACGCCTCTTTCGCTGCCCAACATGTCTACCAGTTCGGCAAGCGAAGAGCCGTATGATATAATCTCCGTTGGCTTTGGTGCTGCTGCACTTGCAGTTGCCATTGCTATGCGTGACCGCGGCATCGAAGCTCGGGTTCTCTTCTTGGAACGGCAATCTGAATTTGGATGGCACACAGGCATGCTGATACCGGGGACGAAGATGCAGATATCGTACCTGAAAGATCTGGCAACTCTACGAAACCCACGATCTCATTTCACCTTTCTCAACTACCTGCACTCCAAAGGCAGACTGGTCCATTTCACAAATCTTTCGACCCACACTCCCTTCCGCGAAGAATTCAACGACTATATGAAATGGTGTGCTTCGCATTTTGATGACTGGGTACGATATGAACAAGAGGTTATGAACGTAACGGCGGTCGATTCACGCTCGGGTTGGCCAGCTGAGCTCTTCAAGGTGGTGGTCGGCAGCAGGCGATCTGGAGATGTGAAGGAACTATTCGCGAAGCATGTCATTGTTGCCACAGGCGGCGAGCCATCGATCCCACAGTGTGTACCGCAAGAATATCTATACAATACCGTCATTCACTCCTCGAGTTATGTCAACGCTGTACCTCATCTCCTGAAACAACAATCCGGGGGATATCGCGTTGCAGTTATTGGAGGAGGACAAAGTGCAGCAGAAATTTGTGAAGACCTCTCTTCAAGATATCCAAACTCGAAGATCACTCTTGTCGCTCGTGGCGCATCTCTTCGACCAAGTGATGATAGCCCATTGTAAGTCTCCGCCTCTGCTGTGCCATGGAAATTTCAACGGAGGCTCTGACTATCTTGGATTTTTAGTGTCAACGAAATTTTTGATCCTCAAAGTGTCGATGGATTCTACTCCCTGCCCAACACCCAACGCCAGCAGCGACTTAAAGAAAACAAAGCGACTAACTACAGCGTTGTGCGACTTCCCCTTCTTGAATCCCTCTATGAGAAGCTTTACCACCAAAAGCTCCTTAATCCTGATCATTCCACCTGGCAACTTCATTTCTTGACGAACCGAGAATTTCAGGGCATTGAGGCTTCGCCGTCCGAAAGTGGCCAAAACCAAGTCGAACTGCGGTTCAAGCATACTTTGACGGGGGAGTCGGAAAAGCTGAACGGAAAGTTTGACCTGGTCATCCTTGCGACCGGATACAAGCGAAATCCCTTCAGCTCCGTCCTCAAACCACTGGAGTCGATTGTGGAGGCTGGTCCTTCTGGAACCCAGTTCCGGGTGGATCGCAACTATCGCCTGTGCTTCGCTCCTGGTAAAGTTGGCAGCGATGCGGGTATCTGGCTGCAAGGTTGTTGCGAAAGCAGTCACGGGGTACGTTTTTGTTTTTTGCGATCAGATGATTCGATGCCCTTGCTGACCATTCATGACCTTCCAGCTTAGTGATAGTCTTCTTTCGATTCTGTCGGTCCGGAGCTCCGAACTTCTTGACTCCATCCTCGCCAGCAGCAAGAGGTCGGTACAATTTGCTAAACTGTGATTATAAGCGAGCTTCTGTATTCTATGATAGTGGTCTGTCAGTAAAAGTCTTGTTTTGATTTTGGGACACCTCGGTTATAGATTTCGATGATTTTTGCCATAATAACTTTGCAATTTACTCCTTGTTGTTTGGAATCAATTTACTGTGATACCTTCTCACAGCATTATTACCAAAAAAAAAAAATTATCCAAGCGCCAATTTCCTCGAATGACATCCCTGAGACTCCGTGATAGATCCCAAACCAAAATCTGATCGAGCTGCTTGCGCCGAAGCTTCCCTGCAGAAAAATTAATTACGCCGTTCCACCATGATCATCTGATAAGATGGTCTTGCAGTATTTAAACAGGTAATACACCTTACATACATAACTATTCCATACACGAAATTCGGTTATCTGATTCTGCGAGCCTCCGGATCAGATAACTTTAATCGAACCCACAACAAAGCTTCTTAGCTTTTCTCGCCTTCAAATTCAATTTCGGCGTTCGCAACAACCCCCGAAAAAAAAAAAAAAAAAAACACAGAAGGGCATCAAAAATAATCAAATCCAGTACCCCGCCAAGGGCGGATTCTATGAGCTCTACCCGCGAAAGAAAAAACGGACCTTGCCGATATAACTAGCTGTGTTGGTGGATGGGCGGTTGCCCGGATGCCCGGATGCAGCGGAGGTTCTACCCGCGGTGGCACTATCTGTCTGTAAAGTGACATACGCGCCGCGCAAGACTAAAATTGAGGTATATCTTTTGCGAGCCAAGCACGTAATCAAGCGTTCCCTATTATTGATGGCAAACTTCGGCTTTCCTGAGGAGGGGTCGACCTTAGCGCTGTTTCGCCCGCATGGTTAAAGCAACGATTTCGGGCTACTCCGTGAATCCAGCACCTCAGTTCCCATTCTTGTAAGCCCATGGGACTTGTTCTTCGTTTTTCCAGGACTGCTTTTGGAAGTATACGCCACATCGCCCCATTTTCCAAACGTGGTCGACCCTCAATTATGCACCTCCGCGAAATCTCGTCGGATATGGCTATGGCAAAGAGGGCGCCCTACAAAGTCCTGGTTGCTGGGGGCTCGTACGCTGGCCTTTCAGCGGCTCTCAATCTTCTAGATCTGTGCAATGGAAAGCCGTGTCGATTCTCTATGCCTGCTCAATCTGAGCAGGACGCTGCAACGGAGAAGATTAAAGTTCAAATCACGATAGTAGATGAGCGTGATGGCTATTGTATGTCCCCTCTACTGCCTAGTCATGAGTAATTGTATAATAACTGGCTCTTAACTAGATCACCTCATTGGAACTCCACTCGCATTTGTCTCACGAGACTATGCAGAGAAAACCTGGAGGAAGTTTCAGGACATCCCTGCCCTTCAAGCGCCTGAAATAAAGTGTATAAGAGGCCGCATAACTGGTGTCAACTGTGAACAAAAAACAGCTACAATTTTTGAAGTTGAAAAGGAAGAACAAATTGAAGATCATTATGATTATTTTGTTGCTGCCACCGGCCTGGAGAGGAACTGGCCAAGTGCGCCGCAATCTTTAACAAGAGAGGAATACCTGCTAGAGACAAGAAAGCATATCAAACAAATTGAAAATGTACACGATGATATTGTCGTAATCGGAGGAGGTGATTTCCCCCATAAAGCCATTCATCAAATGCCCGCTGATATACCATAGGTGCTGTTGGGATCGAAATGGCTGGCGAGCTTAAACTGACTCACCCAGCTAAAGCTGTCACACTCATCCATTCAAGGCCCAAGCTCCTTTCATCTGAGCCGCTCCCAGATGATTATAGAGACCATATACTGTCTCTACTTCATAAGGCTGGAGTGGAAACCATCCTGGGGGCTCGCGTCCAAGAAATTCTACCGTCGGAGCTGAAAGCCGGATTTCCGCCTAGCAGCACAATTACACTCGATGATGGCAGGAAAATCAAAGCCGGACATGTTATCAAAGCTATTTCAAAATATAGGCCAACCACATCTTACCTACCTGAAATAGCTATGGACGAGAATGGTTATGTCAAGATATCCGCTGAGTACGACCCCCTTCGCCATTATAATAATTAATACTGATAAGTGACTACAAAATAGGTTGAACTTCCCTTCAAATGTTCCGAATGCCGAATATCACTATGCTGCAGGAGATCTTACCCTATGGCCTGGCATCAAGAGAGGAGGTGCTGCGATGTACCATGGCCATTATGCCGCAACAAATATATATCAGCGGATGCGAAATGACGCCTTGGGTGTCCCACCGGAATTCGTTGAAATTGAACGATCGCCACCCGTTATTTGCATTGCAGTTGGAACTGAAGCTGCCGCCTGGACCGGTGAGAATGGTACTATTTCTGGGGAAGATGTGCTGGATCTTTATTTCAATAATGATCTAGGGCATCAGAGTACGTTAGTTTCCACCGAATTCAGTGCATCTGCTAATATTTTTTTAGTTTGTTGGAACTACATGAAGTTGGGAGAACATCCTCCCAGTCCTTGATCAAACACACCTTCAGTGTTTATATCTTTTTCTATCATTTTGGCGTCTTTAGACAGGTACAATGAGGAATGAAACAACAATGTCATGGAATATGTAGACATAAGTTCGTAATGTATGCGGTTACATATATCCTATCAGAATATATATGCTTTTCTGTTTCAAAAAAAATAGAAAAATAAATAACTTCCATTCGGTAAACCCCTAAAAACAGAGTATTAAAATATATTATCACTGTAGTCGCTAAAACATTTTTCTTTGTCTATTTCCAATATTCAATCCAACAGGGTCATTTCTTCGAAATTTGAACACCGTCAACCGCTTGATGTAAGGCATTGACTCTATAACTTTCGCTTCTCTCCATCAAATCGCGGTGGGAACCTTTGTCAACGCATCTGCCATCTTCAATCAAAAATATTATATCCGCCTTCTGAATCGTATTTAGTCGATGTGCAATTGCAATGACTGTAATTCCCTGTGCCGCTTTTTCCAACCCGTCCTGTAAAAGTTTCTCGGATTCAGCGTCCAGAGCACTCGTCGACTCATCAAGCAATAAAAGCCGCGGCTTTCGAATCAAGGCGCGGGCTATAGCCAGACGCTGCTTCTGACCACCGGACAACTGGTTCCCGTTGGGTCCACAATAAGTGTCGTAGCCCTCCGGTAGCTTGGTGATTGTGTCATGAATATTCGCGATTTTGCATGCTTCTTCAATCTCCGTATTAGTTGGCTCGTGGCCGGGTCGAGCCCCCAAGGCAATATTAAATCGAATACTGCCGTCGAAGAGTACATTATCTTGAGAGACAAGTGCAATATTATCTCTAAATGCGACCCCTTCGTACTTTGAGATGTCTTTATTGTCTATTTCAATAGAACCAGAGGATGGTGAGTACATCCGCTCAACGAGAGAGATGATAGTAGACTTTCCCGCGCCGCTCGGCCCTACCAACGCAGCAAATTGCCCGGGCTGGATATTAAGATCTAGTTCGCGGAGAACTTGAACGTCAGGCCGTGCAGGATAAGCAAATGCCACCCGTTTAAAAGCCACGCTGATTCCGCCAGTGTTTGAGTCCGAAAATTTCTCGATCACTCCAATTCCAGCTTCAGCATCTGCTGCGTCTTTTGGAGGTTTTTGTAACTCTTTGTCCTTGCCTAGATCTAACAGATTTAATACTCTGTTGACTGCCATAAAAGCTCGTGAAACATCAGGTGCAAGTGTGAACATCTGGCCCCAAAGCTGAGCGCTCACTAAGAGAGCCAACAGAACAATGAAAAATTGTGTTTGTGAATAGTCCCCTGCGATGATTCGCTTGGCTCCCCACCAGTAGGCCAAAGCATATAAGAAATTACTGAGGCCGTATGAGATCGCCAGCCATAGACTTGCGTACAAACTATGTTGCGTAATTTCTCTGTTCGGACCTTGTAGGGAACGGTGATATGTGTTGAAAATTTCTTGCTGAAGGGAAAAAGATGACACCGTTTTAATGGAATTAACAGCTTCAATTGTAATGCCAATGGATTTGGCAAACGCGTCCGCATGGTGCTGCTCAAAGCGAGCGATCTGGATTACCCGCATTGCGCCAGCACCAAGCATTAACGGGACGACGGCGACAAAGACCAGAGCGATCTTCCAAGCGATTATGTGTGTCAGGATAATTGCGGTGACGAAGTTGACGATGACGGAAACAAGGCTTCCAACGACAGATCCAGTAAGTCCAGAGAGTGCATTTCCGTCTTTAGTGATCAGTGTGAGCAGAATCGATGGCGTTCGTCCATTTGACTCATGCCACTGGAGGTTCTGTTCAAGAAGAGCACGGAAAGATAAGATTCGGATTTTGTACACAACCTTTTCAGCAACGAAGCCAAACAGCGACCAGCTGGCAAAATTAGCAAAGAACTCAACAAGTGCAAGTACGAAGAACATCAAGGCATAGAATTTTCCAGCCCATCGTATTCTACTCTCGCCTTTACATGGACTGAGGTCGCCGACAGTGTGACCAAACACAGTGGCGCAGGCGGAGTACGTTCCACCCACCACTACGGCGGCAATGAATGCCATCAGGAGAACGAGGACAAACGGCCTGAAGAATACCCACAAGGCACGAAATGTGGTACCGAGCGGCCGTTTTCTATCGAGATCACGGTCTTCCTGCTCCTCGACATCGGTCGACAGGACGATCGGCTTTTCTGTTTCGATATCACCTACCCGGTTCAGTTTCTCATCTAGAGCAGGGGTATATTCATCGGACAACTTTTTTGGTGAGTCTCCAGTGCCGTCTGTGACTAATGACCGTGCTGAGTGGTTGTCTTCGTCATGGCGTACATTTAAATTCTGAAGACGTATTAAATCGGCGTACGAACCCTCTTTGGCGAGCAATTCCGAGTGTGTGCCTTGCTCAACAATGTCGCCATTTCGCATCACAACAATATTGTCTGCATTTCTGATCGTGGATAGTCGATGAGCGATTGTAACGACGGTCCTTCCCACCGCAGCCTTTTCCAATGCTGTTTGAACTCGGTATTCACTTGCCGAGTCCAGCGAAGCTGTTGCCTCATCTAAAACGAGAATTTTGGGATTTTTGATAAGAGCTCGAGCTAACGATATCCTTTGCTTTTGACCACCACTAATTAGGCTACCACTGGAGCCTACTAGCGTACCAAATCCATACTTAAGTCTTGTAACAAATGTTGTCACGTCGGCAATCGCAGCGGCATTTTTGACCAATTCAACTATTTCGATGACCTCGATTCCATAAGGCCGTGCAGCTTCTTCTAAATCCTGCCCTCCCCGCACCGCTGAAGCTACCTCCGAGAGAACGGGGCTCTGTAGAGCTGACCTTAAATTTGAATGTTCAGATGAGTTCACCAGGCCTAGCGCGATGTTTTCAAAAATAGATCGCTCCAGGAGGGAAGGTTCTTGTTGGACAAGGCTGATACAGCTTCTGAGGGAATCAACATGAAATTCTTTGATATCTTGTCCATCAAGAAGTACAGAACCTCTCGTAGGATCGTAAAATCTCATCATCAGGCTAGCAACAGTTGATTTGCCGCTTCCTGATAGCCCAACTAGAGCAGTTTGGCTTCCAACAGGGCAAGAAAGAGTGATATCTTGAAGGACGGGCTTTTCTGGCCTCGATTCGTATGTGAAGGAGACATTTCTCAGCTCGATGTGACCCGAAACGCCTTGAGCGCTCGCGCCAGCATCACCATTCGATCCGTTGATTGCTGGCTTCTTAGAAATGTCTACCTCTAGTTTCTGGAATACCATGCTAGCGGAATCGAAAAATTGAAAGAACGGTGCCATAGTGCTGAGAATAAGGGAAGCTAAGGACATAACCATTAGTTCTAGAATATGGTCTTAGGTATGGGCACTTACCATCCACTAAAATGAAAATAACCGTGTAAATTGAGCCAACGGTTGTTCCAGAGCCGCCAGAAGCCACCGCATCTGCAATCCTTTTCGACCCTTGCCAATATGCAAGGGCATTCGCAGAGTAAGAAATAAAAAACAAAAGTCCGGCCTGGATGGCAGCGGCGATAGATTTTTTAATTCCAGCTTTTTTCGCCAAAGTCAAGGAACCGGCAAACTTGGCTTCTAGCCGGGAGTTAGCAGTTAGAGCTTGAACAACCATGATGTTTGACAAGCCCTCCAGGGCGACGGACGTCGAAGCAGTCACATTTTCTACCACACGGCCTGTGTATTTCTGGATGTAAGCACCACCGAGAAGGGACATAAGCAAAAATGCTGGTAGTAATGAAACCAACGCTCCTCCAAGTTTAGCATCCTTAATGAAAGCAACGATGTAACCGCTAACAAAAAATGAAATGCTATTCAAAACAAGGCCAACCTTTTCGGAAGTTCCATTTTGAATAGTTGCAATGTCACCATTGAGACGAGAAGACACTGCACCGGCGGGAAGGTTGTCGAAAAATGCGATATCCTGATTCAATAGAGCTCTGAAGTACTTTTGGCGAATTCTCTGAGCTAATCTTTCACCCGTTAAGCTCCAACATACAATTGAGATGTACGCCAAAATGAAATACGCAATTCCAACATAGACAACTTTCAGCACTTTATCATTGACACTTGACTGATATGCCGAAATATTTGCAATTCCAGCATTGCAAGTTGCGGAGTTCAGGTCGTCGACAACTTGACCAAACAACACTCCCAGTAGAGGAAAGGAAACTCCAGACGCGGTGGCGGCAAGTATACCACCTAGGAGGAGGAGGATATCGTAGAAAGTAGGGTCCGCATAAACTAAGAGCCTCAAGTACGACGTAGATCTTCGCAGAAGGCTCTGCGCAAGGTCAGCAGCTACATGAAAGTGAAGCTCGTGAGGGCTTACCTTTGAGGTTTTGGAATCTGCGTCATCCGGCACCCCGTCCTTTACAACCATGATGAAAGCGACTAAACGGCCTGAAGAGCCGGCTGCGAAATAAAGAGGCAGTTCGCGACAGAGTTGTAGTCAGGTTTCTCTGCTAGCCTTAATGTCCTCCTTCACCGGCCGAACCTTCCCATGTCATTGGAAGACCATTCCCGCCCAGCAAGCTTGGGCAAGAATCGATATCAGCTGTTTTGAAAATTACCGCCTTTGCAGCAAAAACTGATCGACACCCATATTTGCTTGGCACCCCACTTGATCGGTACGGAGAGCAACGCTAGCCGGTATGGTATGTACGACGTATCGCCGAGCTGTACAGCGTAATACGAAACCATACTGGTAATGCGTCAGAATACGGTTTCGGCTTCGGTCGGGTTCGGCCGGTGTACTCCACTGTTGCATCTGATAAGATATCATCCCGCATGCCGTTTCGGACATCTCCCGCGATGAAACAAAGTTATCTGATCCGGGCCATGTGGAGTCCATTTGAGATCACAGCATCGCAAAGAGCTTCGAATAATAATAATAATGGCCAGCAGGCATGTGTTATGTGCGTAATTATGGGCCATCCCCACTTAGCCATCTGTCAACCCGACAAGTAGGCTCCGCGGGCTCAAAGCTGTCGGCGCCGTCGTACCAGGTGGACGTATTCTAAGACTCCAAAAGAAAATTCAAATGAGCTCGGCCAAGTCGCGGACCTCGCATCAAATTTCCATGCTCCATTTTATTGTTGCTGGAAATTTCTTTTTGTTTTTGTGGATTTTTCATGGACAGGAGCGTGGGCCCTGGTGGCCAATTTTGGGCTTTGGCGGCATGGGCAGGGCCGGCAGGGAATTTAAGGACCTCCCCTCCAAAGTAATTCTGTTGCCGATACCAACAAATAATTCCGCATCTACTTGCTCGCTCGCCTAACATTTATTGTTAACAAAAGCAGTGGAGAAGTCCTCGTGTTTCTACCAGAATGGGAAGAGCTATTGAAGAAACAGCCATGGCAATGGAAAACGGAGCTGGCAGACTGGAACACATGCTAGTCATTGAGCACCCCGCCTTATTATCGAAGTCGTACGAAGAGAAGACGGACCTGGTCCTGCTGAGCTGGATACTCCTTCTTTTTCGCGATAGTGGGCTCAGCGAGAGCGGCAAGTTTTCAGGCGAAATTGAGCTACAGGGGGATGCCATTGCATCGCAAAGGGCGCAAATCTCTGGTAGTGTGGGTGACGTTATTTCTGATGACACAGAATTGATATCACAAGTCCTCGAAAGGATTCGAAGCGTACGAAGCTGTAAGGCAGTTAACAATAGTGAAGAAAAAGAGGGAAGCCGTTGCGGCTACTTTTCTAATGCGTCAGAAGACACCAATGTATGTTTTAGGCTCCGACTTGATTCAAACCGCAGTCTGGGCTGATGAATTAGGAAATGTTTTGTATAAAAGCAGACCTAAAGGACGAGCGAGTTCTGATACAACTGGCACAATGCCCCCCTCTCTTATCTCAATCTATGAGGGAGACATATACAGATTCGCTTGCCAATATTCTGAAGTCAGTAATGTCGGATTCAACTCAAACAGTTGCACAAGCAATCGAGGTGACCCCTAAGGAACTCGAAAAGATTTGGCAATGGAACGATCCGATCCCATCACCCAATGAGACACTCATGCACGAAATTTTCGTGGAAAATGCAGTCAAGCATCCGAATAAGCCGGCTGTAGTCTCATGGGATGGGCAGCTTTCGTACGGAGAGGTCAATGCACTTTCCACCCAGCTTGCTATCCAGTTACTAGAAAATGGCGTGCAGGTTGGCGAGCCAATTTTACTCTGTTTTGAAAAATGCAGATGGACGGTCGTTGCTGTACTTGCAGTGATGAAAGCTGGTGGGGCGCTTGTTCTTACTGACCCAAGCCAGCCGCTCGCGCGATTGCAAACGATAGCAACGGAAGTCAATGCGAGGATTGCTTTAACCTCAAAAGAACAAGCCAGCCTGGGTGCCACTGTTGCCCCTAATGCCATAGTGCTAAGCGTCGGCCAGGATCTCCTCCAGAATGTTAACTTCTCGTCTGCTTCACCAAATCGCCTACCAAAAATCCCGGGATCTTCAACTTTATACATTATATTCACGTCAGGTAGCACGGGAAAGCCGAAAGGTGTAGTGATATCTCACACAAACTACACAAGTGGTGCAATACCTCGCGCGGCAGCGGTGGGTTATACTCCTGATTCTCGCGTTCTTGACTTCCCATCATACACATTTGATGTTAGCATTGATTGTATGCTTTGCACTCTGGCAAATAGCGGCTGCATCTGCGTTCCTTCTGAAGACCAGCGAGTCAATGACCTTGACGGTGCCATCAAGGGTATGAACGTAAACATAGGTCTCTTGACTCCGTCTGTTGCTCGAGTACTGGATCCCGATATCATGGCATCCCTAGATGTTCTTGGGCTTGGAGGAGAAGCAGTTTCTGCCAGAGACGCAACGCAGTTTGGCCAGAAGACAAAAATCATCATTGCTTATGGACCATCGGAGTGCACCGTAGGCTGTACTCTTGACAGCGAGGTGGGCATTGATTGTGCTTACACAACAATCGGAAAAGGAGTTGGGTGCGCCACATGGATTGTTGACCCAAAAAATCAAAATCGTTTAATGCCGCTGGGGGCAGTGGGGGAGCTCCTAATTGAAGGCCCAATTGTCGGAGATGGCTATCTGAACAATCCTGAACAAACATCAACGGTGTTCATTGAAAGTCCTCCATGGCTTACTGCCGGAGCTCCAAATGTGCCCGGACGAAGCGGACGGCTTTATAAAACAGGAGATCTTGTAAAATATGCCCCTGATGGATCTGGATCAATAGTTTTTGTGGGACGGGCGGACCAACAAGTAAAATTACGCGGTCAAAGAGTCGAGCTGGGTGAAATCGAGTTTCATCTCCGGAGTAAGCTTCCTTCAGATACCATGTCTGCTGTTGAGGTTATCACACCAGGGGGCAACAAGGAGAGCGCAATGCTAGTTGCCTTCATTGCAGAGAAAGGCAAAGGCATCGCCCAAGAAACAAATGGAGCTGTTTCCTCATTCTCTGCAGAACTGCAGCACACCCTTGCTACCATTCAAAATGATCTTGCCGCTGTACTTCCACGATATATGGTCCCCGCAACTTACATTCCACTCCAAAAAATACCCCTTCTAATATCCGGGAAGACAGATCGAAAGAAACTGCGAACTACTGGGTCGTCAATGTCACGAAAGGAACTTGCGGACCTCAAGATAGCTCCTGCAAAGAAACTTATACCCTTGACCGATTTGGAACGCAGTTTACAGCAACTGTGGATGAAAATTCTGGGCGAAGAGATAGACATTAATGGCCATGACAACTTTTTCGATGTGGGAGGAGATTCCCTTAGAGCGATGAAGCTTGTGGCAGCAGCCCGATTAAAGGGATTAGGTATAACAGTAGCGGATATTTTTCAACATCCGACACTGTCTGAAATGGCCATGGTGCTGCGGCAGATTAATACTGACAATCATGTGGATATTTCTACATTTTCCCTCCTCTCGGGCTGGAAAGAAACAGATGCCCGAAATGAGGTAGGGAAACTTTGCGGCATTGATCCGTCGTCCATTGAGGATATATATCCTTGCACACCGCTTCAAGAAGGCTTTATGGCTCTTTCTGCCAAAATTAGCGAAGCGTATGTTGCTCAGAGGGTGGTTGAAATTGCAGACGTCACAAAGGCCGTCAAAGTGAAGGCGGCATTTGCCACTTGCATTGCCGAATGCCCAATCCTGCGTACTAGGATTATACAGGTGCCGCGTCGAGGTTTAATGCAAGTCCTAATCAGCGATGAGATGTCATGGTACTCAGGTAATGACTTGCAAAGTTACCTTCAACAGGATAGAGAATCCCCAATGGGTCTAGGTACAGCCTTGGCTCGCTTTGCTCTCATAGAAGACCAAAATACGGCGAAGGCACACATCGTGCTGACGATTCACCATGCAGTATATGATGGCTGGTCCATGCCTCTTGTTGTTGAGCGTGTCAACCGGGCATACCATGGCCTGAAGACGGAACGTTCTGCTCTTTTTAAATCATTTATAAAGTATCTGGGAGATATGGACCGGGGAACCACAGAGGAATACTGGAAAGAACAATTACACGGGGCAACTAGCTTGCAATTTCCAGTACTTCCGGAACCAGGATACCAAGCCCAAGCGGAATCTCTCTTGGAACACTACGTGGCGATCACAAAACGGTCATCTTCGAATACAAGCCTAGCAACAGCACTTCGAGGGGCGTGGGCATTAGTAGCATCAGAGTATACGTTGACTGATGACGTCGTATTTGGTGAGACTTTAACCGGTAGAAACGCTCCAATTGAAGGCGTTGAAGAGATTGAGGGACCCATGATCACGACTGTCCCAACTCGAGTCCGTGTGGACAGAAATATGCGTGTCTCAAACTACCTAAAGGCGATACAAGACCAAGGAATCTCTCAGATTCCGCATGAACACCTAGGTTTGCAACATATTCGCCGACTGACCCCGGACGCTCGTGAGGCTTGCGAGCTAAGGACCGGCTTGGTCATACATCCTGCGAGAGACCCCGAAGATCTCGGCGAAAATGAGGACAATGCTGCCAACGGCTTTGTCCCGGTTGGGGATAAAGAAGCTGCAAGTGAGGCGTTGAAGTTCAACTCTTATCCTCTGATGTTGGTTTGCTCGCTTGATCGGCAGGGATTTCTGGTTATGGCAAGCTTTGATTCCAAGGCTGTCGATGTAGCTCAGATGACCAAGATTCTAGAAAAGTTCGGAAGTGTAGTCCAACAATTTTGTGAAAACCCAAACGGGGCTGTTGGTGATGCTTTACAGGCAGCAGGGGAGGATGTCGCCGATTTAACCCGGATGAGCACTGTGGGACCGATTAGTTTGAAGTATGGTAAAAGCACTCCACTGGCGAAAGACCTCTCGAACGCTACAGCAACATGGATTGTCCATCCGACAAATCCAGACCATCCCCTCCCAATTGGTGCCGTGGGTGAACTCTTAGTCGAGGGGCCTGTCACGGCCTCTCAATCTCCCACCGATGCTCCCCGGTGGCTTATTGAAAAAGGCTCCAGTAAACAGCTCTACAAGACTGGGCAGCTTGCAAAATACCAAACCGATGGGGCTATCATATTCGTCCACGAAACAAAGTCCGGAAATTCCAAGGAAAAGTCTTCGAAGGCATCGCATGTACCAAAGCAAACAACGAGTCTATTGGTGAGAGAGGAGAAACTGTTACAGCTGTGGAGCCGTGTACTTGGGTTAAGTGAAAACGAGATCGATGCAACCGACAGTTTCTTTGATCTGGGCGGCGATTCCATCAGTGCTATGAAGCTGGTATCTGAAGCGAGAATGGAAGGTTTCACAATTAATGTAGCCCAAATATTTAAGCACAAACGCTTACGCGATCTGGCAAGCATTCTTCAAGAATCACAGCCACTAAAGACACAGACAGTGAAGGAAGACATTCCGTTTTCGTTGCTCGGTTCCAAAGATCTCAGCGCGTTTATTACCAGCGCCCTTCAACCGAAACTCAGCGATCAGTCTTGGGAAATTATTGAAGTTATGCCAGCACGTCCTCTCCAGACTGTTGCTATCGAGGGAACATTCCAACTTCCGAGATATTCTTCGCGATATGAGCTATTTTATTTCGACACGGCCGTCGATGAGACTCGCTTATTTGAAAGTTGTCAAGAGTTAGTGGCAAGAAATGAGATACTTCGAACGGTTTTCGTCGAATTTACCGGACGATATTACAGCGTAGTTTTGAAAAGGGTGGATGTCTCAATAGAGATCCATGACACTGAAAATGATGTCGAAACATTTTCACGTGAGCTCTGCAACACTGATATCGAAAAGGATATCCCGCTAGGCTCGTCATTTGTAAAATTCTTGTTCGTTAGGTGCACCGATGGACGAAGTTGCTTGATTTTGCAAATTTCCCACGCACAGTATGACGAGATATGCCTTCCTATTCTTCTTCGGCAGTTGTCCGCCCTGTATGAGAAAACCGAAGTGCCTCGGGCACTTCCATTTTCCTCATACGTACACCACGTCGTGAAGGAAAATATCCCACAAAGTATTCAATATTGGAGGGACCTTTTAAAAGGCTCATCCTTAACGACGCTGCGACCAGAAGCCCCTTTGCAGTCGAAAGTGTCAGCAGCAGTAATCCGGACATTCGACATATCTGCCCGTTCTAAGGATATTACCGTTGCTACCCTACCTACAGCCGCCTGGGCTCTATGTCTAGCCAAACGTCTATGCATTCGCGACGTGACTTTTGGAGAAGTGGTGAGTGGCCGAAATATTGATTTTCCGAACAGCAACATTGTGATGGGCCCATGCTGGCAGTATGTTCCAGTCCGCGTCAAATTTGAGGTTGGTTGGACAGCAATGGATCTACTTCAGTTCGTGCAACGGCAACATATTACCAGTACGCGATTTGAAGGAATGGGCTTGTCGGAAATTGTCGAGAATTGTACGGAATGGCCAAAAACGGTGGATTGGTTTGACTCTGTAGTGCATCAAGATGTTGAGCACGTTGAAACCTTGGGATTTTCGTCTGCAACAAGTCGAATGGAGACAATATACCCTCATGCAGAGCCATTGCGCGAATGGAAGATCCAAGCTTTCTTGAAGAACAACGAGTTAAGTATAGAGATTGTGACGTTTGAATCCTGGCTGGAATGTGCGTCCACCCTGCTGGATGATATCGAGAAGATCCTGGGTCAGTTGTTGAGAGAGCCGCATTCACCCGTGTTTGAGAACTAGGGGGGCCCCGGGGTCAAGTCGGACGTATCAAACGGGGTATGTATCCCGTGAGTAAATGTTATTATTATATTTAAGGCTTATCGTAGTAGTGAGATCTTGAATTAAAATTTATCCCATCGTTAATCCGATTTAACCCTCGATCGGCACTGCAACCAACCCGTGTGCCATAGTATAGAGTCAGACATATGAATGTAATAGAGTCGACTGTTTTATCGCGGGTTAGCCACGTGTTTACTCAGTAGAAATAATATTCTCAACCCCCCAACTCCCAAGGGCAAAACAAAAATAGCCAATTTATTCTGGCCGAGGGTAGTAGCCCGTTGAAAAATTATGAGGCTGCTTCATTCAGTTGAGGATCACGACCAGACGCTTGCTTTACCAAATCAGGGTAACATTTTGTTGCATTGGAACACACATGCGCATACGGAGTAAACGCCAGGTATTCGCTGTGACTATGCGAGCTTTGAGCTGCTCAACGAGGAAAAAAAGGCAGAAAAGCTTCTGTAAGAGATAAAAGAGCACATCGGTTGGCTGCAACAGATTTCGCTGATGGCAGTAGTTAATTCAAGAAGCTTGGCTGATAAAGCCAATTGTCGTGAAAAGTTTTCTTCCAATGATCCATACGAGGACGGTTTGGATTATCCAGTCTCGGCGTTGTTGCGTAATCAAGATAAAACATCAACGGTGATTTGCAGTAGCGGACCGTGCGCTTCTCGGACAGGGAAGGGTGTCAGCGAAGTTTTACCGAGATAAGACGGCCAACTAAGACCAGGAACATATATTTGGGTCAAAAAGTGAAATTCGGATGGAGTCCTCGGATTCTGTCTTGAATCTTGATGGTGTTTTGCGACGATGAGGCGAAGAGCCAAATAACTAGTTAACTAGTTAGTGGCTAGCCAGAGTCCAGAGCTTCAGAAGAAACCTGACACACGAAAAGCCGACGCCGGAAGACTGACGATGTCGCTCGAGATGCGGCGAGAGGAGGGGAATTCCCCAAAGCGGGCTAGTACGGGGCCACGCTCAAACGGACGCTCACCTGATTACGGCATCCATTAGGGCTCTGGATCGCTTCTGGCGCTCCTCTTGTGCCCGCTCCTCAAACTTTGCATGCGCAACGCCTATAGGGCAAAGCTACTAGTACTGCATGGCGTGAAACGGTCACCCTCTGCACGGAGAGTCGCGGATAGGATGGGCCGACCGAGTCGAGTCTCGGGCTGGGTTAGTATGTGGCTTCACCTCACGGTTTAAGGACACTGCTGAAGACAGGGCGGAGTGTTTGACGGGTTCCATGATCCTCATCGCGTGTTGTTTTCCCTCCCGGCCCTATGGAAATTCTGCACGCAATACACCTTGAAGTGGGAACCCGGGAAGCCCAAACTAAAATACTGGGGAACCCTTGGAGGGAGTTTTAAGATACTGTCTGCCGGCAGCCAGTCACATTCCACCTATCCCGTCCCTCGACGTTTGGACAACATCAAAATGGCTTGGCCAGAAATCTGGGGCCGCCGGATCGCCTTTGCGCCACCCCGAAAACTTCTGCCAATGCTACTTCACAACAAGCCAAGAATTCCATGATATTCGAAAAGGAAAATAGATGGACTGACTCCATACGGAGTACAGAGTTGATATTCCTCGGCGGTTGATCGCTCAATGTCCAGCCTTCCTTTGAGCACCATGTTCGGACGGCAAGTACCACGATGAAACCTCACAGATGGTGTGCATGTACGGAGTACTCCGTATGTACTATGACGCCAGGCAAGCCTGATATCATCCTTTCTCATTTATCGAGGGGGCTCCTAGTCATCTCTAGACCAGAATAAGAGGGGCGAGATGCCCACGCCACCGTGATCTAACCAGATTGAATACGACTCCGCTTGAATTGACCCCCCTGATTGACAACTAACTAGCGGGAATGACTTGGCACGCGATCCCTCACTGAATTTTAAAATTCCACCGAAGGGGTTTGTACTCGGCGATGAGCGGCTTTTTCTTTTTTTCGATGAAGTCGGAGTTGGCGTTGCGACTTAAAACCAAGTTGCTCATGCATAACAACTTCAACTATTTGAAGTTCGCCTATTGACTAACTACATAACGCTGCCTATATCTGCACCACCCTTGTTCTCTCTTATTGTTTTGCCTGTAAAAACATGCATCCGGCTTAACAGATCTTTCGTTGGATCTGAATGACCCCTTTCCTTTCTAGTTGCTTACCTGTCCTCTTGTTCCCTTCAAACGAACGAACTACTAGACCGAGCGGGCCAGGCTCCAGCCCATATCGATGCCTACCTTCTCAGCATGCCACTTTCTGACAGAGCGAAAGACTCGCTTTATAATGACGTATTTCGTCAAAAGGAACCCGCCGCGGCCATTTCAAAATGTCCAATGGCAGATTTATCACACGTAGAAGCGAGCCATAGGCTAAATCTATACCATCGCGCCCATCGCTGGGATCCAAACCTTGAAGATGAATACCTTGAGGAAGTGGCGGCTGCAGCTAATACCTATGATACTAGCATCACAAATAACCATATCGCACGGCGGGTCCTTGAGAACTCGCCATATGCGGAGGTATGTTTCTTTTATCTATACAAAGGGAAGAATTGTTTTTTGACGCATCTCTAGGTACGGGCTGCTGTCCGAAACACAGATGAGGATCTTCCGGTTGATACGATTCGCGCCTGGATAATCGGCATGTTTTTGACCACTATTGGAGCCGGACTCAATTCCCTTTTTTCACTGCGAGCACCCTCGATTGTCGTAAGTTCTATGGTAGCTTTGCTTGTTGCCCACCCGCTTGGCCTAGCCTGGGCCAGAGTAATGCCAGCTAAGACAATCCGTGCTTTTGGCCATAAATGGGATCTGAACCCAGGTCCGTTCAATATCAAAGAGCACGCACTCATAGTGATCATGGCAAATGCTTCCATTGGGTATGGCGTCGCATATTTTACGGACACTATCCAAGCACAAGTAGCATTTTACCAGACTGATTTCGGTATGCTACGGTACTGGGAAAAATTTAGTTCCTAACTTTGCTAATGATAATTTTTTGTAGGCTGGGGCTGGAATATTTGTCTTGCTATAAGTACGCAGATGGTTGGATTTGGTATTGCAGGTCTTCTTCGTCGCGTTCTTGTTGAGCCAGGTACTTAGATCCTCTCAGAATCGCCTTACACTCTATATTAATACTGTTAGTATGGCTAACTCTACACCAGGATCTATGATCTGGCCTCAAACACTTGTGAGCACATCATTCCTCTATACCCTACATGACGACAGTCCACCGAACCCTGCAACTACGAATGGTTGGCGAATTCCGAGATACCGATATTTTCTTTACGTGTTCACCGGTACCTTCGTGTGGTATTGGTTTCCTGGTTTCATCGCACCCTTCCTCAGCGTTTTTGCCTTTGTAACTTGGATTAAACCGAATAATGCGCTTGTGAACCAATTATTTGGAGGCTGGACAGGACTATCCCTCATACCCATTACATTTGACTGGAGTCAAATTGCAGGTAAGGAACTCCCTTTGCTATACAAATGCTGGTATCTCACCTCTTTATAGGATATGTCTTGAGCCCATTAATTCCACCCTGGCATGCAATTGGCAACACTTTAATTGGCACAGTTGTGACTTATCTTATTGTTGCCCCTATCCTACATTACACCAATCACTGGTATGCGAGACATCTACCCATCCATGATAGTAATATATACGATAATACGGGCCATATGTACAATGTTTCAAAGGTCCTAACCTCTAACAATATGTTTGACTTAAATAAATATAAGGTAGGTGCCGATTCTCTATTTCAAGATATAACCTAATCCCCATTTTCTACCTTAGGAATACTCACCTATTTTCATACCCACAACTATGTCTCTTACATATGGCCTGAATTTTGCTGCAATTGCAGCGCTGATCGTTCACACCATTCTATTCCACGGCCAGCAGATATGGATAATGGCTAGAGACGCTCGTGGTGATTTAGACGACATTCACACTCGGATGATGAGAAAATACCCGAAGGTTCCAGCCTGGTGGTATCTCACCCTTCTCGCTGTCTGTCTTGCTCTATGCTTTATCACTTGCCTAGGCTGGCCTACACACTTACCGTGGTGGGGCCTTCTTATCGCTCTTCTTATTGCATTCGTTTGGACAATTCCCATTGGAATCGTGCAAGGGTCAACCAACATTCAAATTGGGCTTAATGTATTCACAGAGTACATTGTTGGATACATGCTTCCCGGCCGGCCACTTGCTATGATGCTTTTCAAAACCTACGGGTATATTACCATGGCACAAGCGCTATCCTTCATTCAGGATTTGAAACTTGGCCACTATCTCAAAATCAAACCACGCTCATTGTTTTGGGGGCAGGTGATAGCCACATTTTGGTCATGTTTTGTGCAGCTAATTGTAGTAGTCTGGAGTCTCGATAACATCGAGGGCATATGTCAACGTGATCAGCCTAATCGATTCACCTGTCCCAATGGCAGAGTCTTCTTTGCATCCTCGGTAGTGTGGGGGCTAATTGGGCCAGCCCGGATCTTCTCTGGCAAATCTATATATGCGGGTCTCCAATACTTCTGGGTGGCTGGTGCACTTGCCCCAATTCTTTTCTATACTATTGCACGAATTTGGCCACGATCGAAGGCCCGTTTCGTCAACACACCGATCTTGTTTGGCGGGACCCTTTTACTTCCGCCCGCAACACCACTCAACTATGTATGTTCTTTGACCATTTTTCTCTGGGATTGCTAATGAAATTAAAATAGCTTTCGTGGGCTATTGTCGGCTTCATTTTCCAAAAATACATCCGTTATAGGTTCACGGGCTGGTGGATGCGGTTCAACTATATCACGTCCGCTGCGCTCGACACTGGTCTCGCGATTAGTACCATTGTTATTATTATGGTCCTCGAATTGACCAACACCAACTTTCCTAGCTGGTGGGGCAATACTACGGCTCTGGAGACCATGGACCAAACTGGGACTGCCATAATCGACCCTATACCAGCAGGGATGACCTTTGGGCCTAAAGTTTGGTAGATATATTTCCTACTGCATAATAGGGCGTTTTGCAAGCGTTTGATACCACGGCTTTGATATAGTTAGCGAGTTTTATGGGGACCACTAAAACTATTTCTGCAAATACATATTACTGCGAATTTCTGCATCGCATGCTGAAGCCATTTGAATGAACCAGTGTATTCTGAACCAAGGTTCAAACTCATCAAACATCACATATTAGTCTAGCCAATTAGAGCGTGTAATTACCGATCCTCCGGATACACTTTTATCCGAAGCCGCTAGGGCTGTTAAAGTTATCTGATCTGAAACTGATTTGTCATCAATCAGATAACACCATCCCACTGCACACTGATTGATAGCAAGCAATCCAAGAGGCGACCATCTTCCTTTCATTGATAACCCACCTCCTCAGGCAAACGATTGATTGCATATTTATATAGGGCTCGAGGCATCATATCATCTTCCATATCCTCCACTCAGCGTGACACCCCCCCATAGAATATCTACTTTCGCAAGTGCCACGCGCGCAAAAATGTCCGCCCTCCACGAAATCTCCTCCGAAGCGGATTTCAACAACCAGCTTTCCTTACTCCCTCCGACTGCTCTCGCCGTTCTTTCTTTTCATACGCCGTGGGCCGCACCCTGCGCACAAATGCACAATATTCTCTCCACATTGGCATCAACGTACCCCGCCACTACCCCTCCATCTGTCAGCTTTCTTAGCGTCAATGCAGAAGACCTCCCTGAGATTTCGGAACAATACGATGTTACTGCTGTCCCTTTTCTTGCACTACTTCGTAACAATGAACTGGTAGATACGGTATCAGGCTCCGATCCCGTCAAAGTTCGCGAGACGATTGAAAAACACATGGGACAAAAAACACAGAACCAAGGTCCCTCCATCCCCCCACCGTTAGCCACGACACCTAGAACTCAAAATACACTCAGTCCTCAAAATGGAGCCAGTCTCGTCTATCAGACACCCCAGCAGGAACCATCTCCGCCAACGAAAGAAGAACTTTTTGCTCGGCTTTCCGAGCTCGTCAAAGCCGCGCCCGTGATGCTATTCATGAAAGGGACGCCCAGTGAGCCCCAATGTGGCTTTAGCAGACAAATCGTGGGAATATTGCGCGAGAATGGGGTGAAATATGGGTTCTTTAATATCCTAGCGGATGAAGACGTTAGACAGGGGCTCAAGGAGTTTGGAGATTGGCCAACCTTTCCACAATTGTGGGTTAAAGGCGAGCTAGTTGGTGGCCTGGATATTGTAAGTCTTTAATGAGTGTACCTTTCGATTACATACTCTCTTGCTAATTGTCTCTTTTATTTAGGTCAAGGAAGAAATCGAAGCGAATCCCGATTTCTTTCGCGACTATTCGGTGGCGAGAGCCCCAATTGCCCCAGCAGCTTAAAAAGCTTCGCTACAACTTTTCATAAGCTAAACAAATATAGTCAGAAGCCCAGCATATGCTTATGCTAAGACCTGCAATGATTGGATTATCTTCTACAACAAAATTTAAAAGTTTATGACTCAAGGAATGTAAAGATATTACAAGCAAGGGCGCTGCAAGATAACCCCACAAGGAAATATTCGGAACCTACTAAAGGGACAAATCAGATCTACGAATACCGCGAGCTTATGTACCCTGTACGTCGAAGCCGTTAAATAAATGAGCACTCGACATCACCACACAACAGTTCGTTTTCTTTACTTCTCGCTGGGTACACAACACCATTGAATGTTAAATGACCCACTGGTTATTTATCACTCAGGGCATTAGTGGTTTGTCTTTGTAGTAATGTTTAACTGCTTCTTTTCAAAGTTATGATTCATTCCCCACAAAGATTCTTTCCTAGTCGAAGTTGACGTGTTGAATTTTTGCCTAATAAGACTAGTTTTTTTCAAGCCATTCTTTTGGATTCTGTTCGCGAAAATATTCAAATTTTGATATTAGAGCGTCTTCATCCACATAGGCACCTCGTAGCCAGCGAGAACGTTTCCTATCATCACCCGCTTTCAAATCGAACTCTTTTCGGGCGTGAACAACTCTCCTATTCGCAAATATCACACATTCACCTTCTTTGAGCTTTAACTCAAAAATGCCATCTGGGTGATTTAGCTTGCCGGAGAATAATTCCATGGACTTTGTCCAACGGGAGAAGGTAGAGCCCTCTCTTCCACTAAAATCAAATTGAGGAACCTGGAAAGGCGGCGAATAATTGACGTGGACCATACTGTTGCCTTCAGCCTGGATTGTGGGGCGGGTATATTCGTAGCGTTGCCCATCATTGAAGTAGCCAAATCGGACTGGAGTATTGCAAAGGTCATCATACGCAGCTCTATCCTCCTCCGAAATATTCTGAGCCACACGAACGGCATCTGAAAATAGAGATTCCCCGCCGGGTAGGGAGTTATCCATGCAATGAAGCAATTGGTAACCGGGCGGATCAGCCATATATAGGAGATCCATGTGAAACCCAAGAAACTTATTGGTGTAGGCAACATTTTTCGCATCCGGAACACTACGGACATCCCAGGTTGAGCCATAGAATGAGTTACGCAGAGGCCCCATCCTGGTCGCAATTTGTGATACGCTTTCAGTTGACCTAGGTACACCTTTAACAAACACAAGCCCATATCTAGACAAACTGCGCATGAACAACCTGAAGGCGTTATCATTACTCATGTAGTCGTCAAAGGAAATCCAGTGCTGGTTCTTCGCGAAATCGTCTTTATTCCACAGAATTCGCAGCGGCGAAATACGCTTGTGTCGAGGAAGATTGGCCTTAGCCATCCGTGTTAGGTCGGATGCAGCATACGTCGAGATGTGAGCTCCACCGCGCTCGTTCCATACGATGGCCACTCTATTGCCCTCATGCACAACATTTGCAGCGCTCACTTTCTCGTCGAGATCGGAAGTCTCAAAATTGCGCTGTTTCGTCGATGGGTCAACGCAGATGGAGCAGGCACAGGCATCCCGCACTTTGAGGCAACTGAGCGTAAGATTCGCAAACGAAAAGGTTGGCGCTGAGTTGACTAGAATTGGTGGATCACGATGAATCGGCCTGTCAGGCGTAGTCTTTTTTGGGCCCCGCGGTGGGGATTGGGAGACAGTCTGGAAGGGACGGAAGATGGGTGCTTTGAAGGCAGCAAGTTTAGCAACGCTTCTCAAAAGGGGTCGAGGGTCCTGGAGAGTGATTGACATGGCGGTAACCAGCTCATAAGCTAACTTTCGGCGCAGGAGGTTTCGTCCGCAGATCCCAAACTTCCCGAGAATCGAAAGTCAAGTCGGCCTGTTTCTCCGTCCAAGCTCGGGGTTGGCTAGTTTGATTATTAGTCAGCATCAACCTTCGGTCCAGGCTGAGGTTTAGACATCGCTGGTTTACCCAACAATCCTGGCACTCAATTTCGGCATTTCTGTTTCTTCTTGTATGGAGTGCGGCGTTTCCTCAGACATGTAGCTTACTGCTCCATTCATGCGCCTCTCCGAACACAGCACCCATAGTCCGCTCTTTCACACTGCTCCCGCCAAGCGATTCGGACAACATTCTTTGATGAATGTCGGCGGGTGGTGAACATCTGAAGGATGAAGTACCGTTTGAACAGATATCCCGTTGCTATATCCCTAGCTGATATTCTTGAACAGGGCCAACGGTACCAAGTGGTTGCCGCAGGCGCAACTGCAGGCTTAGTTTCAAGGTACCTTTCAGTAGCAACATGTTAGAAATCCTGATCTTAACGAATCTATCCAACCAGATTCTGTGTCGCCCCTCTTGATGTCGTGAAAATCAGACTGCAGCTGCAGATACACTCGCTCTCTGACCCGTTCTCGCGCCAGAACATACGTGGACCAACCTATAAAGGCACTATTTCAACGTTGAGAGCCATAGCTCGGGAGGAAGGGATCACAGTATGTCGCAGAATGCATATCCCCACAGGCGTCATAGCTCTCTAACATGGACTCTCTCTCTCAGGGCCTCTGGAAAGGCAATATTCCCGCCGAACTGCTCTACATATTTTACGGCGGAATCCAATTTACCACGTACCGGACCATAACCCAAGCCCTCCACACCCTTCCTCTCAATTACCGCCTACCCCAACCAGTCGAATCATTCATATCCGGTGCTGGCGCTGGAGGCCTGGCCACTTTCACGACCTACCCGTTCGACCTTCTTCGCACTCGCTTCGCTGCCCAGGGCAACAACAAAGTTTACCTATCCCTTCTTTCCGCAGTCCGTACAATCCACACATGCGAAGGCCCGCGCGGCTTTTTCCGCGGCGTCAGTGCTGCTGTAGGCCAGATTGTGCCGTATATGGGCCTGTTCTTTGCTATGTATGAGTCGTTTCGGGAGCCAGTATCGATGCTTGACCTTCCATTTGGCTCAGGTGATGCGGCAGCGGGTGTTCTGGCGAGCGTGTTTGCAAAAACAGGAGTTTTTCCACTGGACCTTGTTCGCAAGAGGCTGCAAGTCCAAGGCCCAACACGCTCAAGGTACATTCATCAGAATATTCCCGAGTACTCCGGTGTATGGAGGACCATGAGGACTATCGTGCGAGATAGTGGCGTTAGGGGCCTATATCGAGGGTTAACGGTGAGCTTAATAAAAGCTGCACCAGCGAGCGCTGTAACGATGTGGACATATGAAAGAACGCTAAAAATTCTGAAGCAAATCAATGCAGACATAATCTGATAGGTATGTATCTGTGGTAATTAATTGTATATATGAGATGGGATATCTTAAGAGTATGGCTGAGGTGGTAGCCTCGAGTAGTGGAGGGATATATCTTAATCAAGGTTAATTATCAAATGTGAGTACTGGATATCAACTTTCTCATCTCTGTAACGGCAAAAAAGGAAGGATATCGCAAAAACATTCTCAAACACGACACAGCAATGGGATGAATTATTAACGTCTAATACTCAGCACCCTCATCACCTTCAGCCTCCAAACTGTCACTGGCAACTTCTTCGTAATCCTTCTCCAAAGCGGCAAGATCTTCACGAGCCTCAGAGAATTCACCTTCTTCCATACCCTCACCAACATACCAATGAACGAAAGCACGCTTCGAGTACATGAGATCAAACTTATGATCAAGACGGCTCCAGGCTTCCGCAATAGCGGTTGTATTTGAGAGCATGCTGACGGATCGATCAACAGGTGCAAGCTCGCCGCCTGGAACACGCATTGGTTTTTGATAGTTAATACCGAGTTTAAATCCAGTAGGGCACCACTCAACCAAGTTGAAAGAATTTTTCGCTTTGAGTGAAGCCACAGCAGCCGTGCAGTCGCGAGGAACCACATCACCACGGTAGAGAAGAGCAACGGCCATGTATTTTCCGTTTCGTGGGTCGCAAACAACCATTTGGTTGTTTGGTTCGAAGCCTACCAGGAAAGAGTATGTTTAGTACTTGCCACGAGAGAAAGTGACGGGACCGCCTTACATTGGAACGTCAAATCATGAACCTTGAAGCTTTCATGCGAGCTGCGGTTGCTAGATACAACTGGAGCGTAACTGATCAGAGGATAGTGAATACGAGGGTAAGGGACCAAGTTAGTTTGGAACTCGTTCAAATCCACATTCAAAGCACCGTCAAAACGCAAGCTTGAGGTGATGGAGCTGACAACTTGGGCAATCAGACGGTTGAGATGCTCGTAGCCAGGGCGTGGAATATCCAGGTTGCGGTGGCAGATGTCATAGACGGCTTCATTATCAACAAGGAAGGTGCAGTCTGAGTTTTCAATGGTGCTGTGTGTCGAGAGGACAGCATTGTAAGGTTCAACAACAGCCGTTGAGACACGAGGGGCGGGGTAAACGGCAAATTCAAGTTTGGATTTCTTGCCATAGTCGGTCGAGAGGCGTTCCAAAAGCAGAGCACCAAAACCAGAGCCAGTACCACCACCAAAAGAATGGAAGATCAAGAAGCCTTGGAGGGAGGAGCAGTTATCTATATGAATTAAAAAAGACTATAAGCCAATGATCTCAGATTTTGTTTGTGTAGCAGTTCATACCGGCAACGCGACGGATGCGGTCAATAACGTTATCAACGAGTTCTTTTCCAATTGTATAGTGTCCACGGGCGTCTAATTATCCATTAGCATTCCAATTCATGGCCGGACTATACCCTAAATGATAAAGCTTACAGTTGTTAGCAGCATCTTCCTTGCCGCTGATTAACATCTCAGGGTGGAAAAGCTGTCGGTATTGACCAGTGCGGATCTCATCAATGGGCTAATGAAAAATGAGCATTGGCGACTCGTAATTGATAGCAGTATATCAGAACGTACGGAAGGGTCCAGATCTACGAAAATAGATCGAGGAACGTATTTGCCACTGCCAGTCTCGGTGAAGAAAGTCTCGAAGGAGCCAGGCTCGCCAATATCGGCAGCTTCAGGGTCCGGACGACCATCTGCCTTCAATCCATGTTCGAGAAGATACCTAATCGAAAAAAAGCGCGATGCTCGTAAGCTATGAAACCACTATATGGGCGGATGCTTGGACGGCGAAAGAGCGGTGAACGGGGCAACGTACAATTCCCAAGCACTGTTACCGAGCTGGGTACCGGCCTGGCCGATATGAAGATGGCAGACCTAGCAACAAAAGGCAATTAGCACAATTGAATTGGGTTATGCAAGGTTGTTGCGAATTGAAGACGAGAAACTACTACAAGGAGAACAGGGCACAGGTCGGGTCAGGGGTTCCACGCCAAAAAGGGTCGCGACTCACCTCGCCTCTCATTCTGCTGGTTTTTCACGAGTAAAACAGAGGAAGCTTAGTAGAAAGGGGCGACAGAAGACAGTCCCGTGCAATGTGACCGGGGACAGCGATGGGAGTGCGTGAGGATGAAGAGCAAGAGGGGGAGAAAGAAGCGAGAGTGTTGTTGTTTGGTGGTGCTTGCCTCAACGTGTGCGGGCTTACCCCAGTCGGGCATAGTGTCAACACTCCCCCCTATCAGCAGCGCCCTTCACCATGCTTTGTCAGCGGCTAGCGGCCCCTTTCTCTCAACAAGAACGCCTCGTCACGGCGATCTGTCGACCGCAGTGCACGAGCTGATGCTCCAGCATCACTGTGGCCTGCTGTGCGCCGGTGCTGGACACGGCCCCGACTGGCCTCAAGCTCGACCCTTGGCAGATTCGTCCCCGAAGATTAGGTTTCGTCCCTGACAGCAACCACTTGCTGGCGAGAATCCCGATTCGACGCGTCCTAACCGTCGTGTCGTCGGCGCGGAAAACGGATCGAACAACGCACAAAGGACACATTGGAGATCATACTCGTGAATCCCGTTATATCATCTATTCCGGAAGGACCAGCACCTTCATATCTAGCCACCAATGTGGAGTTAACTCCAGTGCGGCTGTTCCTCGCCGTAGCATCCTTCTCAACCAAGCAACTTCTCTTTTGTCTGTCTTTGAGGGCTCTGTGACACCAAGGGACTTATTTTCTCCCCCTAGAGGACCGTTGGATTACAGTCCTGCAAAAAACCAAAAGATCATGTTTCGACGCAGATGCACACAGATCGCCGAAATCACATCCATTTTTGTTTGCCCTACAGAATACTTTTAAGCCTAAATTAGTTCATTATTTCTGCGCAGCTTTGATATTATATTTTTGCTCCCATCTATGAATCACCAGGACTCTGCATTGGTAGCATTCTACACTTTTCATCCGAGAGTTGGCTTAGGACGCACATCTAAATTTGGACTTTGCGTTTTCTCTTACTTAACTATCTCACGTCATGCAATATTCCACGTATCCCTGGAGTATTCAGAAGCCAGAGATTCTTTGGTGCTAGAGAATTGCACCTAGCCCTGGATTTGTACTCCGTCAGGGCTTTATTCTCCATTTTCAATGACAACTTGAACGAATCATAAATGCAAGCGAACAGAAAATACTGCATTGGTCTCTAGTCAACAACTGGCCCGTCGTAAGTGCAGACTTTTATTGATTACAGGAGCTAACATGGGCACCGCTGTCGTAGTAGGCCAGTTCGCAACCGCGTTGACGTTTTTCCTCCGGTCATATGAGACTATTTGTCAGGGGTATGCCCACATATGACTTCATCGCCATGTGTGATATGCATAATGGGTTCACGGTCAGATAGAGAACGCCTGGGCCTGGGACGTATCCAGATATCAAATCGGATTCAAACAAACGAAAATCGAAAAGTTGCCGATCAACCCCTGCTAGCTGCCGAATGACTGATAGGTCCGCACAACGTGCATAATCCTGCTGGCTGCCCCTCTCTCTACCCAGTTTCCCGCGACTCAGTGCTTGTTTCATGCTGGAGCACAATGACGTGGAGCTGGTCGCGGCAGACGGACACGAAGCCGACCATCCCGGCCAGGCGCGATGGACCCGCTGACATAAGCGCGCCAATGGCGGCCGCCGCGCTGGAGTTGGCGGGCTGCGACTGGCCAGATCCCTGCCAAGCCCCGCCGGTACGCTTAATTCCCGCCACAGAAGCCTAGTGGGGCAGCTTATCGCTGAGCTTTTGTTCTTTCTTCGTCCACAACTCGCCGCTCTTGCAGTCATCCTGCTCCCCCTCTTTCTCCTCCTTGCCGCTCCGCTCCATCGTTTTTCTCTCTTCATCATTTCCTACAAGACTTGCCTTGTCAATGTCTTCTAGCTACATTCTCTCGACCTTCTGTCCGTCGTTCAAACCTCGACTTCGTCACTCGTTGGTAACTCCTCAGCCCCTCTTTCGCTCAACGAATACCATCATTTGAGATCCAGATTCTCAGAATTCTCTCGGCCCGCTGCAACTTCGAACCATTGTTGGGACAGCACTGCCACTGAAGTCTTCGAGACTTGTGAAATACTTGGCCGACTCTTCTACCGAAGTGGTCTCCCATTTTCAGTAGAGACCCCAACATTCGCCTCCGACAAATCCAAAATCACACTGAGATATACGTGAAACACGTCCGATACTGTGGATACACTGCACTCAGAGCCTTGACCGCACCATGTCTACACCTGTCGATGAAGCTCCTGAGCCCAGCTATCGCACGAACAAAGCTCACTTCGAATACGAACGGTCGTCAACTGACGAAACATATGTGGGAGATAAGACTCAAGATGAAGATCAAAGTCATTTAAAAGTTGACTGCTCTCTCAATCCTCATAATATCCTTCATCCCTCACCATCACGAACGCGTGAAGAGGCCCATCGACTAAACGATGATCTTGCAATGCTGCAAGCGGAACGGGAGGTTTCCAACGCCGAGACAGAAATAGATAACACCGGCCGCGCCACATCAATTCACAGGACCCGGACACGGCGCTCAGAACCAATTGATGAGTTTGATACAACCACGAACCCCCTCCATGAACAAGGCGCTGCTTACAAGCCTCCCAACACCCCTACAAACCGCTTTGCTCGATTTGTGAAAAGAATACACAACTCCAGCTTCCTAGTCCGCTACTTTACGTATATCACACCCTTCGTTCTAATAATTTTAATACCGCTTCTACTCGGCGCCCTCGCATTTCCGAATGCTGATGTTGGAGGCGTTCAGCTTATGTGGTTTTCTGTCTGGCTGGAGATTGTTTGGCTTACATTGTGGGCCGGGCGAATTGTCGCAAAATGCATTCCATTTCTTATCAGCCTCGTCGCCAGCGTAATGACAAACAATTCAAAAAAGTGGCGAGATCTTGCGAAGCAAGTGGAATTACCCGCGGCACTATTTTTCTGGTGGCTTGCCGTGGAGATATCATTTCTTCCAACTATGAAAAACCATCATATAGATGGAGACAAGGCAACAAAATCATGGGAGCTTGTTGTCAATAAGATTATTCTTGCCGTCTTCGTGGGAATGACCCTTAACCTTATCGAGAAGCTCATAATCCAGCTTATTGCGATCAGCTTTCATCTTAGGACATATGCAGATCGCATCGAACTTAACAAGTTCCAAATCGGGAGCCTCACAAAACTTTATGAGTATTCCAAAAACAAAATAACAATGGAAGATCGCGATTTCGAAGAACCGCCAACGGATGGGCCAAGCTCTGGAGCTCGAACACCCATGATTTACGCTGATAGAGCGGGCAGAGCTGCAAAGGAAGCATTTAATAAAGTGGGCGATGTCGCTGGTGTAGTTGCTGGTGATTTTACTGGAAGGAAGGTCACAAAATCCGACCATCCTTATCAGGTGGTTCTCACACTCCTTAGCACAACAGGTGGAAGCCAAGTTCTCGCCAGGCGACTTTATAGAACCTTCGTCCGTGAGGGTTTTGATACAGTCTTTTCTGGCGACCTCAAGTCTGCGTTTGACAATGAGGATGAGGCCGATGCTGCGTTTATCATGTTCGACAAAGATATGAACGGAGATATTTCAATGGAGGAGCTGGAAGCTGTATGTGTTGAGATTGGCAGAGAAAGAAAGTCTATCACAGCTTCACTCAAAGATTTAGATTCCGTTGTTTCGAAACTGGACGACGTTTTTCTTTTCATTGTTGTAGTGATCACAATACTCGTGTTTTTGACCCTAATTTCGACTTCTGCTGCAGGTGTCTTGGCCTCTGCTGGGTCTACTCTACTCGCTCTTTCTTGGCTATTTTCTGCTACCGCCCAGGAATTTTTGCAGAGTATCATTTTCGTTTTCGTGAAGCATCCTTTCGATGTTGGTGACCGTGTTTCTATTTACGGCAATACGGGGGCCAATCTTACAGGCGACGACTATTTTGTCAAGGAGATTGCGCTCCTCTATACAGAGTTTAAGAAGATGGAGGGGCATGTTGTCCAGGCTCCAAACAGCTACCTTAACACTTTATTTATTCTCAATCAACGACGCAGCGGTGGCCTTGCCGAAGCTGTCCCGATTATTATTAAATTCGGTACAAGCTTAGAACAGATTGATGCTCTCAGACAACGCCTCCTTGAATTTGTCCTCTCCGAGAAACGAGAATACCAGGGCAAGATTTTGACCGAGCTGAGAAAAGTGACAGAAAACTACTCCATCACTCTCAATGTTGTCTTCTTTTATAAATCAAATTGGCAAAATGAACTCCTTCGCTTGCAGCGACGGAACAAATTCATTTGCAACCTCATGATATCCTTGCAGGAAGTTGGCATCGAAGGCCCGCGGATGAACCTACTTGGATATAAACAGGACCTCCCATATCACGTCTCATACCAGGGTGCTCCTCCGCAGTACACCTCCCAGGCACATGATACACCAAGGCCGCCTTCTGACCCTCAACAGGCAGCTGAAGCTCGTGATACCCTTGGAGAGCTCGGCGCCGCATCTTCTAGTGGTGTCCATCACCACCAGTCCATTCTTCGTCGTCCTGGTGGCACATCTTCTAGGCCTCGCGGTAATTCCTTGTCTAGGCACGTTGACTTCTCTTTGGGCATGTCAGAACTTAGCTCAGGCGACCTCATATCTGATGTGTATACTGATCGCGAGCGGCATCGTGTAGACAATATCATTCGCTCTGTCAACAGAGAGAATGCCGAACGTCGCAATCAAGAGAAGCAGGAAAATACATCTCTTGACCGTAGCACATCCCACCATGGAAGAGTCTCTCTCGATTCTCAAGCAACATCAGCATTATCCACTCGTGGCAGTCTTTCGTCTCCTCATAGGAACCGTTTCTTCGGCAGATTTGGTAGCCGCACTGGTTCTCATCGTAACCATCCCAGAGGCTTCCAGGGTGATGAAGATATGCTCGAGCAAGGGCGATTTACTGGGACAATACAAGGTGCAATTGACCCTCGCAGCGGGACTATCTCCAGCAGAGCCGTACATGACGACTATTTGGACCGACACCCAACAGCAAGCGACATGAGCTTAGTGCAGAGCAGAAGCCCAGATCGTAAAAACGAAGGGTATGAAATGGGCAAATTTCGAAGCAGATAGCTAGACAACTCTTGTTTTCTTTGTTTGTATTTTGCAACTACCCATGTTCCTGGATTGAATCCAGTATTGCCACATTTAAGTGCCGTCTTCCTTCCTAATATACTTAGCATTAATCTCATAATATATAGATAGAATGCGGACTGTTTGTATATAGACCTGTTGTTGAAATTCAAAGTCTTTTTGCTCGAACCTAAGTAATGATTAGGGCCTAGAAGATATTTTGACACAGCATAGTGGGCTATTTGCCGGGTTTGGCCACAAAGCATTGCTCCTCTGCATTGCTTCAGTCTGTATCATTGATAAAATTTGACCAAGGCAACCTATAGAAAATATGACAAGTATGGAATGTGACTCGTGTGGGAGACTTGATGATAGGTCTCGAGATTGGGGAAGGCATATTCCCGTCATGTAAAGTGAAAATTCATTTTATCGCAGATCCTGATACTTCAATTTAGCAATGGACATTCTCCCATACTCCGTACGGAGTAGTCTCAGCTTGACCTAAATACTTTTTTCTTTTGCCCAATGACGTAGTCTCTGGCTGCAGCTACTAAGCAGGCCACTCAAGACTTCACTTCCGCGAAGGTCATGTACGCTCAGGCATTCGGGCCGACTTTCTGTCGCACAATTCCAGCAATGCTGTAGAAACATTGAGCCCGAAATCTTAACGGGTCCTGAAAGATCGTGTACTAATTCTGATCAATACCTGCATGCATGGAGTCCGAGTGATGGGCATGCCGCCTGATATAACTACCTGTGTCTTTAAATTAGCCTGCAAGCTGACCCGCTCTTTCAAGCATTTTTTTAGGGTCCGCTTCGATGTTCCCAGTCTCAGCTGAGATGGAACCTATGGCATCACAAGTGCCGATCGCCCATCTGACAACCCAGCAAATCTTAACCATGAACGGCATTGCCATCAGCTGCTTCCGGGCAGATAGGCCTTCTACCTTTAGCAGGATGCGTCGCGGATCATGGAGCTAAAAGGCAAGTTCCGCGACAATCAACGGCAAACACCTCACTCTTCCTCTAGACGTCGCGGGCTGCCTCATGCACTCAAGCAGAAGGATGTGGTCATCTTGCAGCGGAGCCGTTCGCAAATCGGCCATATAGGAAGTATGGACTTTGGTGGCTCGTCGTATAGGAGGGTGTCGGCGATGTGACGTATGTGCGTCGGAGAGTGCACTGGTGCAATGCTGTGTCACCATGACAAATATAGATCAGATCCCTGCGATTATTTGTTGACGATCAGAGACCGTAGCTCGGGCTACGCGCACGGATTGTTTCCTTCGTGGCGGTCATCTTCTGAGTCCTGGTCGTGCGATGCACTCTGTTTGTGTGATTGGGGAATCTATCTTCAGGCTGTCCGAGACGAGACACTGCTCGTTGCCCAGTGACCCTTTAAGGGGCATATGGATTCCATTGATATGGCATAACTAATAGTTTGACAATGATGGAGAATGGAGCTAGTCTTGCAGTGCATTGTCCATATCATGCTTTTTGGCCTGCCTTCGAAATGGCTGGCGGAGGGATACATTATGTTTGGCTTCAGAAAGCCCAATTCGGGTGCGCTAGTCTGCTTCCGGAACAGTATACTCACGTGAATGCGGCTCGGGGGCGACCATGATCCGGATCCGGTAAGGCCGGGGCCACAGACGCCAAGCCGCGCCTTCCGGTTGGCGGCGCGCGGAGCCCCGGGCGAGATATGCAGCTTAGCTAAGCTACCTACGCCTGGCGAAAATTCTGCCGAGGCGACTGTGACAAATAATGCCATTCTTAAATATTTTGTGCATTTGCTACAGTCGCGATGCAAGTACGGAGTACCGAGTGTAGATGCATGTGCTCCATAGCTAGTAGCGATGCACGCTGGGTCTTCGCCGCGCTGCTTGGGCACGCAGCTGCTGTCCTCCGTCAGACGTCGCAGCCCCGTCTGTCATTCACGGGCCTGAAGACACGAAGCCCCAGCCGCTCGCTGGCGTCTGGAGTACCGATGTACAGTACGGCGGAGTACGGAGCACGGAGCCAGCTCTGCATCCTACGGCTCTAGGTGACGGCTCATACGGGCCCAATACGGCGTCCTGACAACCGGGCGGCGGGCGCAAGGCGTAAGCGCGTAATAATACGGTGCGCGCCAGGCCGGGCCGGGCAGAAATGCGTATTGCCGGCGGTCGGCCACGCGAGACTTGTACCGGAAGCGGCGTATCCGACCGCCCAAGAACGGCAATCCAACGTCTCTCCGCCCCCTGGCACAAACCTGGCTCGGGACTGCGCGTGTTCCGGCGCTTTGTTGGCAGAGATTGATTTTCCGCCTGCGTTGCCTGGCCATGGATCACCCTCGCGTCAGCGCTTCCTCCGGCTCCAGAGCTCGTCTCCGCGCCGCCTGTTGTTTGCCCGCTGCCGGACTTGACGGAGTCAGTTCCTTGCTGCTGGTATACCTATACCCGGGTCCTGGCTGCCAGCTACATATATAACTACTTCACCCAGAACCCTGCCTGCTCGCTTCTCTTTTTCGCTTCGTTTTTTTTTCTTTTCGCTTGTATAAATTCTTTCCACAACTCCACAGTCAACGCTGTACATGCGGTACTCTCTGCACGTACCCGCGACGACGGCTTTGTAACCATGACCAATCCACCGGCGGAAGCTGGCCCAGATTTGCAACACGCTCCGTCCTCCCACGCCAGAACCTACGCTGACGAGGCAAAAAAGAGCGCGACCAGCTCAGTCACGGCTGGGATGATCTCGAGCGACGACGACGATGGCATCACCAGGGAGCAGGAGCATGAAATCGAGACCTTGGCCCGTCAAGTCTCGCACTTCTCGAGACGCAGCAGTGTATACAACCATGAGAACATAGTCAATCCGTTCCTTGACCCAGATGCAGATCCCGAGTTGAACCCAAGCGGACCTGACTTCAGAGCCAAGAAATGGTTGAAGACTATCTTGCAGATTCAGTCGCGGGATTCAGACCGATATCCAAAGCGGACGGCTGGTGTGTCTTTTCGAAATATGAACGTTTACGGCTACGGCACAGCCGCAGACTACCAGGCAGATGTTGGGAATACTCCTTTGAAGGCCGTCAACGCAATCAAGGATCTCATGGGCATGGGTAAAAAGGTCCGCATCGATATTCTACGCGATTTCGAGGGCTTAGTCAAGAGTGGTGAAATGCTCGTGGTGTTAGGACGACCCGGCAGGTAAGGCCTCTCCCACTTTCCAATCTAGCGTTGAAAACAATAACTAAGACCCCTTGATAGTGGGTGTTCTACATTCCTTAAGACTCTGGCAGGCGAGACACACGGTCTACATCTAGATGAAGGGAATGATATACAATACCAAGGCATCTCGTGGACACAGATGCACAAAAATTTCCGCGGCGAGGTTGTGTATCAGGCAGAAACAGAGACTCATTTTCCCCAGATGACAGCTGGTGAGACCTTGTACTTTGCAGCCCGGGCCCGTGCACCTTCCAACCGGTTTCAAGGAGTCACCCGCCATCAGTACGCCGAACATATGCGCGACGTTGTCATGTCAATGTTGAGTCTATCTCATACCGTGAACACCAAGGTTGGCAACGAGTATATACGGGGAGTTTCTGGTGGTGAGAGGAAACGTATCAGTATTGCAGAGACAACATTGAGTGGTAGCCCTTTACAGTGTTGGGACAATAGTACGCGTGGTCTAGATAGTTCCACAGCCCTTGAGTTCGTCAAGTCGTTGCGCCTCTCAACACAATATTCCGGTACAACCACTATTGTTGCCATTTACCAGGCTGGTCAAGCAATCTACGACGTGAGTCAAATATTTCCAACATTCTTTCTTATTATTATTGTTTTTGACTGACTAGATTAGATTTTTGACAAGGCAATTCTTCTCTACGAAGGCCGTCAGATCTATTTCGGCAATGCTGGCCATGCCAAACAATATTTCATTGACATGGGCTTTGAATGCCCGGACCGCCAGACCACTGCGGACTTCCTCACATCCATCACCAACCCTGCTGAGCGTCGAATTCGTCCTGGATTCGAGAATAAAGCTCCTCAGACGCCCGATGAATTTGTTGAGAGATGGAGGTATAGCGCAGAACGCAAAGCTCTGATTACGGACATCGAAGAATACAACAATGAATACCCTCTTGGTGGTGCCCAGCTTGAGAAATTCCAGACCTCTCGACGGGCAGAGAAGTCTAAAGCCTCTCGGAAATCTTCGCCTTATACGTTGTCCTTCCTTCAGCAGATTCAGCTCTGCATGTGGAGAGGGTTTGTACGTTTACGAGGAGACATGTCTATGACTGTGACTAGCGTTATCGGAAACATCGCTTTATCGCTCATTATCTCAAGCGTGTTCTACAACCTACAGGATAATAGTAGTTCGTTTTTCAGCCGTGGCTCGTTACTTTTCTTCGCCATTCTTATGAACGGATTTGCCAGCTCTTTGGAGATCTTGACACTCTGGCAACAAAGACCCGTTGTTGAGAAACACGACAAATATGCGCTCTATCACCCGTCCGCCGAAGCCATCAGTTCGATGATAGTGGACCTACCTGCAAAGGCAATCGTTGGAGTGGTCTTCAATCTCATCCTATACTTTATGACGAATCTTCGTCGAACTCCAGGCCATTTCTTTGTCTTCTTCTTGTTCTCCATCTGCACCACTCTTACCATGTCCAACATCTTCAGAACCATTGGTGCTGTGTCAAGGACCTTGGCCCAAGCCTTGGTTCCATCCTCGATCTTCATGTTGTCCTTGGTTATCTATACCGGCTTCACGATTCCTGTTCGAGATATGCGTCCATGGTTCAAGTGGATTAGCTATATCAACCCGATCCAGTATGCTTTTGAATCCTTGATGATTAACGAATTCCATGATCGCAGATTCCCTTGTGCTACTTACGTACCAATGGGACCTGCGTATCCAAATGTCGCTGGTGATTCGGTCATCTGTGGTGCAACTGGTGCGCGACCCGGTGAGAATTTTGTGGATGGTGATGCATTTTTAAACATCACCTACAAGTACTTTGCATCCCATCTTTGGAGAAACCTTGGAATCATCTTTGCGTTTTTCTTCTTCTTCCTCTTCACCTATATCGCCGCGACCGAAATTGTCAGCGCCAGGCCTTCCAAGGGAGAAATCCTTGTTTTCCCCAGAGGCAAGGTTCCTTCATATTTGAAAAGCAAGAAGAGCAGCGAAGACCCTGAAGTCGCACATGTCACAAACGAGAAACAAAAGTTGGAAAGCAACGGCCATGACCAGGTTGGTGCCATCGTGAAACAAACATCTACCTTCCACTGGCAGGATGTCTGCTATGATATTAAAATCAAGGGCAAGACACGAAGAATTTTAGATCATGTTGATGGCTGGGTCCAGCCTGGAACGCTGACTGCCCTTATGGGCGTTTCCGGTGCTGGCAAGACTACTCTGCTGGACGTCCTCGCTGATCGCGTCACCATGGGTGTTGTTACGGGTGAGATGCTCGTCGACGGACGTCTGCGCGATGATTCCTTCCAGCGAAAGACCGGCTACGTCCAGCAGCAGGATCTTCACTTGGAAATCAGCACCGTTCGTGAAGCTCTGGTGTTTTCCGCACTTCTTCGACAGCCTGCCACAACTCCTCGCGCCGAGAAAATTGCCTACGTCGAAGAAGTTATCAAGATGCTGGGAATGGAAGAGTATGCTGACGCTGTAGTCGGTGTTCTCGGCGAAGGATTAAACGTGGAGCAACGGAAACGCTTGACAATTGGCGTGGAGATTGCTGCCAAACCTGACCTGCTTTTGTTCTTTGACGAGCCAACCTCTGGCCTTGACAGCCAGACCGCCTGGTCTATTTGTAAGCTGATGCGCAAACTAGCTGACCATGGTCAGGCTATTCTGTGTACTATTCATCAGCCGTCCGCAATGCTCATGCAAGAATTTGACCGCCTGCTCTTCTTGGCCTCTGGAGGCAAGACTGTGTACTTTGGTGATCTTGGCCATAATATGACGACTCTAATTGAGTACTTTGAAAATAAAGGGGCACCCAAATGTCCATCCAATGCCAACCCAGCAGAATGGATGTTAGAGGTCATTGGAGCTGCACCAGGCTCAAAAACAGATAAGAATTGGCCTGAAATTTGGAACAACAGTGGTGAACGCTCCGCCATTCTTCAGCAGCTACAAGATATGAAAAGAGAACTGTCTCAACAGCCCCAGGCTCCTCGTTCTGCCGGATATGGTGAATTTGCAATGCCCTTTTGGCAACAATATCTGGTTGTTCAGCATCGTATGTTCCAGCAATACTGGCGCAGCCCCGAGTATATTTACTCGAAATTCTGCCTGTGCATTGTCCCGGTATGTTATCCTTCTGGTCTTTTTTTTATTGACGTGCAATCTCTGACTAGTACGACGTATATAGACACTCTTTATTGGATTCACCTTCTATAAGGAGCCGATCAGCTTGCAAGGGTTGCAGAACCAGATGTTTGCCATCTTCATGTTCTTGATTCTTTTCCCAAATCTTGTGCAGCAAATGATGCCATACTTTGTCACCCAACGATCTCTTTATGAAGTGCGAGAACGACCCTCAAAGGCATATTCCTGGAAAGCATTTATGCTTTCTAGTATCTTGGTCGAACTGCCATGGAATACAATAATGGCTGTTCCAGCGTTCTTTTGCTGGTACTATCCAATTGGGTTTTTCCGTAATGCTATTCCTACAGATGCGGTGAACGAGCGCAGTGCCACCATGTTTTTGCTGGTGTGGATTTTCCTGATGTTCAGTTCAACATTCAGCTCAATGGTCATTGCTGGTGTGGAACAGGCAGAGACGGGTGGAAATATGGCCCAGCTGCTCTTTTCCTTGACTTTGGTCTTCTGTGGGTGAGTTGAACCTGTTATTCGAAATATCGCATTTTCATAACTGACAATGATCTCTCCAGTGTCCTTGCCACCCCCCAGGCAATGCCAGGGTTTTGGATCTTCATGTACCGGCTCTCTCCATTTACCTATTACGTTTCTGCCGTGCTTTCAACAGGTGTGGCAAACGCGGATGTTACTTGCTCTGCACGAGAACTCCTCAAGCTTGCTGCACCCGCGGGTCGAACATGCGGAGACTACCTCAAAGCCTACATGTCGTATGCTGGTGGCCGGCTTCTCAACCCAGAGTCTACTACACAGTGCGATTTCTGCCCAGTGGCGGATACCAACACATTCCTGGCGCAAGTGAATATCTCATACAAAGACCGGTGGAGAAATATCGGGATATTATTCGTTTATATTTTTGTCAACGTCATTGGAGCTATTGTATTCTACTGGCTACTGAGAGTGCCAAAGAAATGGTCGAAGAAGGCGAAGAAGGAGTAGAGAGGCCAAGTCTTTCTGGAGCGTTAGGAAAACGGTGCATTGGGTGGCGGAATTGCTTGACGTCTTGAAAAAAAATTTCTTTTCTTTTGCTTCTTTTTTTTCTCACCAACGATGCCCTCTCCCCCTTTTTTTTTCAATTTAGCACATGGTTCTATTAGCATGCATTACATAGACACCGCTTGATTTTTTTTTTTTTTTTTTTTTTGATGTGTACGCTTATTTTATCCCTGTACTACTATTGCAAATTGTCTGATCTTCCCTTGTTTCCCTGCGTCCGTCTGACTTCACCGATCAATGAATAGTCCTGTGCTCATAATATTAATAGTATTTCTTCTGCAGAACTCTCCACGTGGTGCGTCTCTTTTGCAGCTAGTTAAGTTGGTCCAACAGGAAATCCAAGGATGCGATGCCACATGGATCTCGATACGGCCTGGGCTAGCAGATGTTAGTTCTTTTGCTTTTGCTTTTCGCACGGCTCTCTCTTTCTTTGCCTCCATTTGGCCTTCCCCTCCCTTCAAGCCCAAGCCCAAGCCCAGGGCTCCGTTCTTTGTTTTTCTTTTACTTTTTTTTTTTTTTTTTTTTTTGTCACAGAGTGCTGCTCTCTCCCCAGCCCCCCAAAACGACCCCAACACCGCTCCTGTGGATCCGCTCCCCCAATAATTCACGGAGTCGCCGATCACCACGCCTTTTTGGAACAGTTGTTTGAAGGGGGGGGGAACTTAGTTATGTATGACGGACGCAGCGGCGTTTCTTTTTTGGAATTGCTTTCACCGCCGGCCCAAGAAAGACATGGTAGAGAACCGGCCAGTTTGCGAATCCGGGCGAAAAAAGGACAAAGCACTGCACAAACCGATCATTTCCCCAGTCATGCTGTCAAATGACAAATAGTTGAGGCGTGTGTTTTTGCCTGATGTCATGTACTCCGTCGACTGCAGTTGCTCCGTAATACCTGTCAGCATTATTTGGAAACAGGAGACGCAACGCCATTCTGAACGAGCCCACGAGAATGGAAGCGCCCAAAAATTGCCTTATGAGCCTTGTCCTCTTTTTTTTTTTTTTTTTTCGTCCTGGCTCATCCCACGCCTCAGGCTTCAAGCGTAAAACAAGCGGCGGCGCACCCACGACAACCTTATTGTGATTAAACTCCAAGCAACGTTTGCCGGCATACTGTACCAACTAATCAGTGTGCAGAGCACTGCTGCTCCTGCTGCTGTTCGAAACAAGGGGAGGTCCCCGAAAAAAAAAGATAAAAAAAAAAAAAAGGAATTCCAGCCACTATTACCTGCGTGGCACCCACCCTTCTCCCCATTCGGGGTGACGTTTTTTTTTTTTTTTTTTTAGACGAGCGGGCGTCTTCCAAAATCGGCTTGTTCTGTTCCCAACAAAGCCCCGGGGAAATTTGGCTTGGGGGGCGGGTCTGGGTGCTTCCCAAGATACTTGAACTCGACCAGGAGGCTAACCAGAAGAGAAAAAAAACCATGGGGTATAACTATCCTTTTTTTTTTTTTGCCTAGGGCTGGAAAGTTAGTCTCGGCCACAATGCATGAGAGGGCTTGTCTGGGTATGTGTGTTGGAAAGCTGCGGCTGGTCGGTGCATACGGAGGAGTTAGTTACATATATTAAGGCGCAAGTTGTCGTCGCAAGTTGATAACTGCTAACTAGTTAGATGGAATATATTTACCGCGTTCAAGATATATTCGCAGGAGATTCGCATATTCTGACGATCCCTCACAAGGCCCCTATTCTTAGAGAGCGGCAATCCAAAATCATAATAATAACAATAAATGCGTTGAAAGACTCTCCGTACTCGTCGCGCACGCGCGCGCCACAAAAGCATCCCAAGGGGCGCGTTATCGGTGCCCAAATCTCCCAGTAGATCCCAGATCCCGGTGATGTCCGGGGTATAGCTCACTAACTAGCTATCAAGGGGTAACTCTTTTTTTTTTTTTTTTTTCAATCTTGTCGCCTCTCTCGCTCTTTCATTTAATATTATTATTGTTGCATGTCAGTTCTTTTTGTTTTTTTTCCCTGGTTCACTATCCCTAGAACTCAGAAATTGTTTTTTTGTTCAAGTCGTTTGGCTCAACGCCTGAGGTCTAGATTTGCGGTGCCTTTTCGGCTCTGCCCTATCACGGAGAATAATAGTGCTGGGCCGCTATGAAACCCGAAAGCCAATGGATGTTCCGCCCCCGGTCAATCCCTCCCCGACCGGGAAAGCAAAAAGGGACATCTCAGAAAAAAAATAAATCATCGTCATAGGTAAATAATAATAATAATCATAATAATAGCTTCGCGGTGTTCCAAGCTGGGATTTGAGTTCAGCAGGGAGCGTCAGATTAAAATGAGCGAAATTCAATTGCTCCGACATGACGATAACAAGAATAATAATAAAAATAATATCACAATTCTGGCGCGGGAGCGGTGGTAGACGTGTCCTTTGTTCGGATGGCTTCTATTTCTGTCTTCGACGGCGAGATTTTAAACACCCCCGTTCGTTCGTTCGTTCGTTCGTTCGTTCGTTCTCATTGGGAAAAAGGTATCAAGGAGCATAGTTAATTACCTAGCCAGCTAAACCGGGCAGCCAAGCATAAACACCAACCCCTTTCATTTCGTAGAGAGACAATAATAATCAAATCACACACACATATGGGTCGCGGTGCGTACGACACGACTGGTGTCCTCAAACCTGTCGCGCCAGAAAACAGGGACGGGCGATGCCGAACCCAAGCCCACGCCCAAGCATCTAAGTCCTCTAGTTAGCTTTCTGGGCACGAACCGAAAATAGCCTGCATGGCCGGCAGGTTTGCTCCGGGGCGGGAAGGTCTTTTGCTGGCGTTTGAGCCTCCTCAGCTGCGATCGATCGAGAGAAAAAGACCAAGCCGGCGTACTCCGTTCTCCACGCAATAATCATCATAATGCAAAGAATTACACTTTCGAAGCGCGCCCCAACGGTGGGCAATCACTTGCTACTAGCAGCCAGTCCGGCTTTTTTGTTTTTTTTTTCCTGTCTTTCCTCGAACTGTTCCGCGCCAATCAGCCTCTCAGATCGCTGCAGGCGAGAGTAAATTTCAACCGCATCAGCTGGGGGGGGGAGACAGAGATTAGAAATCATTGTCCGGCAACAAGTCTTGAATAACTAATGGCTATCGGCGCCAGACGGCCGCGGATTGCCAACACGGCCATTGGGGGCCGCCCGCGCGCCAGGTTCGTTCGGGGCCACGCGAACGGGGTGCGGCTCCAACATGACAAATCGCGGCGAAACAGGGAACAGAGAGAGAGAGGGACGAAACGAAGCGATCACAAGCAATCACATTGGCAGGGCTGCTCATCCTTGCGCGGGCGGATAGAGGCTCCGTCGGTATTGCACGGAGGAGGGTGTCAGGCACCTGGAGATCGGAACGGGGAAAAAAAAGCCAGCGACACGCAAGACGAGTCCAAAAAAAAGGCGCCCAAAACTCTCTATCTCTCTCTCTCTCTCTCTCACTGCCGGGGGGGGTTGGACGTCAGCATCACTTTGACGAAGTTTCACGGCATGCTCCCTTTTTTTTTTTTTGGCTGCGCTCGAAGCCGGGGAACAGCCAGCAAGGGATAGTTAGAGCGTGTGTATACTGAGAGTACAGAGTACTTCGTAGTATATACACTCACGCAACAAAGGACACATCTCACCACGGTCGCCTTGTTTTTGGCTTTTTCCCTTGCCCCCCAGGGCAGCAAGACCCGAGGCCTTGATTTGTTCAGATCAAAACGATCACCACGCAGTCCCACGGTGCACAGTGCCCCATTGGCCGCGCGGAAGCATGGGAGATAGTTTACGTCGTTTCGCACGGTCAGGCCGTACTATGTACTACTGGCATTGGAGCCGCGCGCTGGTTGGCTCGTTGGTGCAGGCATGTCTGTCTGTCTGTCTGTCTGTCTGTCTCCGTTCGGTCTGTGTGCCCCGGCGCAGTTTGTATGCCACGCCAGTCCTGCGCGGCGGTGCCCCATCGCCCTCCTCACGCGCATGGCTGTGTGTTTGCTTGGCGTGGCACTGCTGGGAGGCCGGAGAAATAATAATAATGGCTGTGTACCCCGTATAGTGACTTCGGAGAGCAAGCCCGGGTGCTGCTCTGCCATGTGGGAATGAGACCCCGGGTGTGATGGGACCCTCCCCCCGGGGGGGCCTGCATTGAATGTAGGGGGGGTGTTTTGGCTTTTGGCGTTTCCTGGCTGTGATGGTTATTGGCTGCGGGCTCAGAGAATTTGCCTTTTGCTAAGCCAGTGGGATAGATAGCTAACTGGTCGAGTTTCGCTCTGCAGAGGATACTTTCCTAGACTTCGGATATTTCCAAGGAATCTTGGAATTTTGGCGCATTTCGCATTGTTTCCGATCTGGGATGATAAGCATGAATGCTCCTAATAATAATAACATCAATATCAATCGCATTATCAACGGCCCATTCCTAGCTTGGTTGCCTTTTGGCTTGGATAGTGAGCTAGTCGCCCGACGGACCGCCTTTACGGCTTGAGGGCGTCTTGACTCCCGCCGTCGCCCACTCGCCGTGCACCGCCCAGACCGGGGCCGGCGGGCCAAGATCAACGGACTGCGTATAAGCCCTCTGGGCGTGGTCCTTGCTGGAGGGTGAGGCGGGGCGGTGTTGATTCGATGGCTGTCTGTTTGTATCTCTCTATTTAGTTATGAGATTGAATAAAGATGCCTGCCGGGGGGTCTGCAGCATTCCGCCCCCCCCATGCACGGTCGAGGCCAGCGCAGGCAGACTCGCATCACTGATTGAACTAACTAACGAGTTAACTCGGAGCCTGCGTGGCCCCATGACGCCCGCTTCGATCGTACCTTTGTGTGTGTGTGTGTCTGGTTAGTAGTGGCGAGTTGGTGAACAGCACTGCAGGACCGTCATCGTCCGTCCTCGAGCCATCCGCCGTGTAGGGATGTTAATTTCGGGAGCTGCACACGCAACACCCGCCCGGCAAAAAAGCCTAAACGCTCGTTACAGTAGAGAGAAAGGCGACTGACGATCAGCAATCGGGAGGTCGGGCCCTGCAAGTCAAGCTCGCGGGGGGGGAGGCAAATCAAAAAAGACGACCAACTATAACTCTGCTCCTCCTCCTCCTCCATCGCATCCTCGCGTCGCACAGCCAGTAAAATACGGGGCACACCTCTCGCCGGGACAGGCACCCAGTGCCCCCCGGCCGAGCCATCGCCGGCCAGTCCGGGATGAAGCTTTTCGGAGGCATCTGGGCGACGGACGGCGGTGATGCAGAACGCAGCTTGCTTTGCGTTGCTTGCTTTTGGCTGTTTCTAGGTCAAACACACGGCGTGCGAGTACAGGCATGCGTTGCGCCAGGCCCTCCAGCGCGAGACAAAACGCCCTTTTGAGAGATCCAGGTCACTCGACGGCAGCGGCCGCCTAGTTCTCCGGCGCAGCGGTACCTTGCGGTACGGGGCAGCAGCCCGCGCCGGCAGCGTGGGAGATCGGCTGGGAGAGACGAGCGAGTGCTCAGTCAGCTGGCGGGCGTTGGTGGGCGCAGGGCCTGCCAGTAGCAACGGGGGGAGCAGCAGCGCAGCGCAGGGCAGCGTAGGGGGGAAGCCACGGACGCTACCACCACTGGCTGCAGCATAGCATCACCGCCATCACGCTCACGGTGGACGGCCTGCCCGCAGCCAGCCAGCTAACGAACCAGCCAGCGATGCCGCCAGCGTTGCGCGGATCACCGCCCACCCACGACGCACGAGTCGCTAGCGAGCATTTAGCGACGCCCCCGGCCTCTCGACTCGTCCGCTCGTATTTGCGCGCTGCCGGTGCTGCTAAATAAAGGCCCGCCCGCGAAAGCTTCGTTCCAAAAACGCTCATTTCGCTTCCCTGCCCGCCCGCGTCGGGCTGCTTCTCTCTCTCCAGACTTCTCTCTGCTCGTGACGGCGCTGGCGCGTTTTTTTGCTTCTTTCGCCCTTTGCCTGCTGCGGTCATTCGGTGCGCGCCGGCCAACGGCGGTGCGTCGCTATAGCCTGCGTTGCAATGCTCTCTCTCTCTCTCTCTCGCTCTCTCTTGGCCCAGCGATGGATGCGATGCGGCTCTGCACGCCCCCCCTTTTCCCCCTCGCCAGCCATCGCCCTATTCTCGCGAGCCGCCGATGAGCGAGTGCGCCGTGCGATGCTGCTGCGCTCTCTCTCTCTCTCTCTCTCTCTCTCTCTCTCTCTCTCTCTCTCCGGGCGAAGCATGCCATGACCCATGGCCGCCCGCCTCTTTTGCTTCCCGTTTGGGCGTCGCGCGGGTTGCTTTTTTTTATTTCGCAGGCTCTGGCCGCCAGCGCCAGCGCCATCCCGCCCGCAGGACGACCTGCCCGCGCCCCATTCACAACCCTGGCCGATCGCTGGCATAGCTGGCCCGTATTGGCGGGAGCCTGTGTCCTCCGGCTAGCCTTCGCTCCGCCGTTGACTGATACATATATACTGCAGCGCCGCTGCAGCTGATCGTCCCTCCCCTCCGTTCCTGTTCTGCAGACCACACACCTCGTCCGCTCGCCGTGAAGACTCTTGTTCACTGCCTCTTGTCTCTGGCCTTCGTATATATATATCTCTATATATATGCGCCCCTTGTGCTTTGCGGACCCTCGTACCCACCTCCCATATATATATATCTCTCTCTCTACCTCGCGGCCGCTGACTGGGCTGTCCGCCAGCCAGTCTTGACTTCACTGTATTTTGCCGCTCCCAGTGACAGCCCCGTCTGTCGTCACGCAGCAATGAATGACCTTGCGTTCACAGCTTTTAGCGACCTGCCTCAGATCCCCGTCTCTGGCCAACTGACCTCGGACGAATTCGACTTCGCCTTCTCCCCCGATCTCTTGTCCGGCGACGACATCTTGGTGGCCTCCCCGCGCTTCTTCCGCGACCCCGCCACGCCCGAGCCCGGACACGCCGCTGACCTGACGAGGCCCGCCCGCATGGAACGCCATCTGTCGAGCCTCGAGAAATCCGTCGCCGGCAGCCACTCATACCCGGTGATGGGGGAAGATATGCACGGCACCCTCTACCTGCCCATCCAGAACGCCACGCCATTGCAGCCACCACCGCCGTCGTTGCATGCCACACGATACGCCTCGCCGTCCGGCTCGCAAGGCGGCGATATGTCCGCCACGGGCTCGCTGATGAGCGACCAGCCCTGGATGGTATTCTCCAACCAGTTCCCCAGCACCACGCCATCGCCCATGGTCGACAACTTCCAGTTCTCCCACATCTTCAGCCCGGCCTCCTTCTCGCCGACGGCCGCGGGCTCATACTGCGCCAGCGAATGCTCCGTGAACCCAAACGACCTGCAGCACGTCCAGCAGATACACACGCCTCCTCCAGAGAAAGACTTTGGCGCCGTTTGTTTTGGCCACCCGGCCCACTTTGACCCTCAGCCGTCTGAGCAGTGGCCAGCGTTTGCAGATCCCAACTCGCTGCTGGCATATGATAACGTCCCGTTTGACCCCGACCCGGCCATCGACCCGCTCCTCGCCGAGCACCAGCACGACCAATACAAGCCGGAAGAAGTCGAAGTCGAACCGCCCAGGAAGCGAGTCAAACATGAGCGATATACCCCTGAGGAGGAGGACTTCGACTCCGTGCTGCAGGTGGAGACACCGCCGGGCTCTCCCAAAAAGAAGAGCGGCAGCAAGTTGATGATGAACACGAACAAGACCCGGCCGGCATTCAGCAAGCCGGCCAAGAAACAGTCGACCACCAAGGCCACCACCACCACCTCCTCCTCCTCTTCCTCCTCACCGTCGTCTTCGGCATCTCGCAAGAAGACCACGCAGCGGCAGTTCCCGTGCGTGTTCGCGCCGTACGGCTGCAACCTGGTATTCGTGTCGAAGAACGAGTGGAAGCGGCATGTCATGAGCCAGCACCTGCAGCTGGGCTTCTTCCGCTGCGACGTCGGCAAGTGCAATATCAACAACGCCGCCGACCCCTCGCCGTCGTCATCGGCATCGTCGTCGTTGCCCTCGCCGGGCCACCTCGCCGGCAATAGCAGCACGACGCCCTTCAACCCCACGCTGCGCACGCCCAACGACTTCAACCGCAAGGACCTCTTCACACAGCACCAGCGACGCATGCACACACCGTGGCGCGTACCCAGCTCTCCACCGCACAGCAGCAACGCGCCCAGCAAGGACGCGCGGGCGGCGTTCGAGGCGTCGCTGGAGGCGGTGCGCACGCGGTGCTGGATCGAGCAGCGACAGCCGCCGCAGTTCAGCCGGTGCACGTACTGCAGCGCGGAGTTCCGCGGGGCCGGGTGCTGGGAGGCGCGCATGGAGCACGTCGGCAAGCACTGCGAGAACGGCGACGAGGAGGAAGTCGGCGTGCTGGATGTCGGTCTGCGCGACTGGGCGGTGCGTGAGGGTGTTGTGCGGGAGGTGCGTCGGGGAAAGTGGCTGTTGGTGCCGGGGCAGAGGGGTGGGCGGAGAGGGGCTGCTGCTGCTGGGGGAGGGGGGGGAGGGGGGATGGGTGGTGTGGTGTATTTCGGGTGATGAGGATGAGATGTTGTTATACGATACCCGGGCTTGGGAATGGGATGGGATGGCTGGATGGCTTATTGTGCGACGGATATGTGTTTTGACTATTATTGCTCGCTGTGTATAATGACCGGACTTAATGGTACCTTCTCTTTTTTTTTTTCTTGTTGATATCTAGTACCAGCCGCCGTCGAGCTTCATCTTGTTACTTTCCCTACCTCATTTGAAGCTCCGGATGCAGGCAGTCACATGCAGTGCTATACTACCCGCGGGAAGAGCATATATCACCTGCCCCGTAAGACGTGGCTAGCTCAAGCGTACTTGCACCTTCAGAGCGATACAACAAGACTCAACAACCATCGTAGTTGCTGGTCGGCATGTAGGGTTAAATGAGTAAACTACACATCACAACAGCAACCGGCTGTCCAGCTGACGATGGCGCCGCCTGCATATCGACTCAGCCACATCCATGGATGCAAGTCATGTATGTATGTCAGTAGTATATGCCTGTCGTCCGCATGCATATGTACGCAAGGTGATGGGACGTCGTTCGAGAACCCCTGCACGTCGCCCTCGCCACTCTACTATTAATAAAAAGAAAACCAACAACCAAGCACGAAAGTGTTTGATTCAACATAATGCTTGAATAATAGCACAGAAATCAAAAATGTTTTCGGTTTTCTTCATGATAAAAAAAATTAAAAAAAGTCATCTCCGCTTCAGAATACTTTGGCCGGGACCTCCGAGCTTTAAGGGTACATAACAGCATGCTAAAAAAGAAAAAGAAAAATGAAGGTAAATACTAAAAGGGGAAACCATAATAGAATTTAGGTAAGAAAAAAAAAAAGAGGGTGGCGGGAAGTCAAATAAGACATAAGTCAAAAGGGCAAATGCACGACAGTACATCACAATGCCGGACCGGATAACTTCAAAAGACACGACGCGTTGAGAACAGGGCAAGCATCTCAGCACTCGACGAGACTTTCTGGTATATCATGATATTTTTTCTCCGTCCGCAGAGTGACAGACCCCGGGCATCGCATCGTCAACTGACTCTGAAGGACGAGGAAGCGTGGCACAGGCCAAGCCTAGCAGCAGCAATCCAGACAATCCAGGCAATCCAGGCAGCATTCACAGCTCTCGCCGCACAGCCAGCAACAGCAGAGCGTGGCGACACTAACGACAACCGTATTAGCGCTGGGGGATCAAACTACATTGTGTTTTTCTGAAAGGGAACAGTTATTTACCAAGCGTAGAGGCAGCCCCGGTCCTTCTTCTTCTCTTCCTTGACGACGACGGTCTGTGGCGGTGCGCTCTGCGGGTATTGCATCTATCATGGGTTGTTAGTCATTGGTAATGGGGTTCAAGGGAAATGAATGCTATGCTTGAATGAACGTACCGGTGGTGGAGGGCCCTGTGGCGGGTAGCCCTGGGGAGGGTAGCCCTGTGGTGGCGGGTATCTTTTGACGGACGAGTTAGCTCAGGCTGTGGCACAGCAGAGGATACGGACGGTGTGGCGCGCGAACATACCCCTGGGGAGGAGGCTGCTGGTAGTAACCCTGGCTGGCCATTGTGATGATGTTGTGCTGTTGATCGATGCTTGAACAGCTGTGGAGCGCAGAGTGCTTGAGCAACGACGCCGAGAGAGCTAGCTGGAGAGAGAAAGAAAGGGAGTTAGAAGGTAACTATGGGGGGAGAGCAGAGCGAGGACAGAGGCAGAGGCTGACACAAAGGACACGCACTCACCGAGAAGCGAAGCGAAGCAACGAGAGTGGTGGGGGGAGGAGAGAGAGGGAGTGAGAGAAGAGAGAGAGAGAGAGAGCGAGAAGGCAGAACGAGAGCGAGCAAAGGGCGGCCGGCGCGGGCGGGCTTTATTGGGCTTTCTTTTCGTGGCCGCGTTCCCTTTTCAGATGCCAACCTTACCGCGGCCGTATTGTCCCGTACCGTCGCCCGGGGGGGGAGGGGGCCGTTGACCACCAGTAGTAGTAGTGTTAGAACTGCCTGCTCGTGAACCACCACCACCACCACCATGATAATAGCAGGCTGTGTGCATCGCCGGGGAAGTACCTCGTTAAGCGTGCATCGCCCTGGCCAGCGAGCCCCGATCGCCGCTCGCCATGGCCGGCTGTGCGGGCGCAGTGCCAGCGCGCAAAGAGATTAATTACAGAACGGGAGTGCGTACGGGCGGTGTCTCAGCCTGGGCAGCAGGCGGGTCCTCTTCACTCGCCCTGCGCCATCCTCAGCCACCGGCACCACCGCGGTGCGCCCGCTGTCCGCGTCAACAACGACGACGACACGACATCAACGACGTCTGCGTCGATGTCCAGTAGTCCTGGTCGGACAGCAGCAGCAGCAGCATCTACACTCCCTACTAATACTACTACTAGAACTCTTCCTCGCCGCCCAGCACCCGCACCACAGGCCCAACACCACTGCTCTGCGGTGCGGCTGATCAGCGCAAAGAAAAAGAACACGAGTCCGGCGGGCGCTGATTGGCTGGCGGCCGGCCCCACCGGCAGCTTGCGACGCCGCCCCACCGGCCTCGAAATGATTGGCCGCGCCACACCGCAACCCACAGCAGCTCGGGCCAATGGCAGCGGCCGCCGCCAGGGGAGGGGTGTGGCTGGGCAGCCGCAAGCGAGGCAGCGCGACGGTTGTGAGTAGTGTGGGAGTGGGAGTGCGTTGCGGCGCTGTTTTGGCTGCGTGGGATCACCCATCATCCATCGCAGATAAAGAAATAAAAACCAACCCTCCAACGCTAACCAGCCCCCAGCACGAAAAAAAAACGAACTAACCCCTACTCCGTTAACTCCCAGGGATCGCAGTTCAATCCTTCGTCAATTGATAGTGTAGAAACAAAACAACGCCGCGATGGATGCCCCCCCCGTTTCCGCCAAGGCCCCCCAAGTGGCCGCCGTGCTTGGTTGTCCTTGGCTTCGTCCACGCCGCTTGGCTCTCTGCACCTCCCCCCGGGACCAGCCTTATCGTAGGGCCGACCTGCCCGAGAAGACACAACTGCACGACATGATCGTTGGTATTTGCGGAGAATCAGGAGGAAATTTCCTGGTACTGTTTGTAGGTGTCTGTATAGAGTACGGAGCACTCCGTGCGGGAGATGTAATAATTATTACCTGCGTAATATGGCCTACGGGGTACTCCCGTACGTAGATAGGAGAGATCACCAGGGTCTCTGACAAATTGCAGCCCCAGGCCGCGCGCGAAACACACTCCCCTCACGCAAGCTGTCAAAACAGAAACCAGGAGGCCGCCATGTTTTTTTTTTTTTCTTGCCACAAAGAAGAAAATATATATATATATATATATATATATATATCAGACGAACCGCGCGTCTGAAACGCTGGTCTTGCACACCACCACCACGGAGTCTGCGCAAACCAAAGCTTGGTCCAGCCACAAACCACAGATACATGTCATCCAGGGAAAAGGATATATATCTGCCCATCGATATACGTACGTACGCACAGCACCTCCATGCACATGACAAACACTCTGTACTCCGTAGATGATTGTATATTTATCGGACGACACAGGAGCACGTGATGATCATGTGACTGAGCGTCTATAATATTGCATCTAGGTCTGCTCCTAACAAATGAGACAAGAATACTTATAGATGAACATGCTATAACTGAGACTACAGAAAAAACATATGAAAAACTCCTAGTAAATCTCTGTCAGCTCAATAGTCAAAGATAATGAAATTGATATCATGATTGAGAAGAGAAGATGATAAATCTACAGTTCTTCAGTTTCTACTTTAGAAATCTGATCATCTAATAAGTCATCTGACTTCTGCTCAACATGCTCTCATAGCTTTAACAGTGATGTAGGCAGTGAATTTCTCTCTATTAAATAATCAATATTCATAAGTCTCAATTGCTTTACAAATTTTTTAAATTTCTGTCTAAATAAGATCTTTATTAAGCCATCTGCAGGCATATTATTACTTTCAATTCAGATAATATTCAATTTCTTATTAGTAACTACTTGCCATAATCAGTGGTGATGAATATCAATGTGACAGAGCTTGATAATTAGTTGCAGAGCTGCTGAAATCAGTAATCATATTGTTTGTAAATTATCACATAAAATATTAAAATCTCTTTCTAATTTCAACATAATATTCTTAAATAAGCATTTCCACCACATGGTCTCTTTTGTCATATAGAATAGTGCTAAAAGTTTGACTTCTGTTGAAGATGTTGTAATGATCTTTTATCTGAAGAATTTTCAATCAATTAAGTCTTCAAAGAGCTTAAATACAGAGCTCTGGAAGAAGTGTCTTGAGTTTAAATCATCTGCAAAAGAAGAATCACTGACAATTATTAAATAAGTGTTAATGATGTCAGTATTATTATTCTCTCTCTGGATATTCAATCCATCATTGACATGAAATTCAAGAGCATAGTACTTTGTTGAAAAAGCATATGAGATAACTCTCTCAATTGCTGTATGATGTTCTGGTTCTGAGTTAATCAAAGCCTCACTTAATTTTGCAGTAGCAAACAAAATATCAGACTGTGTTATAATAGCAGCATAGAGAGTCAAATCAATCTTCTGTTGATAGACATGTATTTGTTGCTTATCTTGCACCTCTGTATAAGAAGCTATATTCACAGTTATCATTGACATATATAATGACTTTAACTTCATAAGATTGAACTTATTAGCAATCTTCTCAATATAACTATTCTGACACAGTCAAAGCTTCTGAGCATCTCTATCATGTAAGATATGAATATCTAGAAACCACTCTAGCTCTTCAATCTCTCAAAGCTCATAACACATTCATAGATTCTTCAATAACTGCTCAAATGTTCCAACATTCTTTCTGTGATATAAAAATACTATGTCATTCATGTAAAAGAAGATAATAGTATTCTTATCAATAAATAGACATAATTCTTCACAAATCTGATGAAATTTTAGTTTCTGAAGTGTTGAAGCAAGATCTTTATATCAAAGTCATGGAGATTTGAGATGATCATATAAGATACATAGAATCTTTCAAACATCTCTTTTCTTACTGTAACTCTCTGCCAGTCTGCAATAAACAGATTTATCAAATGAAGCATTAATGAACACATTAACAGTGTCAATCTGAAAGATCTTCATTTCAAAATAAGCTGTTATAGTCATTAAAAGGCAAAATATCTGCACAGCAAATGTAGCAGCATAGATGTCATGTTTATTATTAATATTCAGATCTCTGCAAAAAACAAGCCTTGTCTTATAACATTCCAAAAAACCATTAACATCAAATTTGTACATATAAATTCACATTAAAGAGATTGAATGTATTTCTTTCAAGCTCTCTACTTCTTCAAAGCATTTCTTCATTCATAGCTTCTCCATTTCCACATTCATGGCAGTCTTAAATCCACCAGCATGCAGATGTTGCAACATTGAAAAATAATGCTTCAGAAACTTCAGAAGATTCTCTCTGTAAAGTCTAGAATTCATAATTGTAAAAGCTGTTAAATAGTCTCTATAAAATGAATTCAATTGCACTGTTTACTGCAGAATCATTATATAAGCTGTTCATCTGTCAATTCAATCTGCATTTTGGCATCTTATTCTAGCACTTCATCTAGAAGATGGAGATTGCTTATTCAAGCTCACTTCAGCTGAGTCATTCATCACTTTCATGGCAAAACAATTGACTGTCAAAATTCTGTCACTTGTGCTCATCATCTCTGTGGCAGAACAATTGACTATTAATTGTCCATCATTTGTGCTCACTGCTCCCATAGAGCTAGTGGCAGAAAGTGTAGTAGATGTTATATCTTCAGATGACTCAACTACAACACCACTCATCATCTCCATAGCTTCCACAGCAGAATGATTGACTGTCAATGAAAGTTGATTCAGCACCTCTATTTCAGTTAATGGCATTGTTGAATCATTCAGAAGAGATTGAATGTAGATGTCTGAAGTCAACAGCTCTGATGTAGATTCTGATGTTGGCAATGCATATGTCTCTTCTGATTGATCAGTTAGTGTCTTAGTCATTGTTTCTGTCAATCTTATTGACTGATTAACAGTCTTATAACTTTCACATGATGTCTTTTTCTCAGAGTCTTCATCTTCACTGTCATGCTTGCTCAAGCTCATCTTGTTAATATCACTTACTTCAACAAAAGATATTGTATCCAGCACAACAAAGCTCTTCTGTAATAAAAGCTCACTGCTCATCTCATTAGAATTGAATAGCATATCTTCATTGAATATAATGTCTCTCATTAATATAATCTTTCATCATACTGAAATTCAAATGCAAAAAATATTCATTGATTCATATTCAACAAGATATTCAACTTTCACTCTAGAAGTCAGCTTCTGATTTCTTCTGTATTGTGCATTCTTAATTAAAGAATACACTCTACAGTCAAAAACTCTTATATGTCTAATTTCAGTTAAAGAAGTTGCAGTTCAAAGATATTTCTCTAAGAATTCAAGAGAAGTGTTCCAATTAAGATCTTTAATCAGAATTCTGTTTAAAATATACACTACAGTCTTGACACATTCTGGTCACAAATTCTCAGATAAATTGACTTCAATTCACATTGTACATGCTGCCATCATTATTAAAGCTTCTGCACATTTCACAGCTCCATTTTGAGCTGATGTGTAGAATGCTGAACATTGAACAACTATATCATATGTTCAAGTCAACACTGTCAGTTCTGACTGCATAGAGATCTCTCCATCAATTCAAATAGTTAAGATAGCCAATTGATATAAATTGAGAATTACTCTTATCATTTTTGCTGTGCATGTCAAACTTTCAGATTTTCACTGCATCATTTCCATGTAGTGTAGATGAGTATCACAATATAAGTGAACCACCCACCTATCTTCATTATAATCTGGAGTAAACTGTATGAGATCAATAGACATTTTCATGAACAGATGTGTAGATCTTTTCAACAGCATTCTGCATATAATTTACTTTGCTTTTGAAGAAGCACAAGATCTGCACTTTACTGTTAGAGAATCTCAAGAAATCTTTGCAAATTTCATATCAGTAGACATCTTCAGAAGATGTGTCAGAGACTCTCTGTTCAGATGATTAAGTCTCAGATGTCAAATATTTATGATTTTCAGTGAGCTGAAGATCAACATCATAACTGATTTATTAATTAAATCTCTGTTCAATGAGACAGTAAAAACACTCTTCATTATACTATCTGTTGCAACATTAATAGATCTGTATTCAACAATCATTTTTCTCTCTTTAACAGTCAAATTGAACAAGATATCTCTTGTGCCAGCATAGTAAATCATAAGAGACTCATTGTCCAAATAACAACTCTTTGCACACAGCAATCTGTGTGCTACTAGATTTATATGAAAGCCAGAAACATAGAGAACATTCTTTAGTAATATCTTGCCAGCATCTGCTGGCATTTGAGTATAAACTTCAACATCACTGTATCTGTGGATTTTACAATGAGTATTTCCAATGAGCACAATATTCAAAGAATCAGCATTTCAATAGTTTTGAAATCTTGTAAAATCATTGCAAATATGTGCATCTGCACCCCCATCTAATATGAAGCTGTCCCATAATGAATAGAATTCATATTTATCACTCATGTTAGTGAAGTTAAAAATCATTATGGAAGCAAAGATAGTTAGATTAGAAGATGTCTTGACAATGACTTTGTTAGCATCACTGTCTGTCACATTGCTCAAAGCATCAACTTCTTCATTAGCATTCAAATTCTTCAATTTCTTCCAATTTGCAATCTTTTTCTTTAATTTTCTGTCATTCACTGAATTCTTCAATGCTTTCTTGATCTTATTATCAATTTTTGAATCCAGTTTCCAGCTCATTGGTTGAACAAGTGAATTAAAATATGAACAGTACATTCAATCATGATGCTCTTCACAAAAACATGCAGAGTTCATATTTTCATTATTCTTCCTCAACAGCTTATTTTGAACTATCTTTTCAGTGAAATATGCTGATGACTTATTCTGTTGATCTGGCTCAGAATTCTTCTTTAATGTCTGCCAAAATATTTAAATATGTCTATAAACATTCAGCTCATGCTTCTGATTCAAATTCTCTTCAGTTAGAAGCTTTGACAGATACATATAGAAGAACTCTCTATAATTCTGAGAGATTGCTCTCAGAAATTATTTGGAGACAAAAGACTTGTGAATATATTCACATATATTGTACATGATAGCCCAATTTAATGCTTCTTTGTAGTTCAGTAAATATGCTTCAATCACTTAATTCTTTGACTCATCTTCTAGAATTTTGAATCTCTCTACTAGTCTAGCTTTCAATTGAGAAGCATTCACTGCATTTCTAGCATATAGAGCTTTCAGATGTTCTTTTGCAGTAGTTTCTACATCATTTAATTCACTTATTATAAGAATTCTCAGAAACAGATCTACACAGTCTCTTATTGTCTTCTATAGCTCTTGCATCACTAAGACTCTCTTCTCTTAAGTTCTGTATCAATTTCTTTGCATATTTCTTGCATGTTTTGTATCTGCAGGAGTCACAGTTTCTTCAATTTTTTCAGAAGAAAGAAAATTCTCTATAATGAATTTCTGAAGTTCAGAATGTATTTCTTTTATTGAATTGATGTATGATCACAATCAGTGAAGATTTGCTAAATGCTTGATGTCTTCAATTCATTCTTTTTAATCATCAGAACTATTCAGCATAACAACTCTTCTAGATGATTCATTTATTTTTAATTAATTATTGAAGTGAGACATTGACTCTAGATTATGGTTTTTCATAGACTTAGATCAGTAAATATATAGATGTGTTAGATCTTCATGAACTCCACAATTAAAATTTAAGCTTAAATAGAGGATTCAATGTATGATCTTAAGATACTTAATAGTGACCTCTATTTGTATGAATAACAAGAGTAAAATAAAGTATCTTGAACATATCTTTAGATAACAACCAAATTCTTGAAAGAGCCTGGGCTCATAACTATCAGATGACACAGAAGCATGTGATGATCATGTAACTGAGCATCTATAATATTGCATCTAGATCTGCTCCTAACAAACAAGACAAGAATACTTATAGACAAACATGCTATAATCAAGACTACAGAAAAAACATATGAAAAACCCCTAGCAAACCTCCACCAGCCTGATAGTCAAAGATAATGAAATCAGTACCATGGTTGAGAAGAGGAGGTGGCAAACCTATGGTTCTCCGGTTCCTACTTCAGAGACCTGGTCACCTGACAAGTCACCTGACTCCTGCTCAACAATATTCCAGAGACACTTCATATTACGTTCTATCTAGCGTCCCCGCTCTCTCCCTCCCCCGTCCTTGGCTCTCGTATATACACCAAAATAAACACAAAAAAGGAACACTTCGCCGCTCTCTACCTCTTCCAATCCTTTCTTTCTCTGTCTCTTCTCCATTTCCACATCCATCATCATCTTCACTTCA